GTTCCCGCTCCAGGTGGATCACGTTTAGTCAGAACTCTCCACTACCACCTGTCTGTCTTGGGTGTCCCTGCATGGCATCGCCCATAGCTTCTCTGAATTACTCAAGCCGTTTTGCCATGGATAGGTGTTGTATAAAACAGTGGAATTATCTGGGGATGATTTTGCTTAATGTATAACATTATTCATTTTGCTAAATTTAATACTGTGTTCCTCTTGACTACTTCTGAAGAAGAAAACTTCTACCTGCTAATACATATTTTTCAGCTGGTTGGAAGGGCATTATGACCACACAGTGAAACACCACAACACCTCACTGAATAGTGAGAGGTTTCATTCCTTTCCATTTGCCCAGGATAAGGTTTTTGTCAGCCAGCAGCTTCTCCAAGCATTGCTTATGTCCTCTGGCATTATGTTCCATCTTTTCCTTCAGTGGCAATATGCCACTGTTCTGATGAAGATTGGTTTGCTAATTAATTTTATACTAGCCTGGAGAGCCCAGCAGGCAGTCTCTTGTAAAGTTATCTTATGGGCTCCCCCCCCCCATGCCAGAGGTTCCAGAGCCTTCTTGGAACTATCTTCTGTAAGTATAAGTGATCTCCAGAAAAGAATCTTCTCTTGTAGTTATCAGTGAAATGAGCAAAGAGCAGCTGGCTAATAAACAGATAAACAAACAGATGTGTAATGCTATTGTGAGTATTTAATTTGTTCTTACATAATGCATCACTCAAGTACTCAGTTATAGTCATAAAAATGGTACTTGGTTGTTGCTGTTACTAAATGGTATGGCTGGGCTCCAAAGGGGTAATTTAAGCACTCCCAAGAGATTAAGCAATGACTTTCCATCTCCCCAAGTCGAGAAATTGCTTTTAACAGTCCATTTTAAGTGAGTTCTTGATGTCGTGGGGGACTGCTCTTTGAGAAGTATAAGCTCAAACCTCCTTAGGCATCCATAACTAGTGATGCCGCTCTTTGGATCCTAGTCTGTATTTTTATAAGAGGAAAAGAAACACTTGTCTTGGGAAGATAGGAAATCTGCATTTAAAGAAATGAAATTGGATTCATTATGGCTTTGTGCCAGGCACATCCATATATGCAACAAAATAGCTTTTTGTTCTCTTTGTGTAGGATAGTCAAGAGCTGGCAATTTGTGTGAATGCTGAGAGTTGCAAAATTATGATGGGTTCCCTGGCAGAAGTTGCGTAACTCCAAAGTATTTGAAATGAAAAATCTGGAATCCTCTCCATAACTGCTGTTATACTAAGTTTCTTGGCCATAATCTCTGGCTTCTGCCATCCTCCTCTCCACCCTGCCCTAGCAGAACAACATTCTCATTGTCTACATTTTAAAGGTCAACCCTAATGTTCTGATGGATTATAAGGGGCTTCACTATGTAGCCTTGTTTGGATAAGAAAGAGCAGCACCACTTGAATATGTATCAAAGATCTTTTCATTGAGAAAAGCTCTTTTGGAAAACTTTCATATTTTCCAGCTGTAACATGATCAATTACCAAAGTATTTGTTTAAAAATGTTTTGTAAACAATTTGCAAGATTTGCTTTGTTGTCAAAGTAGAATAATTATTCCCTTGATTTTAAACTAATTATGTAAATAATATATCAAGGATTTTATGGTGTTTTGCTTCAATTTTCATTGCCTGTGATACATATTGTGGATTACTGCTGTTAATATATAGCAAAGGCTGCACATTTTAGCAGGCTTACTAAATATGAAGCCGAATACATGTTAAATTTGTTTTAATGTCTTGGACAGATCCTGTTTGTTGCTTTTTCACTGTAACTTCTATCTTGGGAAGAGTCCGCCTTTGATGTCCAATGTGATCATTAAAAGCATGTTTGAAAGGGAATGTCTTTACTTGATGCCAAAAAGATATTTGCATTCCTACTAAATGTGCCTGTTAGGGTAATGACCTGTCCACCTTGAGTGTCCCTGCACATCATAGCCCATAGCTTCTCTGAATTACTCAAGCCCCTTCGCCACGACAAGGCAGCAATCCATGATGGGGAAAGTGTCTATAGGAAGCTCAAAATCAAGAAGTGAATAGGGAGTTGAATCTACCAACATAACATCTACTGCATTTCCTGTATTTATGAGCTCTTCCAGCTGATGCAGTTTATATGATTCAAATATGGAGTTCTTATTTCTCACTTCTACAAATCCAGACATAATGATCAGTGAATTTATTGTATACATTAAAATGTATACAAACTGGACACACTCACTTAGTATGCTTTATTCATGTGATTGTTGGTCATTGCCATATCTTGGAACCGCCAACTACATAATGAAGTAAAACAAATGGACAATGGTAAGTTTTAGTATAGTGGACTATATTGACTGGTCTCTAAGAAGTAGATGTTTTGTTCTTCCACAGTAAACCTATGTGTTTGGAACCATCGGCACTATGGTAAAACAGTTTTAATGTGGCATGCACCACCAGGAGAAACAAGAACTTAGCATCAGCACATTTTGCAGAATTCCAAGAGTTACAAAGTACAATTGCCTTTTTAAAAAACCGTAAAGCAGAGACCTCACCCCCAAACAATTCCATGAGGATTAAATTGTATCAATTGCTATGAAGTGTAAGCAATTGAAAAAGCAAAATGGAAAAAGTGAAGGGATTTTCCAGGGGAAATGAATGTCTGAAACCTTGATTATGGGCACCCCTCTTAGAAATTAAAAAATGCTAATAAAGAAGCGTTTGGCATGCAAATATGAAATTTAAAGGAGATTCCTGAGAAATGGCATTATATAATACTTAGTATGTCTGATTAGGTCTGAGAAATCCCTATGTTCAAATTCCGACTCAGCCATCAAATTTGCTGGAGTGACATTGACATACTCAGTATTTCTCAGTCTAACGTACTGCACATGGTTGTGTTGAAGATGAATTGCAGTGAGGAAAGAAGCATATTGCATTGTTTTGAGGTCCTTGAATAAATGCCAGGATGTAACATAACATAAATAAATAATTGAGAACTTAGAAAACAGATTGCATGTCTCAAAGCTAACTTACCTAAAGTTCCTTGTGTTGCATGTAAAAATTATTTTTTTCCTTACATAATTCTTTTTCTTATCTGCAGTGTGAAATTTGCATGTGTAATATTTCTGTGTTTGAAGAGCCAGTAGATATGCCTTGTGGGCATGAATTTTGCAGAGCTTGTTGGGAGGCGTAAGTATGGATTTAGGCATTTTAAAAAAAGTTTTGTATCTACCAAGTGTTATTTATTGTGTCTCCTTGAGAGAAAATTTATCATAGGCAATAAGCTAGTAATCATATCATCTGGGCTTTTAAATTACTTATATATTGTCAGAAGGTAAATTTTATTTCTGTTTTACATGTTTCCAAGATATAAACATAAATTTCTATGTTTATGTCCAGTAAACAGATTCTTTGAGCTGGTTGATTATTCAAGTTGATGGGGGTTTGGAGATAAACATAAAAAGAACTATAGTGAGCTGCCCTCTTCAGCAGTTCTGCTTAAAATAGGAGACAACTGCACCTCTAAAAATCAGTTTAAGAGAAGATTTTTGAGGGGAAAATCTAGAAATAATGCTACTTGTGTCATTTGGTAACACTGCAATATCTGTGTTCAGACTTCATCCTAAATGGGAATGTTTTGCTTTTTTGAGTCTCTGAACACCTTTCAAAATTTGGCATCAGCCCAGAATGTCCACTGTTATAGGTGTGTCTACTCAATATACAGTACCATTGCTATGAGGCTTTGATGGTCACAAAGGGTAAATAACTTGTACAAGAATTAGTGAAACCATATTTTTGTCCTCACACAACAGAACACCCATTTTAGCGAGAGATTAGCAATGCTTAGAACACACAACTATTTATTCACAGTAATTATTTTCTACTATAGTAAACTTTTTAAATGGTTGATTTTAAAATACGCCTCTAATACAATATCAAAACAAAATTAATTTACTGATAAACCTACCACAGCATACTCAAGTCATACGTGCACCATAGCTGTCTCCCCCAAACACTAAGGAAAACATTTCTTTGGATCCTGCTGCTCCCCTCATCTCCAGGGTTTCCCTTTTCTTCCCCAAGATAATGCCAACAGCATCTCATTCTGCCTGCTCCCCACTACTCCTCAGGCATACTAGGCAATGGCAGGATCAGCTGTTCTTCTTGTACAAAGACAATGGAAAACAGCTTCATCAACTCTTGTTTGGTGTCCAGAGATTTTCAAGTGAGGAAGAGGTTTCTGCCACTGGAGGCCATGGTTTTGTTTCTTGTGTGCTAGCAACTGAAATAAATTTTAAAAAACTAAAAGTTAAATTATGGGCAAGGGACTTAGGCAAAAGCCAGAATAAGTCAGGTGCATTGTTTGCATGATTTTAAAAAGTAAGTTACAGCAAGTCTTATAATTATGTGATCATTTACCTTCTGGGGCAGCTATCAAGGTTGAATGTATTACATTCACACAGTGACCTAAGAGCACTTCAGTATTATAACACTCCTTGGTAGTTTGAGTCTGTGGTGGCCCATTACAGCTGACATTTATCCTTAGAAATTTTAATTTCAGTGTGAGATTAGATAACATTTTCAATCATATCACAGTTATGGTTGTTGTGGGTGTTCTGGGCTGTTTGGCCTTGTTCTTAAGCCCAGAAAACCCACTACAACATTCGGATCCCGGCTGTGAAAACCTTTGAGAATACGTGTCACAGCGACTTTGACACAACCACAAAACTGTGTGCAAAACCATTTTTTGGTTATTACGGTGGTGCCCCGCTTGACGATTACCTCATTAGATGAGGAAACCGCTTAATGATATATGTTTTTTGTGATCGCAAAATGATGTTTAGATAGGGAAAATTCGCTTTACGATGATTGGTTCCCTGCTCCGGGAACCGATTTTTCGCTTTACAACGATCAGAAAACAGCTGATCGTCGGGTTTCAAAATGGCCACCCGCTATTTAAAATGGCTCCCCGCTGTGTTTAGGAAGGCTTTTTCACAAGACAGGCACCAGAAAATGGCCGCCCTATGGAGGATCTTTGCTGGACGCTGAGGTATTTCGCCCATTGGAATGCATTGAACCGGTTTTCAATGTATTTCAATGGGCTTTTTCATTTCGCTTGACGAGGATTTCATTCTACAGCGATTTTGCTGGAACAGATTATCCTCGTCAAGCGAGGCACCACTGTATAGCTTATCATGTGGTCCATACCAAGAGACTATGGTGAATACTACTTTTAGTTTGTAGAAACAAGTCAGTTTGAAACTTAAATTTTGCTTCCTAATTTTGATAGCATTAATATTTCCTTTTTCAATTCTGATATACATGTAACAGGTTTCTAAATATGAAGATTCAAGAAGGTGAAGCCCACAATATTTTTTGCCCAGCGTATGATTGTTTTCAGCTTGTTCCTGTGGAAATTATAGAAAGTGTGGTTTCCAAGGAGATGGATAAACGTTACCTACAATTTGACATTAAGGTAAACCATCAGATTATCACCATTTGGCTAAAGCATCTATCTGAGCTGCTTAATCTAACACACACAAAAAATCATTTTTAAAGTTTGATAAATTTCTATTTAATAAATATGAAATATAAATATATTTTAAAATCTATAGTTTCATATAAAGTTGTAAACAGTTTACAGTGGTGCCTTGCTTAACGGGCGCCCCGTTTAACGACAAATCCGCATAGTGATGAAGATTTGCGACCGCATTGCGATGTTCCTTATGGGGGAAAATTGCTTTGCGATTTTTCCCCACACGCCCCATTTTGCACGGGGCAGCAGGGAAAGGAGACAGGGATGGAGTTGTTAAGTTCGGAAGCCGAAAGCCAGCAGGAGGGGGGGAACAACTCAGAATGCCGGCTGCGGGTACAGAAGGCAGGGGGCACCAGGGACGAGAGACAGGGACACCGAAGGGGGTTGTGAAGCTCGGGAAGCCGAAATCCACTCCACTCCCGCAGCCGGCTTTCTGAGCTGTTCCTCCCCACCCCCTCCTGTTGGCTTTCGGCTTCCAAACTTCACAATTCCCTTCTCCGTCCCTGTCTCCTTTCCCTGGTGCCCTGTGCCTTCTGACCCTGTTGGTACAGAAGGCAGGGGACACCAAGGACGGGAGACAGGGACACCAAAGGGGGTTGTGAAGCTCAGGAAGCCGAAATCCACTCTACTCCCGCAGCCGGCTTTCTGAGCTGTTTCCCCCCTCCCCCTTGCTGGCTTTCGGCTTCCCAAACTTAACAACTCCCTTCTCCGTCCCTGTCTCCTTTCCCTGGTGCCCTGTGCCTTCTGTCCCTGTGGGTACAGAAGGCAGGGGGCACCAGGGACGGGAGACAGGGACACCGAAGGGGGTTGTGAAGCTCGGGAAGCCGAAATCCACTCCGCGCCTACAGCCGGCTTTCCTGCCGGTCAGCTGGGTGAAAATGCCTCCCCCACGGTCCTCCCAAAGGCCCCATTTTCACACAGCTGATCGGCGGTTCCAAAATGGACACCCGCTGTGTTGCCTCGCTTTAGAGGCACCGAAAATGGCCGCTCGCTTTAGAGGCACTGAAAATGGCCGCCCCTATGGAGGATTTTCGCAAAAGGTGAGTTTTTAAGCCCATAGGAACGCATTAAACATGTTTTAATGTATTCCTATGGACTTTTTAATTTTGCATAGCAACGAATCCAGATAGCGACGATTTATCCGGAACGGATTATTGTCGCTATGAGGGGCACCACTGTAGTGTTGTGCATTTAATTTGCTCTGTGTTCACAATCCAGAGTAGTAGGTTTCCACTAAACTGGGGGTGGGGGCAATATAAATAAAATAAATATCATCTTTCTCTGACAGTTGTTGCCTCAAACTCTAGGTTCCCTCTAAGGTGCACACCTGTGTGCACGCCTCCACCCTCTCCATGCAGCATTCCTCTTCCTCTACACACTCACAGCAGTCATTTTCAGCATCCTTGGTTTTAGTTGGGGGGGGGGTGAAGTTGGGTGTGTGCAAGGGGCAGAGCCCCACCCAGTGGGACTAAAGATTAGAGAGAATGCTGCTCAGACTATTGTAGTAGTGTCAATTCTATTCTGATACACAAATTCCTTTGGAAGTAGAGAAAATGGATTCTCCTATGGGTCATCCAAGAACATCTTTGAGTGTCAATTATATATACCAGCTGTGCATTAGTAGATGAGAGGATTCCCTTGAAAATAATCTGACTGCAGGCTGGTTACCAAACCATCTCTTTTGAGGTCTTACTCACATTGCCTCTTAAGAATATTTTCCAGGTATTATTCAACCTTAATTGAGAACTAATTGATTACTCTGCATTTTACATTTTTTTTCTAAATATACTATATTTTAATTTTGCTTTGTCAGATTAGGCTCTAGTGGTGAGCCTTATCTGAGTTTACTACTTTGGTAAATTATGCATAAAAGGAGACAATGTTTCAGTAATTTACCTACTGTAAATTCCTTTGACTGATTTCTACATCTTGCTGTAACAATTAGCTGAAATTGTCCAGCTGGATATAGGATCATTTTTGGTACAGCAATTTGAAATCAAATATGTGCTTTTAATCTACAAAGGTTTTACCACATCAAATGAGGTTTGTGTTATTTTGACAGCTCTGGTTCAAAATAGTAACTAACCTCCATTTCTCTTCATTGTTGTCATTGTTTTTAGGCCTTTGTTGAAAATAATCCTTCCATTAAATGGTGTCCCACACCAGGCTGTGAAAGAGCAGTCAGACTAACAAGACAAGGGTCCAATACAGGAGGTTCAGAAGCTCTTAGTTTCCCGTTGCTAAGAGCTCCTGCTGTGGATTGCGGGAAAGGGCATCTGTTCTGCTGGTTAGTAATACTTGTTTGTAGTTGACTTTAAAAAGTTATTGCTGATCTATTAAAACTCCTGTTACACAGCCTGATAAGAGCATTAAACAATTCAGAACATAATTCTGTTGAAGAAATGTAGCACATAACACCATGCAGTCATAGTGTTCTGTGCAATCTCCATTTTGTATTTGCAAAAGCTTCAGATTTGCCTATTAAAAGCACAGAAGCTTTTTCTACAAGAAGGGAATGAATAACCCTTGTACAAATGCCAGGGAAGGAACAATGGTGTTAATTTTCTTTTGCTTTTTGTTGCACATTAAAAGCAGACAAGATCCTGCCCTTAACTTTTATGAAAAGAGATACGGTACTTAACTGGCTTTTGTATATACCATATTTTTCCATGTACAAAATGACACTTTTTCCTAAAATAGAGGAAAATTTTTGGGTCGTTTTATGCATGGAAGTAAGGAGAGGGGAGGGATCTAAGCGCTTTGATCCCTGCTTTCCCCCTCCACTTTCTTTGCAAAGAAAGTGGAAGAAAGAAAATTTTCTTCGCAAGAAAATTGAGGGGAAAGCACTTTCGTCTCAAGTGGAGGGGAAAAGGAGGAATCATTTTCCCCCTCCACTTTCTTTGCAAAGAACGTGGAGGGGGAAAGCAGCTTTTTGCAAAGAAAGAAATTTTGGGTTAGAAAAGTGGGGGGGGGGTCTTATACATGGGGCCTCTTATACACGGGAGAATACAGTACAGATCTTTGGACACATTCTGTGATTTTTGTTTTGTTTTCATAGTCTGGCCACTTAAAGTAATAAAAATGTTCCCTATTCAGCCATATTTTTCTTTTAAGATTAAATGCTGCATTGCTTGTTGTGCAGATGATTTGCAAAAAGTGTAGGATGATAAAAATAATATTGACAATAGGCTGATTTTTTGTCTTAGGTTCATTTTCTGGATGCTGGGATTGATTAGATTTTTTTGTTATTATTATCAAAAAGACAATAATTTGCTTACTGCTCATAGCTTCATCTTCTTATTCTTGTCCTACCAGAGCCTGGTAATGATCAAGGGTATTCTATTACTTACATAATTCCCTGAACTATATAGGGATTTCTGCTGTAGGATTCATTGATGCATGAGATAGAATCTTAGAGTACCATTAGAAATACTCATTAGAGCTTGTTTTCTACAATTGATATCTGCACGAGAAGCAGGGCCATGTGTAAATTTGCAAATCTGGTTTTGATCTCACTTCCTTTTGGAGGTTCAGGACATAAAATTAATAGTGATGGGTATGCAGCAGCTCACTAATACACCTAGACTTCTGAATCTCTCTTTTTGTGTATATTTGTGTTTGTGTGTGTACTTGTGTACTAGCGAAAAAATAAAAGGTGGATGAGAAACACTAGATTCAAGTAACTCTTAGTCCTATTTGTAATATATCAGAATTATTTTCCTTTACATGTTTTCCTTTGTGTTTCCTGTCACATGTCTGATGAACGTGAGGAAGAAAGTGATTCCTTTAGTTATCCTTTTTCATGCATTCTTTTACTCAGCAAGAAGGGGGTGAAAGCCTTATAATTTGATCCATAGAAAATTCCTTAAATTTTCTTTAGTACAAGTTTTTCTATGAACCTGTATTTCTAAAATTCTGCTAATTTTAGTTGTTATTTTGTGTTCTGAATGTGTGGCAGATGTCTGAAACTATTTGTTGTATTTCCCATGAAAAAGAATGAGTCGTGATCAATTTGGCAGTTATATTGACACATCAACACCCAGGCACCATCTGGAAGCAGTGTATCTTCTGCTGCAAAAATTTGATTACCTTTCACTAGCAGTAATAATGTGGAAGGAGTATGATCTGTGGGCTGTTCTCAGCAACATAATTCTAATTCCTAATAGGAGACCATATTCAGTTAAACATAGACTGGGACAGAAAAGTAGAGGGAATATGTTCACTTGCTGTGTATTTGACAAAATATAGGGCCAATCTTTGTCAGAAAATTTTCTTTTATTAAGTGAGGTTTCCCTAAGTTATAAGAAGGCCAAAAATGATTACAATTACAGATATTTCCTGTATCTTTATAATGTATCCAGGACAGTGGCTCTTTGGGATTTAAAGTTACTGGAGTATGAATGCTAGAACCCTTTTAGAGACCATTCACCCCTCTCTAGCTTGACAGTTAGCAACATGTAATACATATGGTGATACTTTAGAAGCTGCCTTCCGTTTATTGAAATTTGACTTGCTGTTATAGGGAGAATGATTGAATATGCCTATTCCTAGCCATTGGCACAACTTTCTACCAGTCATAAATCTTCTTTCCTAATGCCTGCTTTAGGTCTTGAGTTCCCCTATGAGGTCTGATCTGAGATGGAGGGAATTAATTGTTGCCGCAACATTTCTGAATAACCAGCCACGTTTTAAGCACTTCTTCTAGTTCCAGACAGTGGTCTATGATTGCTGGAGTCCTGAAAGGGGAGAATGACTGCTCTTGTGTTTCCACTCTTCAGGGAGCTGACTTATTTGTGAGACATAGAAAATGACAGCAGTTCTGCATGTGTGACATAGCGTGTCGTCTTATTCTACCAATGCCAAGAAACAGTTGTAATGCCATTCTCAAGTATTTCAGGAAATGGTAAATGTGTAGTAATAGGTGGATATAACTGCCTTCAACAGGACTTGGGAATCCTTACATTGGATTGATGTGTATTTATAAAGGAGGATGAGCATGTTTGAGAGAATACAGACCACTCTAAAAAGTTATTAGTTCTTAATTCAATATTCACCTAATTGAGTAAGTAATCTCTAAACCAATTCATTTCCAAGTATCCACAATCATCATTTGGAAACACAGAAGTTTTAATTAATAGCCACTGCAAATCATTGAGTATTAGAATTTCAGATTCATTTGTGTCTTGAGATGTCCTTTTGTGGTGGGGTGTCTTTAGTCTCTCCATCAGTTTATTTGGAAACATGAAAATATTAACAGAACATAATTGAAGTTTTGTATATCTAAATTTCCTAATTTCTGCTTTTCTGCTTTGATTAAAAGCTTGAATTCTAGAGTCAGTGGTTTTCAACAAAAGGAACAACCTTGTCTAAAGTCTTGGATTAATTTTTCAGGGAGTGTCTTGGCGAAGCACATGAACCTTGTGATTGTGAAACATGGAAAAATTGGTTACAGAAGATAACAGAAATGAAACCAGAAGAACGTAAGAATGGCTGTTATGATATTTTTCGTTTAGCTTGTGTAAATTTTTTACGGTAGTATAATAAGGATTGTTGTGTACCATTAAGGAGAAATACCCTACAGTGTTATTTCCAGAACAGAAGGCTTGACTACATAATGGAAGTGTGCATGTGTGTACATATACTTCAAATTCAAGTCTTACAAGTTATGTAAAAGTGTAGTCACATATGCTTAAAATATAGGAAAATTGATCTTAAGCTTTAAGCAAATACTTCAGTCAAAAATACAGGACCAAAATGCAATAAAATATCTGAAATAATGTTTTAAGTTACATTCTTAAAAATATAGGGGCTTGTAACCTATAAGAAAAGAATACGTCTGTAAAACATCTAATTGAAAAACTAAAACATTAGAAACTTCAAAAACTGCAAAAGCTTTGTATTCTCAAAGGCTTTCACAGTCAGGATCTGATGGTTGTAGATTTTTTGGGCTGTCTGGCCATATTCTTGACGTTTTTCTTCCTAACGTTTCGCCAGTCTCTGTGGCCGGCATCTTCAGAGGACAAGAATCAGAACTCTGTGCTCTGGTGCAGTTTGTGGGATAGATGAGTATTTATAGCTGTGGGATCAGTTTTTGTCCTTTTTAGGAGATTGGGTGATTATGGTGATTAGCGTGTTTTTTGTTGTGGGTGTATTGTTGTGATAAGGGGAGAGATGATCTGTCACTGTAATTGATGGGCGTTGTTAGCTGGTCTTTTGTGTGCAGTGATCACTGGTCCACAGAGACTGGCGAAATGTTAGGAAGAAAAACCTCAAGAACACGGCCAGATAGCTCGAAAAACCTACAACAACCATACAAAAGCTTTCTTAAAAATGCATGAAGAAATATCAAAGTTCTGATAGTAAGAAAATATAAAATGAAATGCATTTCTGAGCCTTTAAACATGTTTAGAACACACAGAGAAATAAACATTTTAAATCGAAGGTCACACAGCCTATTAAATTCTGAGGAGGAAATCTCAGTGTTTATTTTCTGGAGCCACTTCCTTATCTGTTTCCTTGAATAAGATGTCTCTTGCAGCTGTTGCTTCTCACTCACTGATTAAAATGTGAGGAAAATGCCTATTTATATTCTGTTTATCTAACTTGCTAGGAAGTAGTGTTTCACACCCACACCCACTTCCAAGCAACAATTATTTAGTTTCTCCAGTTCCCAGCATCCATGACAGCTAAGAAGCAGAGAAATAAACAACATGCATGCACAAAAACAGTTAATTGCTTGTATTTACACCATTTACCCATCAGATGTCAGTGCTTAGTCTTTTCATATCTCTTTGTGTATAGTGGAAATAAAACGAAATAGGTGGTTGCCAAAGAATTGTTACTGAATTTGGGGACTTTGCTTGCTGGAGTGGTTCATTGTTTTAAGAACACTTAATGTTTTCATGCCACAAGTTTAAAAGTACGCAATTTTCTTTAACTCCCTCCCCCAAAATTGTTCTAATATTCTTACACAATGTATCAACTTCAATAGGTTTATAAAGAAATTATATTTTAAATGTTTTCACTCTTTAAGAAAAACTCAGCATGAGATACAGTAGCTGAAATCCTGTTGCACAGCCCTGCATGCACAGTGGAAATGGCATTAGCAGCAGCAGATTGCTGATGATTAAAGGCGTCCTTTGGTGATTTTAGGGTACATGTGACTCACCAGAGGAACCCTTTAGTCAGCAGTGATTTCCCTCGTTTTTCCCACTGCACACATGGTGCTGTACAATAGGTTTTCACCCAATATACTTAAGAGTAGTCAGATTACATAAGCATTCAAACTGACTTACTTTTAACACAGCATTATGAATAGAAAGCCTCATATTTTCTGTTTTTCCCTCTTGAAAGTTGTGGGAGTTAGTGAAGCTTTTGAAGATGCTGCCAACTGCTTGTGGCTACTTACAAACTCCAAACCATGCGCCAATTGCAAATCTCCAATTCAAAAGAATGAAGGATGCAACCATATGCAGTGTGCAAAGGTAAATGAAGACTTTTGACAAAATGATGTAGTTCTCAAAAATATTAGGAACAGTATTTTGTTCATTTTCAAAAACAAGCTTCTGTGACCTACTCTGATGTGTCTTCTAATCTGAGAGTATTTTTCATTTATATCACTCAAAGTTCCCTCAGACTTCTATTGTCCAATTCATATAGGTAACTTCACCATTTAGGATGCTAAACATATAGGTAGTATGTGGACAGCCCTTCAGACTCTGTACTACTTACAGCTACATATGAACATAACAAAACATACATTGAGGGGTATATATAGTCTCCACATAGGCATTGAAAAATGGTGTTTAACTCAGTCGGTCCCTTTCATAGTCTTAACAAAAATGGACTCTTTGAAGCTGCTCTTGTGCTTAAAGGGAAATGCCCTTTGTTTTGTCAATATTACCCATTAAGTTCAGAGAACAGTGCAATGAAAACATGTATGTGGTTGTAATGTTTTAGATCTCATTGCAGATAGATCTTTGATAGAACCAATTTAAGAAATTAGGTTTGTTTTTCCCTTTCAAGTGTAAATACGACTTCTGTTGGATTTGCCTTGAAGAATGGAAGAAGCATAGTTCTTCCACTGGAGGTTATTACAGATGTACTCGTTATGAAGTAATTCAGCATGTAGAGGAACAGTCTAAGGAAATGACAGCAGAGGTAAGAATCTGAATAATTGTGGGGAGAAAGATATTTTTCTCTAAATCTTTCAAATCTATAATCATTAATTTATTTGTGATTTTTTAAATCTTCTTTCAAGCCTTTTAATATTAGACATTTCCAAATGTACTTGCTGTGATAATCACTCTGTCCTCGCGCCCCTAGCATACATCTCTCATATATGGCTTCATGTTTCACTCAGAAGTACTATATATATATTTTCATGGAGTGCAAAATGCTAATAAGTGTCTCTTGTAATTTGTGAGTAGGTGTGGCTGTGGAAACGTGTTGTTCCCTTTATTTGAAAACTTATTTTAGAGAAATAATCATTATTGTATCAAAATGCTTCCTTGTTGCTATAAATAGGTACATATTCTTAAAGTAATACTAATCTATATGTTTTGTTTTGGCAAATAGTGCTAAAATGTACTCTTTTATGAACAATTTAAGATTCTGTGGTGTTCAGGATAAACAGTGAAGTCTGGTTCATGTTGTCTGTCACTTTCCTAGTAGCATGAAGCTTGTGTTCAACCCACAGAGGTTGATCTCCATATCGATCTTAGATCATAGGCACTGTGATTTCCCAAATACATTGAGAAGTCATTGTGATCATGCAGATTGTAAAGATTGTAACAGTACAAATCAGCTTGTGGTTCATTATGTTCCCAAGGTGCTACTGAAGGTTGCAAAAGCAGCATCTTCAGGCAGCCATGGCCCTGCATGCTCTTGCGATACTCATTTGAGGACTATCCACCAGTGGAAAGTAATGTGTCATTTTAGAATTAATTAGAAAATAAGTGGGACAATAGAAAATGAGTCCATAAACAGAATGGACTTAAGAATGGTAAAATATCATTGTACTATATCTGGAGTTCCTTTGATTCAAAGATACTACACAAAATTGAACAAAAGTTCATTCTCACACTTTTCAGTTTTGTAAATTGTATTCTGGATGGCTTATATGTTCAAGATGTATTAATCGCCACACCATTTGTGAATAAAATTCTATTATTCACTTTGTCAGTGTTGCACATTTGCTTATGTTTATGAGTATTAAACTCATTTCTGTCTAGTAAATTGTTAATTTTTTCTTCTTTATTTCTAACTTATTTTTCAGGCTGAAAAGAAACATAAAAGATTTCAAGAACTTGATAGATTTATGCACTATTACACAAGGTTTAAGAATCATGAGCTCAGCTATCAGGTATGGTTCCAAATATTTCTGTAATGTTATTTTCTAGCTTTATTAGTACAAAATATTTGGTTTATCATTTTTTTATGATCTCTCCATATTTTTAGTTAGAACAGCGCCTTCTCAAAACAGCCAAAGAAAAAATGGAGCAATTGAGTAGAGCTCTAAGTGGACGTAAGTTTGTCAATATATTGCTGAAATCTAGTAATGTAAAGTTACACCATGTAAGACTGATAACTTTAAATGTGGCCATTTTGGCGCGAATTAAAAATGTTCTGGTTATCCTCCCTCTCACAATGGTTCTGAAGCCCTTGTGATCACTTTTGTTCCAATTTCCAAAAATTAACACCACTGGAAAGATTATGCTGCTGTGTGTGTCTTTCTTTTCTGAGGAGCACCCCTCCATTGTCATAATGCAGGATACTTTCAGGTTGATCTCCATTCATATCCAACAAAAAGAATGCTGTTAAAAGATAAAACAGCTAGTAATTTATGAAGAAAAGTGGAGCTACTGAACTAGAGAACTTCATTGTTAGATTAGAGTAGGCATCATTCAGTCTCGAGAGACTATGGTAACGTACTCTGTATGGAGGACTTGGAACAGCGTCTAGCTGAGAAGGACAATTCGAAAGTGACAAGCCCTTCCACACTGACAACAAATACAATCTGTCCCCTGTCCAGCTCCCTGATTTTGCTGATTTCGGGACTGCCTCTTTGCCTCAGGCTGCTCAACAACTGCCTCTTTAAATTGGGAGAGGCCTTGATGCACCGCCTGCTCAGATGTCAAGGTTTCCCATCTGTTGAGGGCCATTTCTAAGGCCTTCAGATCCCGTTTGCAGATATTCTTTTATCACAGCTGTGGTCTCCCTCTAGGGTGATTTCCCTGCACTAATTTTCCATACAGGAGATCTTTTAGAATCTGACCATCAGCCATTCTCACAACATTCCCAGGCCAACGTAGATGTTGCTGTTTCAGCAATGTATACATGCTAAAAATTCCAGCTCGTTCTAGGACTACTGTATTTGGAACTTTGTCCTGCCAGGTGATACCAAAAATGCGTCAGAGACAACGCATATGGAAGGTGTTCAGGTTCCTCTCCTGCCATGCACAAAGGGTCCAGGACTCACTGCACTACAAGAGTGTGCTCAGAACACAGGCTCTATAAACCTGGATCTTGGTATATGCCGTCAGCTTCTTATTGAGCCATATTCTCTTTGTGAGTCTAGAGAACATGGTAGCTGCTTTGCCAATGCGTTTATCCAGCTTGACATCTAGGGAGAGAGTGTCAGAGATCGTTGAGCCAAGGTACACAAAGTCATGAACAACCTCCAATTCTTGCGTGAAGATGGTAATAGAGGGAGGTGAGTCCATGCCCTAGCCCATGACTTGTGTTTTCTTCAGGCTGATTATTAGTCCAAACTCTTGGCAGGCCTTGCTAAAATGATACATGAGTTGTTGGAGGTCTTCAACAGATTGGGCAACAATGGCTGCATCATCAGTGAAGAGGAAGTCCTGCATGTATTTCAGTTGGACTTTGGTCTTCGTTCTCAATCTAGAGAGATTAAAGAGCTTTCCATCTGATCTAGTCTGGAGAAAGACACTTTCTGTTGCAGTTCCAAAGGCGTGCTTTAGCATGACAGCAAAAAAGATCCCAAACGGTTGGCGGGAGGACACAGCCCTGTTTCACTCCGCTTCGGATGTCAAAGGGATCTGATATTGAGCCATCAAAAAGTACAGTGCCCTTCATTTCCTCATTTCCTCTGCTGACCTAGAGAACTTCACTGTGCCTATTGAAGTTCTATATATGAAAGATGAAACCACTGAAAGATGAAACCACTGTTTTTGCTCTTCAGCAAGATATATTGATTTGGATTGAGATAGTTGAAATCAGTGTGAAAAATTAAAAATCCCATTGGTTTTAATATAAACTAAATGTGGCTGACTTACTGTGGATCCAAATCAATAACCAGGATCCTATTGATTATTTACCCCAGCATAAGTCCAATAGTGTACACAATAGCGTAGTGGTGAGTTACTATTAGTTAGCAGGTTGCCAGTTGTATTCTACATCATGTGCTAGTTGCATGTCTGGACACATGACCAGGAATCCAAGTACTGTACAGTAGTGACTCATTAACTAGCAGAAATTCATTGTTGTGATTTATACTATTTTCACTTATGCTGGCATAAGTAATAGGAATCTGGCCAGTTGTATTTTATATGGATCAACATCTCTTAGTTTTGGGTCTCTTTTTAAAATAATCAAACAGTTTATCCTGGATAGATTACAATTGCTGAATGTCCAAAATTATCTTCCTCAAATGCAGAAGCCTAGAATGCTTCTTTCATTTGCAAGTCGGGTTCCAGTTTTGTGATTGGAGGCTCTGTGTGTGTGTGATATTTTTATATACTTAATTCTTTTTTAAAAATTTTGACTTCTTAATTATCAAATTCTTAAAAGAATGAAAAGTAGTTAACATAGTTACCTTGAGGCAAAATCCGGAGCTGGAGTCTCGGAGGCAGTTTGTGCCATTCTGGCAACTCCTGCGACGTCGCTGGAACCAGTTATATTGGCTCTTGCCTTTCCTTTGGACGATTTCAGCGACGTGGAGAGGGGGGATTTGCTGCTTGTATAACAGCCTATCTTCCATATTATTTTACCGAGGCTTCGTGCTCTGGAGAGGACACTCCAGCTTCGCATACATCAGGGAGCTGGACAGGGGACAGATTGTATTTGTCTTCAGTATGGAAGGAATTGTCACTCTCAAATTGGCCTTCTCAGCCACTCTAGACGCTGTTCCAAGTCCTCTATTCAGAGCACATTACCATAGACTCTCAAGCTTAATCAAGTTAACATGCATTTTGAGTTGCTAATGAAAGTGGGAAATCAAGAATCTGAGTGCCACAACGCAGTGTTATTGGCATAGAAATCAAGTGGTCTTGTTGTAGATGAGGTTTTTTTGGTGTATTTTAGGTCTAGTTTGTGATGTATTGAGAAATAGATCTGATTTTGCACAAATATAACATTTAGTGTAGAAAAAATCCTACTGTCATTAAAAGTCATAACATCACTAAATGAGAAATCAAACACTGTTCACAATGCTTGAACTTCTCTTCCAGCTGAAGGAGGTTGCCCAGATACTACATTCATTGAAGATGCGGTACATGAACTCCTCAAAACCCGACGTATCTTGAAGTGTTCTTACCCATATGGGTTCTTTCTAGAACCAAAAAGCACAAAGAAAGAAATATTTGAACTCATGCAGGTAAACATGCACTTGTGGCTTCTACTGCTTTTAATTTTGTGCAGCTTACTAGCTGTGTGTATTAAATTGATTTTTCACTTATGCTTTCTTCCCAGTAATTTCCTTTAGGATTGCATACTTATGGCATGCCTCAACAAAATATGGGTGCATATAAATCCCATTGGCTCCAGTAAAAGGTTTCTGTCATGGAAATGAATAATTCTTAAAAATGCTTGACTTGGATAGATTGTGTCACTTTGGTGAAGGAGTTATCCATTCTAGGAGTTGTAACAGTGCCCAATAATGATCTGCTGAAGGCACTGTAAATGTCCATTCTTACTCTTGACATCTTGTTGCCTGCTGAGAATGGAAAGTGAGATTCTGAGAACAGGAGTCTGACCTTGGAATCTTCAAGTGTTAGCTTTCGAGCACTCATCCCCAACCTTGGGTAACCCAAGAGTTCTTGGACTGCAGCTCCCAGAAACCCTGTCCAGCATAGCTGGTGGTTAAGGCTTCTGGGAACTGTAGTCCAAGAACCCCTGGATTACCCAAGGTTGGGGACCAATGCTCTAAAGCAGTGGTCCTTAACCTTTGTTACTCTGATGCTTTTGAACTGCAACTCCCAGAAACCCCAGTCAGCACAGCTGGTGGTGAAGGCTTCTGGGAGTTGCAGTCCAAAACTCCTGAGAAACCCAAGATTAAGAACCAGTGCTCTAAAGTTTAGAGCACTGGTTCCCAACCTTGAGTTCCCAGATGTTCTTGGACTAAAACTCCCAGAAGCCTTCACCACTTAGCTGTGCTGGCCAGGATTTCTGGGAGTTGTAGTCCAAGAACATCTGGGGACCCAAGGCTGGGAACCACTGCTTTAGAGCATGATTATATTTGGGTTAATGTGTGTCAATGTTAGATGCACTACTTAGTCATGTTAAAGGGACAACGCTTGGAAAAGTTACTGGCCAAAATCTTGATCTTTAGAGTAATGTCACAACTAGAGTAGGCCCATTGAAGCATTGGAGCCTAGAAAGGAATTGACTCACCAAATCCTTAATGATTCAGTGAGCATACTCTAGTTGCTAAGCAACTGGATTTCAGCCATTGAGTTAGTCTGCATCTCTCAGACTCACCAGAGGCCATGCTGGTTGGAGCATCTGAGAGGAATTGTAAAAAAATAACTTTTTCAAGCTCTGCAAGCAGGAGTTGTGAGAATGTGCCCATGATAGGAGAGGAGCATGAAGCATATGACCCTTTGTGTTACTATTCATTCCATAATCATAGTTGATGACAGGTTTGCTATATCCACAGTAGTTCAAACAGTATATACTTTAACATGCTTAATTATACAAAGATAATTAAAGCTTTTAATATGCCTTCAGAGAACCCATTTTTATTACACCTACCAAGTACATATCTGATGCTGAGGGCAAGGTCTCCTCAAACTGTTTCTTACTGCTGAAATCTGATAGCAGGATACATTATGCTAACATTGGACAGGTACTAGAAACTATGAGATAATCCCCACTTGGCCATGGAAACTCAATGGGGGAGTAGAACTGGTATAACCACTTCTTAAATATCTCACTTACCTTGAAAGCCCTATTAGGGCCGCTGTAAGTCAGTTCTGACTTAATGGCACAGAACATATACAGTATGCACAAGTTTGGATACCCAAGGTGGTGTGGTGGATAGAGTGATGGACTAGGACTCTGGAGACCAGATTTCAGATCACCATTGGCCATGGAATCTCACTGGGGGAGTGCAGTGGTAAAGCCAGTCCTTATACAACTCACTTACCTTGAAAGCCCTGTTAGGTTCTGACTTAACAGCACATAACTAACAGAAGTTGACAAGGGCACTGCTTTTGTATTATAGACAGATCTTGAAATGGTGACAGAGGATCTTGCTCAGAAAGTAAACAGGCCTTACCTTCGAACTCCTCGTCATAAAATTATTCGTGCTGCCTGCCTTGTACAGCAGAAGAGACAAGAGTTCTTGGCATCTGTGGCCCGGGGAGTTGCTCCAGCAGATTCTCCAGAAGCTCCAAGGCGCAGGTAACCTGATCATAGCAGCTTTGCATACTCAAAGAGACTCATTTTTAGCCACCAATTCTGGTAAGCCCGCCTAACTAACTAGTTTGCTTATAGAGATAAAACTAGTAAGTTTGTTTTGCAGAATTCATTTTTAAAATTTAATTTCACAACTTTTTACATTGTAATATGAGGACATTTTATATATGTTCCAGGTGGCAAGAGGTGTCTTTGCAGGGCAGAATACTGAAATAATTTATGTTTCAGTTAGTGTGATTTGTGTTTATGAAAAATATGCAGCATGTAAAAGCTACATCTTGAATTGTGAAGGGTACAAGAGACTAGAGCTTTATGCCTTAACTCCACTTAAGTTGGACATGTTAGATGTTCCAGTTAAGTTACTAAGGAATAAGTATTGCTGTGAGACAGTGAAAGTTTTGCACTAAAATGAGAAATAAATGTTAGCAACAAAGTAACAATCCATCATTATTCTGGTATTGGAATTCTACATGAAAGATGCAGGATAGTGCTGTTAGTGAAACTGAGAAAGCTACGTACATTTTCGGTTAAACTGGCAAAACATAAATCCAAAATATTAGATTATTTCACATTTGAACATATTTGGGGAAGCATGATTCAAGTACTATCTTTTTCATTTTTATAACTTATGTACTTTTTAAACTGAAAAATTAATACTTTCTCTGAGCCTGTTCAAATACCAACTTTACGGCTAATGTGTTTGAGTCAACTTTTGCTATTTGAGCAAAATATAGTTCTAAAATAGAAAACCTACAAACCTGAACATTTTCATTGTCTCCAGGTCAAAAATTCAAATGTCTTAAGTTATGGGTAGAAACATACAAATGGTTGAAGATGAAGTGAAAATTTAGGAGATGATGGGCCTCTATTTTGTCATAGTTAAATACATAACATTTTTTTATAATGAGTGTGCCAACTTTGATTAACATACCGTTTCCCCGAAAATAAGACCTAACCTGAAAATAAGCCCTAGTATGATTTTTCAGGGTGCTCGTAATATAAGCTCATAATATACTCCAAAAATAAACCCTAGCTAAGTGAAACCCCGCCCTCCACCATTGTGCAGCAACCAGAAAAAGATGACATGACAATATTTGAATAAATGTAGATTGTTGTACATGAAAAAAATCCCCTGAAAATAAGCCCTAATGCATGTTTGGAGCAAAAATTAATATAAGACCCTGTCTTATTTTCAGGGAAACACAGTTCTAGTCTAATAGTATATCTCTGTTTCTTATATTATCATATTTTAAATGAAATATCTATTAATCTAAATAGGTAACATTTTATTTTAAAAAGTGGTTTAGACAAGTAATTCTAGCAGTGTTACACTTTTTATGTCTTTTAAGACTAATAATATCAAATAATGTTTAAGTTGTTTTTCTTCTTAGTTCTCCGTGTGGAAGGAGAGCTGTTTGTATTTTATTCTGTTCTCCAATAACATCTTTTTAATTTATAGCTTTGCTGGTGGAACATGGGATTGGGAATATTTAGGATTTGCATCTCCTGAGGTAATTTTTGTCACTTTTAATTACGTGTATTTGCATATTGTGGTAGTGGTGAAATTTTACTCTGCATGATTAGCTTTCTAATACTCCTGCAAACCATACCAAGGTTTGCAAGGTCTAGATGAGCTTTCTGGTTTTGTTGCTTTACAACTGAAGGAAATATATTTAACTCTTGTACTTTATTGTGGCTATGCAGGGGTTGGATCACTGTCCTCAGAGGGTTTATCATGTGGTTTCCTGGTATGCTAGCTCTGCTTAGTTGTAGGAGAAAGAGAGTGATGATATTCAGACCTTAGGTAGCATTCTTATTTCTATTAAGTGAGCAAATATTATATACCTTCTTTCATGTTCTAAGAAAAAGAGGCCATGCATTTATTTATTTATTTATTTGATTTATACCCCGCCCATCTAGACCAATGGTCTACTGTAGGCGGTACACATGTCATGGGCAGGGCATCCTAGTCAGCAGTGCAGAACTAAATTGGCTCCAGAATCAAGGCCAGCACTTAGCTCTGACATCCTTAGTGTAGGTGAAGTGTTTCCACTTTCTTTTGATGTCTATTTTATTGGCTATAATCTTGCACCCACTTATAGGTATTTATGTCTCTTTCATTTCAGTGAAATTGAAGTGGGTTTCCACTTGTAGCAATGTATTAGATCTTATTTGCATGGGGACTTTACCATAAATTTGTCTTGAAATAACAAACAAGAGAAGTAACTGTATACATTCAGCTGTTATGTTTAAAGCTGTCTAAAACATACCACAAGATTTTACTTTTACATTGTGTCCCCAGTGCAACCTGTGTGTGTTTCTCTTGTACAGTGGAACCTCTATTTCCGAACGTCCCTACCTATGAACAATCCAACTTACTAACAGCTCTGTTCGCAAAATTTTGCTTCTACTTATGGAGCTCCAAGATACGAACGAAAAAAGACAGGGGAAAAGGGCAGGAAATTTAAACTTGCTAACCGTTGGTGGCGAAGAGGCTTTCGCCCCAACGGTTAGGAAAAGGGAGGCTTAGCCTCCCAGGGGTCCCCCGCCACCGGGATCACCGCCATCAGAGACCTCCCGGGGGTCCCCCACCGCCGCGATTGCCGCCACTGGAGACCACCTGGGGGTTCCCCGCCGCGATGACCGCCATTGGAGACCTCCTGGGGGTCCCCCGCCGCCGCGATTGCCGCCACTGGAGACCACCTGGGGGTTCCCCGCCGCGATGACCGCCATTGGAGACCTCCCGGGGGTCCCCCACCGCCGCGATTGCCGCCTTTGGAGGCCCTGGTAGACCAGGCCGGCCAGGAGAAGGTCTGTTTTGGGGTGGGGAAGCCCTGGGAGGCCTCTGAAGGTGGCGGCGGGGGACCCCCAGGAGGTCTCTGATGGCGGCGATTGGTGTTTTTTTTGTGTTTTTTTTGTGTTTTTTTGTTTGTTTGTTTGTTTGTTTTTTGCAGTCCTAGTGTGGGACTTGCTCTTTTTTTGGTATTTTTTTCTTCGGCCGGAATGGATTAATCAGTTTTCCTATGAGAAATGGAGCTTTCCTATGGGAAATGGAGCTTCTACTTACGAACATTTCAACTAACAAACACCTTCTGGGACGGATTAAGTTTGTAAGTAGAGGTTCCACTGTGTTAAGATACTTAAGAAATTTTCCACATGTGATATATTATATTTGAAATTATGGAGGAATTGTGTTAAGTGTGTTGGTTATTGTATAGTGTGCTTTTCTAAATTTGTAGCTCAAATAGAATATGAATACACAATGAAATTCTGTCTATGCAGATAGGACAGTCCAAATACCCCAGCCTAATTTGTCAAATACAAGCATAGGATAGAGTGAACTAAAATGAAACAAATATAAAATTAAGACTGTAAACAACCCCCCAAGAAGTATTACTTGGTGCCATGGATAATGATATAGATCACCATTTACATCAACATTTATTTCCACATTGTTGTTTGTACTGTATTTTAAAAGAGCTAGACACACATTCATGTACATGGTTGCCTTTTAAAAAACCATGTTCATCAGTATATTTCCTTTATTGCTGCTAGATAGCACTTTGCTTGCAAAAACATAGTTTGCTTTTATAGGCAAATTGGCTTCCCTGCATTTTTCCATTTTTGCAAAAATGTTTTGTTCCTCATACTTAAATGTTTATAATAAATGTATTAATTATAATAAAAGGTGAGTAATACATACTTGCAAGTAATGCGGGGCCTGCTACATTAGTCTTATAAGTGAGGTGAACAATTTTTCCTTGATATGGTAGCTACTTTTTATGAAAGCCATATCAATGTAGAATCTAGAGGATCAAATAATAACCTCATGCACATTGGGTCAGAATCCAGCTAAGCTTTAGTTTTAGAAAGAAAACTATGAAGTGACTGAATTCCCAGCATCAGACAAAAGATTGAGCCAGTGCTCTTGTCACTGACCAGGATCAAACATATATTTTTAAGAAGTTCATCTAAGCTATCCCCATGTAGTTTGTGGTAAAATTGGTACAGTACTGCCTCCAGACATGGAATTTCCGTTCTTAAGTATTAGAGTTCAGCATATTGGCTGAAATCCTTTTGTGCCGTTAAATGAGCAGCATGGCTTTTAGGAACAAAGTGCAATAAGTTAAGAAATCTCTGAAGATATCTGTTTCATGCCATCTCAGGAAATTCGGTATGTAACAGATACTGTTTATGAAGATTTTTTAACTTACGGTGATTCACATCTAAACGTTATGCTGTTTACATAACTGCACAAAAGGATTTCAGACATTGATATCGGTTTCTATATTTCATGAGTCTGTTTAGTGATTTGAAACAAAAACAAACAAAAAAATCCTCCTCTTGTCTCTTCCTCCATGAACGATCTTGAGAAATGGGAAACTTCCTTTCCAGTTGGCTGTGGAGAGGCAAGGAGAGGAAGTATTCCAACTCTTTTTAATTGTTGCTAATCGACACAGCACAGCACTTTTTTTAAAAAATCCTTTTCAAAGTATCAGTGATACATTATCAACAATTAGAAAAGCAATACTTCCTCTCCCTTTTCTTCTGCAGGTAAGCAGCCTTCAGGAAGCTTCCAATTTCTTAAGATTGTTGAGCAGTTTCAGCAAAGGGAAAGCCAGGCACATAGGAGCCCCTGAGAGACTCAAATAGGTGTGGTTAGACATGGATCAGGGGTGGGCTGGTTCACAATGGAATGTGTCATGTGGTTGGTGGGAAACCAAACCAACCCAAACCAAACTAAGAGACAAATACCAGTCTGTATCCAAAGTCATTTAGAGCTTCTGCTTATGATAAAGAACTTACTAGGACAGTTAACTGCAGTTTATAATTTAAGAAAGTATACTTGCTAAATACCATACAGATTCTTTGGTCAGCTAAAAACTAGTATCTTAGAAATATGTTCTATTTGTAGAAAGTACCTGAAGCAGGTACTTTTTATTTTTTTTAGCATTCTTCAACAGGATACATGATGAGGCAGTGCTTTTGCCTAGGGATCTAGCAAAAAGCCTCATAATGTTAGCCAACAATTACAAAAGTTATGCACATGCTTTGTTTCTTAAATCCATGCTTAAATCCTTTAAATAAAATAGGCTTTGGAATTTTTACAATAAGACTTTGCATACAAGGTACTAATAGCTTTATAGTCTTTTTAGTATAATTTACTACTTCAGCAAATACCTTTGTAATGTGTTGCGCACATCCCCATCCCTATTTATAAAAAGCTTGCATGGTGTAACCCAGAGGTGGGCAGAAGGTGGATCTCTATCTATTGGGAGATGTTTGGGTTGACTATAGTAGATTGGCAAGGATTTATAACTCCCTATTCTTGTGTCATAATAGGAGCAACAAAATGACTCGCTCAAGCCTAAATTAAACTGGTGAGATAAAAGAAAACTTAATTTAACAAAGAGTGGATTTTTGTGTGGGCTCAGAATTCTGTACTGCTAAGTGAATTTCTTATGTCACCTTACAGTTTATGGATCTCAGAGTTCAAGTAAAATATTATATTCCTTAATGCAGGTTCTGAAGTCTTGCCCACCTCTGGTGTAGGCTATTTATGTGTTATGAAAACAAGTGATTTTATAATGCATAAAATCACAGCATTTTTTCTTTAAATGTGCTGCTTGTTATGCTCCAAAAATATTATTGCATGCTCCCCTGTATTTTATAACGTTTGGTTTATGCAGGAATATGCTGAATTTCAGTATCGGAGGAGGCACAGACAGCGTCGACGTGGAGAAATGCACAGCCTACTTAGTAATGCTCCAGACCCTGATGACCCTAGTGAGAGCACTCTGGGTGAGGTTTTGCACATGGCGGGAGTTTTTTTTTTTCTTTTATAGAGGATTTCAGTGCCACTGTAGGTTACTTGAAATCTTTCTTCAAGCAAATTATTTGTTATTGTTTGATTCATCACTTTAAAACAACAGAGCTGAAAGGGACCCTACAGACCATCAAGTCTAGTAGCCCTATTGAGGAGGCACCGTGGATACTCAGACTCTGGCTCTGCAGCCACATAAGAAAATGTTCTGAACATGACAAAATAATAAATATCCATGTGTAGACTAGCTGAAGGCATATTGATGACATTTCATGAACTTTGGGCTATTTAACACCCAAGTGTTTTTTCCAGGGAGACTGCTTGCTTAGATTCTGAAACACAGTCTTGAAAAAGAAGCTAAAGTATTGGCCTGAAAATGTCCCATGAGAATAACCATGGCTTTTACTGTATATGGAGCAAGAAATACTCATCCTGGATTCCAAAAAGAAAAGGCACTTGATATCATATTGCAAATATCTGCTGGCTACTGGAGTACACAAAAGACTATCAGAAGATCAGTCTATGCCAGTCGTTTTTAAGTCGTGACCCCCTTTTATAACAGCCAAGTAACCTGCAACTACGACCACCATGTTTGCATAAAAAGGCATTTTTAATGGAGTAAGGTCATCCCTTCTCAGAAAGTAGAGGCCTCTTTCTCCACCAAAAGTCCTGTTTTTCATACATACACATACCTGCTAACTTTAATATCCTGCTCCGAAAAGTCAAGTAAGAAATTATTTAAGAGCTACAATACATACAGTGGAGTCTTGACTTGAGAACTTAATCCGTATTGGAAGGCGGTTCTCAAGTCAAAAAGTTCTCAGGTCAAATCTGCATTTCCCATAGGAATGCATTGAAAACCATTTGATCCGTATCTGCTCTTTTCCGTCCATAGAGGTAGGAAATTATTTAAGAGCTACAATACATATAAGGCGACCCACAACCCTATTCCTGAGAAAAAAGCTTTGTGACCCCTAGGCTGGGAAATACAGGTTTGTGCTTTATAGACAATAGCCAAGCCTTTGACTGTGTGGATCATGAGAAACTATGGGTTGTTCTGAAAGAATAGGGTGTGCCTTAGCACTTGATTGCCTTCATATGCAACCTATATTGTGGACAAGAAGTTACCATTAGGACAGAATATGGAGAGACAGAATTGCCTATAGGCAACAGAGTGAAACAAGGGTGCATTTATCTGTTCAATCTGTACACATAACATGTCATATGGAAATCCAAACTAGATTCAGATGAAGATAAGAGTAAAAATTGATGGGAAAAACATCAGTAATGTAAGATATGCAGATGATAGCCATCTTACCGGCAGAAAGCAGCAATCACTTGAAACTGTTAGTGAAAATGAAAGAAGCAAGTTTCAAGCAGGACACTGCAGTTGAACATCCAGTCCCCAGCAGTCCCACCAGGCAGTCCGAAGACTGTCTCCCAATCCACTCTCTAAACGCTGGGAGGAGTGAGGAAGCAGACAGGCACCCTTTTCACTGGCCAACAGTTAACTGAAAGTTCACATTTTGCACTTTCCCTGCCTCCCACGTGGTTTTTTTTCAGTTCTTAACTCAAATTTAAGTATGTAAGTCAAGTCAATATTTTCCTATGAGATTGGTTCTTAAGTCAAAATGTTCTTAACTCAAGCCGTTCTTAAGTCAAGACCCCACTGTATAAGGCGACCCACAACCCTGTCCCTGAGAAAAAAGCTTTGTGACCCCTAGGCTGGGAAATACAGGTTTGTGCTTTATAGACAATAGCCAAGCCTTTGACTGTGTGGATCATGGGTTGTTCTGAAAGAATAGGGTGTGCCTTAGCACTTGATTGCCTTCATATGCAACCTATATTGTGGACAAGAAGTTACCATTAGGACAGAATATGGAGAGACAGAATTGCCTATAGGCAACAGAGTGAAGCAAGGGTGCATTTATCTGTTCAATCTGTACACATAACATGTCATATGGAAATCCAAACTAGATTCAGATGAAGATAAGAGTAAAAATTGATGGGAAAAACATCAGTAATGTAAGATATGCAGATGATAGCCATCTTACCGGCAGAAAGCAGCAATCACTTGAAACTGTTAGTGAAAATGAAAGAAGCAAGTTTCAAGCAGGACACTGCAGTTGAACATCCAGTCCCCAGCAGTCCCCACCTCAGTTTTGGACTTTGTGATAGGAACTACCTACTCTTGACTACTTACCTTGAGATAATTCACTGCCTAAACTTTTGTGGCTGGTGTTTTTGCTGGTGGAAATATATAATAGAATTCTAGCCATTGCCTTTCAAGTCTTTAAATGTTAGGCATTGACAGGAGTAAAGGGTTTGATTTGAGCTTTTGGATATGGTTTCCTCTTGCAGATTATACTGAAAACCAGTCAGATGGTTTTCTCTTGGTATAGAAAAAGTATATTCACTGCTCTTTGAAGTGGTCTATTTCAACTGTGACATATTATTAGGTTACTTGGTATTTTTTAAAACTGCCTTATACCAGTTCAGACTATTTCCCTGTCTAGTCTAATATGTGGAAAACAGTGGAAGACAGGAGGGCCTGGCATGCTCTGGTCCATGAGGTCATGAAGAGTCGGACACAAATTAACGACTAAACAACAGCAGTCCAATATTGTCTACTCTGACTTGTAATGGTTCTCCAAGATTTCAGCCTGATATGTTTCCCATGACCTGAAGTACATATATTATCTTGAAATAATCCACAACCAAAATTAATGTAAAACATTACCGTAGCGGGCCACTCTCAAGCCTTTACCAATCCAGGCCTATAAGAGTGCTCACTACCTTTCACCAAAACTTGCTGCCACCAACCTATCCTTAAAATCAAAAGGACAAGTGATTCTTTCAAAACAAATAAAGTGTTTATTGATTACACAAAATAAAAGTAGCAAATCACAGGTGTAAAATCAATTAGTCAATCACTGTTTATAAGAAACTAGCTCACACAGACTTTTCCCTCACTGACAGGCTCTTGCTCACTTTCTATCAATCTATTCACTCATCTCTCAAACTGCTCTCTCACACCTCACACACACCTTATATAACCCAGCTCCTCCCACTTCTGCACCACCCTCCGTCCTCTCGTTGGCTGAGGTTCCCCTGCCCAGCTGTGACGGACAGGTGAGAGCAGAGCTGAATGCCACAATTACTCTTAAGCAGAAAACAAAAGGGTACTGTTGTCAATTAATGATAAACATATACTACAAAGATGTCTAGAATATATCCTCTGGCATCAGAGGTATATTTGGTCTTCTATTTTCCCTTCAGCAAATTTGAGTAATATTTTAGTTGAGATGAAATTATTAAAGGTAAAGGTTCCCCTTGACAATATTTGTCCAGTTGTGTTCGACTCTAGGGGGCGGTGCTCATCCCCATTTCCAAGCCATAGAGCCAGCGTTTGTCCGAAGACAATCTTCCGTGGTCACATGGCCAGTGCGACTTAGACACAGAACGCTGTTACCCTCCCACTGAGGTGGTCCCTATTTATCTACTTGCATTTGCATGCTTTCAAACTGCTAGGTTGGCAGGAGCTGGGACAAGCAACGGAAGCTCACTCCGTCACATGGATTCGATCTTACAACTGCTGGTCTTCTGACCCTGCAGCACAGGCTTCTGCAGTTTAGCCCGCAGCGCCACCACGTCCCCGAAATTATTAAAACTATAATATTAAAATGAGAAAGAGTTTTTGAAGTAAAATAAATATAAACTGTATTTTTTCTCTTTGATACAATTTTTCTTTTTTCTTGAGCAGATACTCAAGAGGCTGGCAGTAACAGAAGGCATGGCAATTCCATGGTGAGTTCAGCTTCCATGAGTATCCTTCACAGCTCTTCTCTCCATGATTATACTCCTGCTAGTCGCTCTGAAAACCAAGATTCTCTCCAGGTATACTCTTTTGTCTGTCCCTTTCCCCCTTGTTTTGCTGTACAGTTTCTTTAGCTTGCATGCATCTGTCTTCTGAACTTGTCAATTCTCAATATTACAAACTCACACACTTGTTTCAGTATGTGGCTTGAACTTGAAGGAATGAAGATTAACTTGTTAGTAATTTGATAAAGCTTGCCAATGTTTGTGTGTGTGTATTTCTGTGTGTGTATTTGTTTGTGTATTTCTTAATTGTGTATTTCTTAATTCTTGTCATCTCATTTAGGCACTGAGTTCCTTAGATGAAGATGACCCAAACATCTTACTTGCTATTCAGTTATCTTTGCAAGAATCTGGTTTGGTTATTGATGAGGAAACTAGAGACTTTCTGACCAATGAAGCTTCATTAGGAGCAATAGGTACGTCTTTGCCTACAAGATTGGACTCTGCTCCCATAAATATAGATAATCCAAGAGCTGCTTTAAGTAGCTCTGAACTTTTGGAACTTGGTGATAGTCTGATGAAACTAAGTGCAGACAGTGATCCCTTTTCTGCTGACCATCTTAGTTCTCAAACCTTCAGTGATGCAAGAAGTGGCTTGTATTCAACGTCTAGTGAAGCCGATTCAAGTAGCCAAGACCCCAATATAAATGAAAATCTCCTTGGAAACATAATGGCCTGGTTCCATGACATGAATCCTCAGAGTATTGCACTCATTCCCTCAGCAAGTACAGAAACAGATGATGATTCACAGCAGCCCAGTACTGAAGAGGGGCCAGTGGAACAATCCCATCTTCCTGATGCAAAACAGGACCCTCTGGAGGAACATGCACTTTTTGAGGATGCTCTCAAAAATGAAGGCAGAGGCACCCAGACTGAAGAAAGTGCTGCTGCTGGAGACACAACTGAAACAGTGCCACAAAGCAGGGACTTCACTGGGGAAGCAGCTAGCCAAGTTGATGCTTCAGGAGACGTTTCAAGCCAGACATCTCAGACTTCAACAGAATGGACTGAACATGTACATTTGGTGTGAACATACAAAGTCTGAACAAAGGATTATTATTATGGAGCCAAAATGGCTGGGCAGTTGCCAGTTGTGGTACGTTATGTGGAGTTGGGGTTTGGCCCATGTATGCAGTTTACCAGTGATCTAGAGGTGAAATAAAGCAGGAATTCCCTTGAAGTTCTTTATAAATATATGAGTATTTCAGGGAATTTCCACTGTGTTTGACAGTATGTGATTTGCTTGCTTTAAAGAAAGAGGAATAGTTTGTACTCCACATTCCTAATACAATGCAGCATCTATTTAGCCTTAGGCTGGTGATCCTTAACTTGAAATTATGGGTTAAAGGCTTACTGAGACTCTTTTGGGTTATTGATCCTAAGAAACCATTTTTCTCATGTTGTCCCTTATTGGAATTGTCTTTTTAAAAAACATAAGTTTAGCAGTAAATATTTTTTAATATCTTGTTTTTCCATAGCCTTTCCTCAGCTAATCTCTAAATAGCAGTATGAATGGAGGTATAGAATACTTCATTCTAGTACTGCTACACAACCAAGGATAAAATACTCGTTTCTAATTGAAACCAACATTTTCATGTCTATTTACAGTACACATGTGCCAAACTGTGAATAGCAAACTAATGTCAACACAGAAAGTGTGCAGTATTGCTCTTGTGAAAGTAACAAATAATTCTTATTGACCGAAATATCACTTCAAAGGATTGCTGTTTCCAAATTTAACAAACATTTATTGCCATGATGACTGCATTAGCATAACCTGTACTTTAAGTTAATTAAGTCTGATTTCACTGTTAAGAACAGTTATTTTAAACAGTTAATTAGCAGCAACTATGCTGTGCTAAAAAGACACTTTAACGGAAGTGCAATCATAGGTCTCCCCCCCCCCATAATTAACAATGCATTCTACGCACTAATAGTGCAGTTGCTTTTGATGATAACATTATTTTAGGAAATGTTTGAAATTTCCTTAAGTTAGAGGCAGACCCATGATAGAAGTTTAATAATACATATTACTTACAACATGTTACTGTGCCTTTGCCTAACCCAAATAGTTGCCACAGTTAAATGAGTAACAGTTATCTGTTCTGGAGTTTACTATGCTATGAATTGCAAAAACCTCCATAAAAACCACTCATGGCCTTGCCTTTCCAGTAAATAATTACTTAGGGTACAATCTTCTCCCACACAGGTACAGTGCTCTCTCTCACACACAAAAACCCCACATGGCTCAATTGAGCCTTATTCCCCCATCTCCCACAATCCATGTGCATACCTACCTACTAAGGCATTCCACATTCTCATCTAATCCTCCTCTTCTAAATAAAGTAGTGTGAGTCTCAGTTTTTAAAAACTGAGTGGAGTGGGAGGAACAGGAGAGTAGCATACAGAATGCTGGTGTGCTGCCCATGGACACCCTCTGAGAGGGAAAGGAGATGAAACAGGATTTTAAAAAAGGATTCCTTTGCATATGGATCCCTCTGTATGCTGCAACTGTACGCACCCGGAGAAGCATCGTACCCTAAGCATTCAAAGTTTTTATATAAATAACAAAACACTAATGTGTGTTCTTTCAATTGCACAATATTTGTTTGGTGTATGGTTGCTATTTCATGTAAAAAAAGAATGAAATACCTTCCCTAGTGGTGTCCTACTGTGAAGAAAACTTGTTGAGATTGGCTTAAAAGCATCAGAACCTCATTGTAAATTACAGTGATGCCGTTTGTAATTTTAACTAGAGAAAACTGTTGAAATAACTGTTTTGCTTGCATATAATCAAAGCCTAGGATAACACAGGCAAAATAAATGAAATACTCCATTTTTATGTTTAACTTCATATGAGAGATCTGTTGATGTCTGATACAAAGGTTTCTCATGACTGATTGTGTATAGTAAAGTATTATGATGGCAAATAAGGTTATATCTATATATATATTTATATATATATTGATTACCGTGAGTTACAAGAACAAGTGTTCACTCCTTTTCATTTACAGATTACTGTTGGAAACTTGCAGTCCCTGTGGCTCATAATACTAAATAGCTACATATTAATTAATTACTCCAAAATAGAGAACCAAACCTGTTTCTTCAAAAGAAATAGTCTGCTGCTCTGTTACTGTATTCTGTAGATCCATTACATCTACTAGCTTGGCTTCTAACTGCCTCGTCCTGAACGTATTGATGTTGAACACCACCATCCCTTTTCCAGACTTGGAAAACCAGCTGTTTACGCAGCTGTCCAATATAAAACCTAAAATATGTCTCAAAGATTCTATCCTCATTAATTGCTCTTATTTGTTAATTTGGGATGCACATACAGCTTCCTTGAGTTATAATCTCCAAATACAATGATTCTCACACCAATTTTGTGTAGTGCATTAAGATGTTTTGCAAAGCTAAGAGAAGATATGTATGAGTGCTCTCTGTGATGATAGTGAAGTTTGTGGGTTCTGGTTTTTCTGTAACCTGGTTTAGATTGTGCAGTATATTCCATTGTTTCTGTGTTAATTTTATTCTCAGCATGACATTCAACATATTTTCTTGGTACTTACTTAAAATTTAAGACCACCCCAGTAATTGAATTTACAATTCAGAAAGAAATTTTGACAAGCCTATTTTGTAACCCTATTAATTTTATAATGTAAAAATACTCTAATCTTGAAAATGCTGTTTGCACTTTCATAGTCTATACTTGATACATTCCCACTTTATATACAGTAGGATATTACAACCATGTAGATGTTTGGCCAAATGAATGCTGTTAATAATATGTAAACTTCTTTGATTAAACATTTATTACTTAACTAAGTTCATTCTACCTAATTACTTTTATTTGACTTCAGGAAATACCAGGTTATATAAGAAAATGGTAAATAGAAAGGAAACAGCAACTAGAGGTATTCTGCATAAGTCTGTGCAATGATATAGTATATGTGTTCAATGACAACTCTTGCCATCCTTGTATTCAGCTTCACTTTCATCACATATTGTCCTAGCACCATATGTAAAAAAAAGCCTCCTGAGTTCACACATGCGTTATTAATTGATTGCTGGGATATCTAAAGTGATACATATGTGAAAGAACTATAACATATCAAACACCTATCACAATTTCCATACCACCTGTAGCCTGTCAAACATAATATTTTAACAGAAGGTTATGTACATACCTAGTCACTAACAAAATAGCAGCTTGGCTTAGTCAAGCTAGGTAGCAGGACAGGTATCTTGTGTACACAGACAGCTATTATGTGCACATTTCTCCATTCAAACGAGACTAGAGAACTATGTGTTGTACCCCAGGTACAGCATGTCATAGGTCAGCTGTTCAGAGTGGGAAGCAAGAGATTTGGTCCTCATTCTTCCTATCCCATCATTCAGATGAAACTGGAAGCAAATCCTAGAATTGGAACCAGAGAGAGTAGTACTTTGTCCTGAGATGCCAACCAGCTGTTTGTTAGAAGTGCTTCTCTATATCAGATTCTAGTGAGAGTTCTCATGAAAATCAAAAATATGCTGGTCATCAGTTGCTCTGGCATTTGATTTCACTATATCATCCTGAACACACCAATCTTGTTTACTTTCAGAAGCTAAGCAGGGTCAGGACTGGCTAGGACATGGGTGGGAGATTAGTGGAGAATACCAGACATTTCCAGGAAATCTAGATTCTAGGAAAGAATCTTGGCTGAAAGCCTGGAGAATTGCTCCCAGTCAGAATTTACAATGCTGAGTAAGACAGACCAAGGTTCTGACTCAGTGTAGGACAGTTGCCTACGTTCCTGTGATATCAAGCTATCTGATATACGTAACTTGATTGTGGAGACTGGATTATTTTAGATTACATTTTCGTCTAGAGAACACTTACGCAACTTCTATTCAAGTTTACATTCCTGTTTGAAGATTGTGCACACAAAAATTTCATACAAAATGTTGATATATCCTACTTCGAAATGCCTCTGCAAGGCGTTAAATGTGTAACTCACTTCCCAGGCCTAGATTTAATAGCAGCACTATTGTGACCGAACTATCTGCTTTCTCTTAAGTATTTAGAAATCCACAAGTACTCTTCAGATTTTCTCTCAGGCAATTTCTGCATATTCTTCTTTATTCAGTTTACATGCAGCATGCTTTTCACTTCATAAATCCAACAAATTGCAAGATAAACAAACACATGTTGATAATGTCGATGTAGACATTCAGTACTGCAAAAATATAATCATCAGGATTCAGGCGGTAATGAAGCTTCTTTCCCAGCATTAGTTGTGTATCCACCAACAGATACTTTTTTAGGGGGAGGGAAAAAAAGGTCAGATTTTGTTAACATTTTTATTCCATTCTGATTGGTGATTTATTTTTTTTGGAAGCAGTCACTTAGCACAATTCCCAATGTTAACATAGTTTCTCATTGTTTTCTCAAGACATTTTATCCTTTCAGACAGCTTTTTAAATCTTTCGATGTAGAAGAAAGATGGCTCTCTTTACTGTTACCCAGTCTGGAAATAGCAGAAGCTACTTCAAATTACAGTTAAGTTTCTAATAATTTGTGTACAATTAAAATGAAACTGTATAGAGCACTCTTGATTGCTCAGGCTTCCAGAGTTCGATACTGACTGAATTAATTGAACTTCGCTCTATTAATATCAATGACTTCAGTCTCAATTAACTTAAATCCTATATAAATTTTGCCTACTAAATTCAGCAGCATGGTCTGGGTCAAATGCAAAGCATGCTAAAAAGGGTAACATGCATTTTTTTCATTAAATGCATTTTTTGTGAAGAGTAGGTTGCTTGAACCTAGTTCTTCAGGCAGTCTTCAGTGCATTTATACACATGGGATCAGAGCCTGCACAGAACTTAATTCAGAACATTCTAGAGTGGAAAGTAGAGATCCACATTGTCCTCAGCATGCAAACTTGGGGAATGGCTTTAACTAACAAAGCAGTATAGTAAGGAATGGCATGGCTATGGCAATGTAGGTAGGTGGGAGATGTGTTTGAAAAGACAGTAATTTAAAGGATCTGCAAAGTAAACTTTTCTTCACTGTGTCGTCAATCATACAGTGAATAAAATAAGGCTTACTGGAAAAGAGGGAATTGTCACTAAAGAACAGAAGCGAGGACAGTCCAGCCAAATATCTAGCTGAGAGTGACAAAAAAATGTCAAGAGCTAGGACCAGATTGTAGCTTAACACAGAACAGGTGAAGGCACACAGTGCAGGAGGAAAACCTGTTGCTCTAGCACAGTGGTTCCCAATTTTGGGTCCCCAGATCTAACACAGAACAGGTGAGGGCACACAGTGCAGGAGGAAAACCTGTCCCCAGGTGTTTTTGGACTACAACTCCCAGAAATTCTGGCCAGCAAAGCTAGTTAAGACCGTCTGTACGTTTTAGTCCAAGAACATCTGGGGATCAAGGTTGGGAACCACTGCTCTAGTAGATCATGCCTAGAGAGATTATGATGTTGTGCACCATAAAGTCACTTCCAATTTATGGCAAACCTAATAGGGCATTTCAAGTATGTGGTATATTTAAGGAGTGGTTTCCTATTGCCACTCTCCAATTAGTTTCCATGGCATAGTGGAAATTTCAACCCAGATCTTCTAGGCTCCAGTCTGACACTAGCCATTATATGACATTGCCTCTACCAGAAAGATGAAATAGTAATTAAGCCATCTGACAGCAGATACACATTTCTCTTTCAGCCTGGAGTTGGAATGATCTTGAAAAACCTTTGAGACTCCTTACAACAGAAGCATTGATTTTTCACTTGAATCCAATGAGCTTAGTTGTATTTCCAGAGAAGACAATGGGTAAAGCAAAACCACCTCCTTCTGTACAAGGTCTGAGTAACTGAGTAACAAATGCACTGGCTAAGACACTGTAAATAGTAACTGCATGCCTTGGGTAGCTTGCCCATGGCTATACAGGTTGGCTCTTCTCAATGCCAGTATTGATTAGTCTGGATGAGTCAGATGAGGTTCATTGTGCTTCAGTCAATCTTTTGCCTCCTTTCTATTTTGTGTTAATGCCTCACTTAATGCTTTTCCAGAGGATAGCAGCATCAAGAGTCCAGTAGAGGAGTAATTACACAAAGTAGAGGATGAGTTAGGTGGTTGATATAAAAGATGTCAAACCAGATATAGGGATGGTGGCTTTTTAACCAAAGCACCCAAATGTATCAAAGTCAAAGAGATTAATGGTACCCAACTGGGAGCTAAACTAGAACGCAGATGCAAGGAGCTGAGAATGTAGAGACAAAGCCTTGGAATACTGGGAGGAAATTCCTGTAAATCTGTATGTACTGCCAAAAAAGGCTGCTCTTAAATACAAGAGGTCCTTCATACCCAGCAGGTGACAATGGGGCAATATTGGCCACCAAACCCCTTCTTTCAATGCAAGAAGAGTACTATTTTCCCAAAAATAAAACCTAACCTGAAAATAAGCCCTAGTATGATTTTTCAGGATGCTCGTAATATAATCCCTATCCCCAAAATAAGCACCACTTAAGTGAAACCCCACCCTCCACCACTGTGCAGCAACCAGAAGAAGATGATATGACTATATTTGAATTTAGATTGTTGTACATGGAAAAAAATCCCCTGAAAATAAGCCCTAATGCGGGTTTTGGAGCAAAAATTAATATAAGACCCTCTCTTGTTTTTGGGGAAACACAGTAAGAGCTGTAAACTCCTGAGAAAACTGAGGAGTTCTGCTCCTGACACAATTATCCTCTAAAACAACAAACCACAGAGTTGCTGAAAAGTGCAATAAAAATCAAAGCACATTCTACTAAAACTAGAATAGTAGGGAAAATGGCAAAAAGGGGAAGGAAATCCAGCTCAGCCCTGTAAAAGAAATCGGAAGATGCCAAAATACTCTTGAACAATGTGTCCGCTCTGCTAGTTAAAAAGAAATCAAGGAAGAAGGTGGGAGCTGCACCTTTGGCATGCATGCTAAAGGCAGGATGGAGATTTCTTTCCTTCAAATGCTTCAGCTCTAGAACATTCCAAAACCCTGTGCACTCATATGTGTGCTACCCAGATATGACAAAAAACAATTCTGTTATATGTTACTAGTTTTTCCAAGTAGTTGAAATAGGATCATACTATACTGTCATCCTTCTATACTAGCTAACCTTGACATATATAAATTTAGGAAACTGAGACTTATTCTATATAGAACCATACTTAAGTGTAAGGAAAACTGCAAGATTTCACTTTTCACTTACAACAGAGGATGAGAAGGGGAGAGGTGCACATGGCATGAACCTAATGTTCAGCACAGTTTGATCCCAAAAATCTAAACAATTTAAATTATTATCTGTACAAAGCCAGCTTCTCCATAGTCCTCAGGTTCAGACCTATTTTGAGGAAACTGTCATTAACAGAGCCACTACTCTTTATTGGTTTGCATAATAGATAATACAGTCAACCCTCGACTTACGAACTTAATCCGTTCCGGAAGGACGTTCGTAAATCGAAAAGTTCGTAACTCGAACCAGCATTTCCCATAGGAATGCATTGAAAACCCATTAATCAATTCCGCCTGTTTTTGGTTCTTGGGTCGAGGGGCAGTTTGTAAGTCAAAGCATTAGTTCCCATAGGAACGAATGAAAAGCCGGTTAATCCGTTCCTACCACTATGGGCAGAATTTTTTTCTTTTTTTTAAACCTAAGATGGTGTAGGTTAAAAAAAGCAGGAAACTACAGAGGGAACAAATGAACACTGTTTAAAAAGAACACTTTTAAAATCAAGCACCTTTTACACCAAAACAGGCACCTTTTCAACAAAGCACCTTTTAAATCAAAACAAGGAGCTTTTAAAGCAACCAAGAACGTTTTTACCCAAGCAGGTTTTAACTAAAAACTGGCTCCCTTTTACCCAAGCACCGTTTAACCCAAACAAAGCACCTTTTAAACTAAATTTTACATTTAAAAATGACAATACCAGGCAGTCCCAAGTCTCTCTTCCCACTCTCTGACCACTTGGATGAGCGAGGAAGCAGACAAGCAGCCTCTTCGCTAACTGAAAGTTCAAATTTCCTGCTTTCCCTGCCTTCCCCGCACTTTTTTCCCCATTCATAACTCGAATCCAAGTTCGCAATTCAAGTCCATATTTTCCTATCAGAGCAGTCCGTAAGTCAAAATGTTCATAACTAGGGTCGTTCGTAAGTCGAGGGTTGACTGTATACGGATAAAACAAATGTCTTGTTCTTCACAGGGAAATAGAGAGCTCCCCAAGAGATTCAGCCTCCAAACTTACTATGCTGAAAAACAGTGCTCCAACAGCAGCATATATTATTCGTAACCACTATAAAAACAAAATTTTATAATTAGTGACAAGGAAGAATAAAAAACAGTTAGATGTCCTTAGAGCTTGTCAGTATCCACATTAAATAACATGGGGATGCTAATAAAATAATCACTTGTTAGTCAAAGGATTCATGCTCCATATCTAAGCTTATGCAGTTTTCCTATTTAACCACTAATAATTCTATTTAACTATCCAAAACAGAAAAGCAGTGCATTATTTAGTATAATATAGAAGATTCTCAGAACAACAATTTTTGGGCATCCCAGCACTAACAGTGTTATAGAAGAATAATGTAGAAACACTCCATCTTCCTAGAATATTTTTCCTCCATCTATCCACTAGAAGCAAAACTCTTTCTTTGCTGTAGATTGGACTGGAAGACATTCCCTACTTTATTACTAGTCTTATTCCCCCCTCTGAAGGGAGCACCTTTAGCTCTCCGGGTCTGCCTTTCTCCTGTAGATCAAACTGAAAGAACAGTTTGGGGTCACAGAAGAAACAGGTGGAGTAAGTCAGTGCTACAGGCTTAGCCTAAGCACATTTCCCCCTCAGCACACTGATCCCTTCAGTTTGGGTAGCTGCTTCTCTTCTTGCTGCTTTGACCACCTTCACTGGTAGTTCTTGGGGAAATGGGTCTTCTTCCCTTTGGTAGCATGCCACCATTTATGGAGAACAGAGACTGAGATGACAGTGGGTCAGGGATAACATTTCAGGCCATGTCATGGCAAACATACTGTAGGGTGTTGTATTCAGATTATCTTTCTACTTCTCTAGTCAGGTGATACCACATTTAGGAGAGGTACTCCTTGCAGAAAGTACACCCTGACTGAGTCGGTCATCCAGAGTGCGGCATACTAGACTGTGCCACATCATTCAACACAGCTCACCTCCTGGGCCTTCATACATGCATATCGCTCACTTCAAAAACTGCACCACACTTGGATTCACAGTTCAACTACACAGCAGGTCATATCACACTGAGGCTAGCTCCTGCTTAGCTGACCAATGCTGGACTTCAATGTACCATAGCCACTTTTCTTCCTAGATTTGAGCAAAGACATCCTGCATTGAGGACGACCACTGCTCCATGCAGCTGCCGCAAAGCGAAATCATAATGATAGCAGGACTCCCTTTTGTCATCCCAGGTGTAACCCTTACTAATTTGGATGCCTGTTGTTTTGTCATTTCTTTCTGGGAGGGGCCACCATTATCTGTTCTCAGGAGCAAACAATTGCTATCAAATTATAAACCAATGCTTATATTACCCATAGTGGTCCATAGGAGGCAGAAGGATAGACTTCTGCTGTCGTCATTTTTTTCTGGGAGGGGCCACCATTATCTGCTCTCAGGAGCAAACAATTGCTATTAAATTATAAACCAATGTTATATTACCCATAGTGGGTAATAGGAGGCAGAAGGATAGACTTCTGCTGTCCCCCATACCTGAAAAAGCATGAGATTAACTCCAGTATAGCATGGAGAACTTCTATTTAAGGCCATAGGTAAAGGTTCCCCTTGACATTTAGTCCAGTCGTGTCTGACTCTAGGGGGAGGTGCTCATCCCCGTTTCTAAGCCGTAGAGCCAGTGTTCGACCATAGACAGTTTCCGTGGTCACGTGGCCAGCATGACTAAACACGGAACGCTGCTACCTTCCCACCATGGTGGTATTTATTTATCTACTCGCATTTTTGCATGCTTTCGAACTGCTAGGTTGGCAGGTGGTGGGACAAGCCATTTAAGGCTACAATGTCCACCAAATTGGTAATACTTTGTGCTTCATCCAATAATGTAGTTCCCTATTCATGGAGATGTGTTTTTTTTTCCTCCAGAGAAATCGAATTGTGAAGATATGAGGACAGACAAGAACCAGGATGGAGTCTCTCTACAACGGCATACAGCAAATCAGGGACCAATCTTGTGTCTTTATTTGTGTCCAGATTGTGTAGGAGACAGTACACATTCCTTAAAAGGGCTATTTATTTCAGACAAAGCTAAAAGGATTTTACTTACCATTGACTGCAGGATGGCACAGAGAATTCCAAAAGCAAACAATACAAAAATCAAAATTAGCAGAATTCCAGACGTAATGGTAAGGTCCCACTAAAAACAAATAAAATTGCAATCAGCATCTCCTACCAAGGCAGGATTATAGGAATCAAGGCATCTTAATACAGCAAATCTACAGAAGGAAAGATTTATCATCCAACCCAGAAAACAGACATTAACCAAAGCATTTAAATTGCTTGTTTCGCTCCCAGAAAAATGCACATTAGAATTCTTTGCCAAGCATGCTTCCAAAATGATTTTATTTTTTAATACATGTTCTTCTCCCATTTTACAAAACACTTCTCAGGAATAGTGTCAGACAAAGTGAACACAGGAAAGGAGCCAATTTTGAAGAGTGAGAAATAGATTTAGAGTTAGAATTCAATTTCTGTTTTACATGGAGGAAAATTCCTTCACTCCAGTATATATTTTCAGATGGAAATCTGGGAGCAACTGGTTTAGTCTGTTTCAGCAAAACCTTAAAGAATAAGAAGCTTGTATCTTGCATAGATTTGGTAGACTGCACCTCACTGGCATCTGATGAAGTGCATCGCTATGCATTAAAGTTTACACTAAATAAAATTTGTTCATTTTTAAGGAACAAGAAACCTTTGTTAATTTCACCACATATTAGAGCACCATGCAGGAAAGCTATCAAATAATAAACCAATGTTTATAAAATGTGGGGGGTGGAGGCTATTAGCATTCCAGCTGAGATGGCACCATCTTCTAGAGGATACATCGTTCTGATAAAGCTGATTGGAGCTTAAGCAATAACTAATAAACACAGGAATTAATTTCTCTAAAAACCTACTAAGCAGTTGTAAGGTTGTAAAGGATATGGCCAAAGAACACGAAAAACCCACAACAACCATTAGATCCCAGCCATGAAAGCCTTCGAGAATACAGTTTAAACCAAACATAAATAGCTATACAATACTAGGGAATATCAACAAGTCCAGTATTGCAATATCTTTATGCAGTTACATGATAACAAGTACAGTGGTGCCTCGCACAGCGAGGTTAATCCGTTCCGGATTAACCCTCGCTGTGTGAAACATCGCTGTATGGAAAGAAAAAAGCCATTGGAATGCAATAAACTTAGTTTAATGCGTTCCAATCGGCTGATTTACTCACCGTACAGCGATGTTCCTCTATGGCCAGCAGCCATTTTCACGCCCTCCCCTCGCTTAACGAGGGCGCGAAAACGCTGCGCACAGCCATTTTGGGGCTTCTGGCGGCCATTTTGTAGCCGCGGAACAGCTGATCGGCGGGGTCACAAAGTGAAGGTCGGTAAGCGAACCGCTTACTGACCTTCGCTCTGCGATTTTCGCCCATTGAGGGCCATCGCTCTGCGATCGCATTAGTGATCGAAAAAACGTCCCCGTAGAGCAAATTCATCGCTCTACGGGGTGCTCGTTGTGCGAGGCACCACTGTATTCCAACCAGACTGTAGGTAATACAAATTCAGTGTTATGAAATACATACATTGCTAATTATTTGTCAGTACAGTGGTGCCCTGCATGACGACGATAATCCATCCCATTGAAATCGCTGTTTAGTGAAATCATTGTCATGCGAAATCCGTTTCCCCATGGGAATGCATTGAAACCCATTTAATGCGTTCCAATGGGGAAAATACCTCGCCGTCCAGTGAAGATCGGCCATAGGGAAGCCATCTTGAGAGCGCCGATCAGCTGTAAAAATGGCTATCCTGCAAAGCATGGGTCCAGAAAACACAAGGCAGCCATTTTGCGAAGCCGACGATCAGCTGTAAAAATTGTTGTCTTGCGAACAAACGGTCCGCGAAGCACAGACCAAATCATCGTCAAACAAAAATCCCCCATTGGAATGACTGTTTTGCGAATCGCTATAGCGATTGCAAAAAGTCATCGTTATGCGGATTCGTCGTTTAGTGGGGACGTTGTCTTGTGAGGTACCACTGTATGTACTATTCTTCTTTCCTAGTATCTCCTTTGCTATGCAAAATAAAATCCCCCATGAGAGGGACAAGTGCGGAAATGGTGCAGCAAGAGGTCTGGAGCCTGAAAAATCCTCATCCCCTGATGGTACACTCAGCCCAGAGAGTCTCTCTGCAGCCAGGGCTGAGGCTGTGGCGATGGCAAAGCAACAGCCAACATGCCAGAGGATTCCCATGCCAACTTTCTTTTCTTCTTCGGCATCGAGGCCGAGTGTGGCTTCAACACCAATGCCGAGGTGGTCAACTTCAAGCCCGAAGATAATGCCTTTGCGGATTTCTTAGCCCGCTTCGGCGAGGAGCCTACAACTGAAGAGGTCTCCACTGGCGAATCCATAGCCGAATCTCTCGATGGGCAAACAGACTTCTCCCACAAAAATGAATGCAACCATTAGAGTCATTGCTTCAGTGCTGGTTTGGTGAAACTTTTATAAGCAGAACAAAGAGCCAGTTTGTGTTCGTCCCCCAGACAAAACAGACACTGGGAATGCCCATCCAACAGCGTTATTCAGGCAGGAGGAGCAATGCTTAAAGGGGCCTGATGAGGCCATAAACCATTAAACAGAAAAACACAAGGAAACAAGCCAGTTGTATTCTTTTTGCGAAACTCACAAACCAAGAGGATCGCCGACTAGTCCAAAATCGCAAAAAAAATGGGAAGTCCAAGATGGTAGGGAAAGGAGAAAAAATGCTACGCGAAAAGCTCTGACCAAGATGCTCCTACAGCGGCAGCAAAAACGGAACTGAGGCACTCGGTGCCAGGGCGGAGTTATAGGCAGCGTGGAGGGGGGGGTCCCAGCACCATGTGCCTAAGCTCTAGAAGATTCTGAGATTGCTCTGCGCAGGTGCAAATTAACCCATTAGTGTGCATTCACAGAGACCATGAAGAAAAACCTATTGTTTAGCTTAGTAAACCACACTAGAGTAGGCCCATTGAATCAATGTGGATTTAATGAGTCAGCTCCTCCAGAGGTTCTGTTTATTCAAATAGACCTACTCTATGGTGACTAACTAAACCAAGTTGCAGTTAGCAGCCCCATTTGAATCAATGGGACTTACGGAGAAATAAACTCATCAAATTTCCATTTATTGAATGGATCTATTCCGGTGTGATTTACTAAGCTAAGCAACAAGATTTTGGCCAATGTTTGACAGTTACCTAACAATTCATGTCTCCAATAGTTATATAGGCCATTTAATCAAAGACTGCTTACTTTTGTCTGAAGAGCAAAGACAGACAGTCCCAGTGCTGCAAATGTAGTTGCACCAACACCCCACATCACTTCGTCTGCATCAAAGAAGCTAAAATCCAAGAACATGTAAATATTTATGTGAAATAGAATTAGGCATGTACAGCCTATTCCCATTGGAGATTACCATATTTTTCTGTGTATACGACTATACTTTTATCTAAAATCTTTAGACTAAAAACTGAGGGTCGTTTTATACACGGAAGTAAGGGAGGAAAGGGATCAAAGAGTTGCAGGATCACAGCCCTTTGATCCTGCAGCCCTTTCATTGCTGCTTTACCCTGCACTTCCGCAGCCCTTTGATCCTGCTTTCATGGGCCTTAGGAAGTGGAGGGGGAAAGCAGAGATCAAATTTTCTTATTTGGGGTTGGAAAAGTGGGGATCATCTTATACACTGGGTCATCCTATACATGGAAACATACACTAACAACTTACGCTGCAATTGATCCTAGCAATGTACCCTCAAGAACTGTCTAAAAATAAAAAATAGAGAAAAAAATTACATACAAATAGAAAATAAAAACAGTTCTCTATTAGTAGACACTTGTTAGTAGATCCTTATTATTTTGCATAATGTTCTTTTTGAATCTAATGTGGGAGTATACTGCTCAACCTAGAGGATGCTTTGATAGTGCCCTTTAGTGTGTACAGTTCCTTGTTCATTAAAGGGAATGCCAATAAAATATCCATTTCTCTTACTCAGAAAATCTAAGTGCCTAACATAAGTTATAAGAAAACTGTATATGTAATATTCCGTAAATAGACTTTGCAAAATAATCCTACCAGGGACTGAAGAGTATATACGTGTTATTTAAGACTATGCATGTTTTACTACAATAAATCTCCAAGTAGCTTCAGCAGCTTCAGTTGATAAGTAGCTGATTAAATGCATGAAATTTTCAGCCCAGAGGGTGACTCATCTGCAAAAGCCTCAAACAAAAATTAGCTTATTTAAAAAGCCTTTTTACCTTCACATAAATATCTATAACATAACAACAGATCATTCCCATTAATTCAGAACTGGTCCACAGACTACCAGATGTAATTCCAGCTCCATCCAGCACAGTAAAGGTTGATATTTCAGAAATGGATATTGAATAAATATGCTAGCTGTGTGGCACCACACCAGGAACAGTAACCCAGGATATAAAAATGTTTTTAAAATTAAATTTCATAAAACAAGGACAGCACAATGAGTAAATGACAGAATTCTGCAGCTTGCCACACATGATATCAGGGAACACACAGATGTGTTATTCAAGTACAAGGCACACAATAACCACCACAACAGCAAGTATGCCCTCAGGTTCATACATATCCTAAACTGAAGACAGCTGGACATTTAGCTACACATGGGTCCCAGCTTCATAGGAAGTGTGGTAGGAGGAAAAGACATTGCTTGCATTTCCTGTTCTAACTATGTCGTATGACACAAACCAGCCTTCCCCAACCCAGTGCCCTCCAGATGTATATGACGATCACTTCCATCCAATATATCTGGTGGTCATCAGCTGAAGCAGGCAACATATGACCATCACTTCCATCCAATATACAGTATCTGGTGGTCATCAGCTGAAGCAGGCAATACTATCTACCTTGATATTGTAAATTCAAGATGTAATAGGAATACAATGCCTACAATGATAATGATAAGCTAATAGTGAGATTATTATCCTAAACAAAGCATTACTTTCAGAAAATACTTACAAATATTAATAATAAAATGATGTTCAATGGAAACTTTCTGCGAGCATGATCACAGCAGGCTAAAGTAATTGCTAGAATTAAAATTGCAGGTCTAAATGGAAAAAATACTATAATTTAAAAAGAAACGTTATTGAATGAATGAATACTTGAATGAAACATTATTGTGTGTTGAAGGAATACAAGAGAGTTATATATCTTGTATTGACAAAAACAAATACAGTAACAGCCATACAATTGGAAGAAACAATTCTTATCATTCAATTCATTAAAAGTACCAAAAAGAAGTAGGTATTCTTTTCATATTTGGCAGAAATGTTCATTTAGAGGAAAAAGTGAACATGCAATTAGACAAATTAAAAAAAGGTATTTTTGGATATCCTGTTCCATTAATTTTTCTTGATAGTAGCAAATAATGAAAAGGTAGCTGATTAACATCTCATGTATTAATAACAGCCAAACTTTATATTTGTTTGTTTTGAAATATCTGTTTATTACCTTTTTTTGTTTGCTAGGCCTTCCACAGCAATTTACAATTAATAAAAATTGTAAAGAGACATTTAACAATCTTATTTTTTTAAAAAAAGAAGAAGACTAAAAACATTTATTAAAAGCAGTTACCACACACACACACATATTAAAAGTTATTTTAAAAAACCAATCCTAAAGAACAAAGTCTCTTCCAAGTGATAGTTTTAACTGCCCATTGGAAACTAAACAGAAATGCAACTGGCTTAAACTCCTTTGGAAGGGAATGCTGCTACACAGAGTTAGACAACCAAGGTGCTGCTCTCAGCGTGCTGGGACATGCAATAGGATCTTTATAGGAAAAAGAAATTCAAGGCATTTCATATAAAGAAATATTTGGATAACTATCTCTTACATCTACTCTACTTACAAGAGTGAATAACAAAACCACGGGCGCCTTCGTACCCATATTGTAAGATAATTCCTGACCAAAATAAAAATTAAAATTAAAAAGGGATCAGAATATGATTTAAATTATTTAAGGTATAAAAGGTTTAAAAAAGATTCACAAGTCAAAAATTCCCATTAAAGAGTACAACACCTTGTTAAAGACAACATGTCATACTTTCTTTAATTGACATGGTTCATTTCAAAATGACAGAAGCAATTTAAAATGCCCAAACTATGCCTATCTTCAACCTTGCTTTTCTTAATATGGAATTCACAAATATTTAAGTCAGAACCTGCGCCTAAATAATAAAAGGCTTAGAATCGTGTCTGATTTAAGAATATATGTAGTATAGTGCACCATAAGAAACAACCAAAGTAAACAATGGTCTTATGCATTACTTCAGCAACCTTCGTATCTCCCTAAGTTCAGAAAAAGGCAAAACAATTGTGCCATCTGTATAGACAAGATAACAATGAAGTTGAAAATATGAGAAATATAAAGTCTTTCTATACAAGAGTCACTGTGACTATTCCATAGACATTTATTTGTACAAAAGGCAAATACATTTTGACACACAGCCCTACCAAACAGGATCAAATGATAAACCACTGATGTTTGGTGAATTGTTTCGACTATAAAAATACTGAGCAATGATCTCAATTTTATCAGATTCCTATTACCATGTTATTTTCCATAAGACCAGATCTGTAACCACTTCTGTAAATAAAATGCAGTTGTGTGGAACTTTCACTGGCTAAACACAGTGCGCATTATTAAACACAATAACAGAAAGAAAGATGGGAAGGCATAACAAAACCCATATGCCCCAACTTTGACTTCTCCCATCTTTCACCAAATTGTGCCATTCATAAAAGGGGAGAATGAGATTAACAAACAGATATTCTCTGTGATTCAAGCACTCAACATGGCTAGATCTGGAGAGACAATGTGAATAACAAGGCAATGCAGAGCTGAAGGCTATATTGTTTCCTCAGGTACTGTACAGGTATGTAAAAACACTGTTGAAGGAAAGGACATGGAAATATAAGTTTGAATGAAAATATCAACCAGGAGCTACTAAAACAGCAGCAAACAGTTGAGTACCTCACCAAGGTAGGAGGCGGCATTCCCATTATTGCAATTCAAACATTAGATAAACTAGCACTTTCCTTCTTCATTTTCTCTCATTCTCTCTCTCTCTCTTTGGAGTTCACCATATTGCATCTGGGATTAAACAAACCTGTGATTATTAAACTGTACTTACCAGTACATGAACATGCATATTATACCAACAGTGAAGCCCAGCTGAATTGTCAACATGAGATATATTTTTCTCATGAAAGCTAGAGAAATAATACAGAATTACTTCAGGTTTTGTGCTCAAGAAATGTGACTAATATTTGGAAGATATCTGAAGTACAACATTAAGACACTGTAAAGATTGCGTAGCTGTTAAATTAGTGTTACTGATTAAATTCAGGATTAACTACTGACAGTGAATTCAGGAAGACTGTGCACATGGCAATATTTCCATCTAGCAATTACTTCCTGTAATGCTGAAAGCCTTGTGCATATAATGTATGTTAATATTGCTGTAATGTGTGGCAAAAGTCTCCCCTGCTCCCTCTCCAACCAAACTGACAAACCAATAGTTAATAACTCTTTTATGTCTACTTTCACTACGTGAGGTTCAATCCAGCCTTATACTTAGACTGCACCCACTCAAATCAATGAGATGTAAGTTAATCTTGTAGTGGGTCTACTTTAAATATTACTAAGACTAGATCCAACACATTATACTTCTATTGTTTTTTGAATGATCTATCACAACTGTACATTAAAATTGTCATTCTGAATCATTCACTTTCTGATGTTTTCTTCTTCAGCAAAGTTTACTAAATATTCTAAATATTCTAGATATTTATTTTATTGTTTTAAGAAAAAATAAAATAAAATAATCTGATTTTCTCTATACTGTAATTATTTATATATCATGTTCAGCCAATAATGCAAGCAATCACCAACTTCATACTAGCTAATTTCTGTACACTCTTTATAATGAGTCTAGTGGAGGAAACTGCTGCAACGTACCTCTGCGGACAGTTTTATCTGAAAATGGACCTGCTTCTTCACCAAGGATTGCCATTTGTCGCTGCCTTATCTGTGCTGATCGTGTATGTCTTGCATGTCTACCACGTGATGGAGAAGATCTTGTTTTTCTTAATTGTGTTGGAAGCTCTGTGGGTTCCCTGGGACGCTTTTCACCTGTACGTTCATGATTACTAATAGATGGCATCGCTTCTCCTGCAAGTGGTTTCACTGAGTTTGCGACTTTTTGAGAATCTCCACCAGGATGTTGGTATTTGTTGTATAGTATGTCTCCACCATAGCTTACTGGTACATTATTGTCCATTTTAGGTAAATGTATACCAGTTATACCTTCGGATAAATCCCAGAAATCTGTCAGTTGTTGGCTAGTACACCTGAAGCATAATCCAAATTTGAACACAATCCCTCCACATTTGTACACCCAACCCCTCAAGATTATTTTTAAGTTGTAACTTCTGTCTGGCGTGGTTGGCATCACCAATTATCATAGATAATGGTGCTTGTAGTCAAAGCATCTGAGGAAATAAAGATTGGGCAAGGCTGCTATAGCAAATTTGTTAACCACAAACTTAAAACCAAAGGAATGCTTTAGAACTAATAGATCACAAGGGAAAAGAAACAATCATCTTTTAAATCATTACTAAACAGCATCTCCTCTGAGTTGAAAATAAATAACGGGAAAATACCATTATATTAAGAAAATGTTAAATCATATTCATATAAGCTGAACTGAAATATAGCTGGCAAAATAGTGTTATCAGCCTTGTCAAGTTAACGCCTATTTATACATGTGTTCATCCATTTTTATTACTGTCAAATTATGAAAATGTCATGACTTTTTCTGCAGCTTCACATTTAATGGCCTGTGTAACACAGACTCTTCAAAGCAGATGGCCACAAGAACACATAATTGCATCCTACAATCTATTTGTGGCTTGAAAGATGTGTAATGTAGTTTTGAGCTTGCTAAGCAGCTGATGGACTCCTCTCCTAAAGGCTAGACAAGGGTTGTGGAAACTGGCCTAGCAGTAAGTTATGTTAGACACTACCTTTTGGTGCCCATAAAATGCAATAAAGTCAACGTGGGACAAAACTCCTTGTTTTCTGAGGTGTTTTTTTTAACCCCATCATTGGATAGTGGTGTATTTTTGTTCTACTTTGATTCAATTTGCTCCACAGCAGGATTAGTGCATGCAGACTCTAGTACTGCATAGTCCTGTGCTGATCTGCACAATTTGATGACATTTCTTCTCCTCATGTGTGGATGCAAATATTGGAATGTTATGTTTAAATCTGTAACAAAAAATTATGAGAATAATCCAAAACAATTCAGAACAACAGCAGAGTGTGTGTGAATGATCCCTAAAGCAATTAAGAACAAGTAGAGTCCACAAAACCCTGGAATATCTCAACAGAGATGCTGGAACACATTACAGTCTTAGAGAACACTACTGGTTGGTTGGTCCAGCAAAACCAACAGGCGGGGTTTATTGTATTTACTCTTGACCTATTCAGACCGTAGGCAAGAAGAAAAGTCAGGTCAATAAATATTCCCTGCTGACAGGAAAATGGCTCTGAATCCTGAGCAGATTTAGTCCCAGAAAGTTTATTTGACTACATTCTCTCTTCAGTTCCCAATACCCATGTTGATATTCCCAGGTCAGCATCCTCTGATATTGATTTAGAATACTCTATGAAACCTCTAATGTGTTTTTCAGGCCGTGTTCTGGAGGTTTTTCTTCTTAATGTTTCGCGAGTCTCTGTGGCCAGCCTCTTCAGAAAACAGGAGCTAGAATTCTGTCTGTGTTCTGGTGTAATTGTGGGATTGTTGAGTATTTGTAGCTGTGGGATCAGGGTTTTTGTTCTTTTCAGGAGATTGGGTGTTTCCTGTGATCAGGGTGTTTTTTGTTATGTGTGTTTTGTTGTGATAAGGAGAGGGAGAGGGATCATCTGTCACTGTGACTGATGGTCTTGTTGGCTAGTCTTTTTTGTGCAGTGACCACCACTTCTAAAAATTAGAATAGTCAAAATCCTGTTGCTTAGCGTAAACCAAAATATAATTTTTGGTTCATTCTGTCATGGTCAGCAAAGTGCCCTTGCTGTGATTATTGGAGAGAATTACAGCAAGAATGGTTTGTTTACCAAGGTGGAATGAATAAAAAATTATAATTTGACTTGCACTAAACAACAGGCTAGAACTACAAGTTTGCAATAAACCAGAGAAAGCATATTTGCTGAGGGTTAGCTGCAAACAGGCATGGTCCGCGCATGTAATACACAAACTGCAGCACTTCTTTTTTTGTTTCAGTCTGTTGCGCACTTTCACAGTAGGTGTGTCGGAGGCTGAGTGCGATGTTACATAATGGGAACGTTATGTCCTGCTATGCCTCTCCTTTTTTTAGTTTTTAAAAAATATGCATAATTGCACGTTAAAGAAAAAATAATCGTGTGCTAACAGAGGTGCAAAGGAGCAGGAAAAAACAGAAGAAATTACCATGGTCAAGAGAGTTGAGGGTGGCAAAGTGTGTTAAAAGTATGTGTTGGAAACAAGGGGTGGTCCTGCATATTGTGGGATATTTGTAAAAAACTGGAGGAAGAAAGAAGTGGATTGGGCAACATTTGGAACCACAATAGGACTTGATGTCATGTGATACACTAGGAGTTCCTGCAGATTCAATTTTTTCTGGATTGTGTAGTTTTGGGCAGGATTTCAGCCAATAGGTCATAATGTTTTTAAAAACCCAGTTATAATATTTTAAAAACTATATAACTAAAAAGCAATATAAAAAAATACCAATATAAAATAAATTAGGTTTTGTTTAAATATGTTTAGAATTCCAGAGGGACCAGAGTCATGCAACATGCAATCTGATCCTATGAAATTGTGTTTGTGTGTTCTCTGCCATCAAGTCAGAACTGACTTACAGCAATCCTAACAGGACTTTCAAGGTGAGAAATTTTAAGGTGTGATTTTACCAGTTCCACTCACCTAGTGTTTCCATGGCCAAGTGGGTATTTAAACCCTATTCTCCAGAGTCTTAGTGCCATCACTCTATCCTCTATACCAGTGATCCCCAACCTTTTCAAAACTGTGGACCATTTGGGGGGCGGGGTCCATGCATGGGGGGCAGGGCACCCCTGAGCTCACGGGTGGGTTTGGTGCATATGCGCAAATGGGTGGGGGTGTTTACAGGTGGATGGGGCACACTTGTGTACATGTGCAGGTGGGCGGAGGCACCCATGTGCGGGACACCCATGTGCAGGTCACCTGTGTGTGCGGGTGGGCGGGCCATGCATGTGTGCAGTGGTGTGTGTGCGGGGACCCGGAAGATTGGTTTCCATGGCCTGGTCCTACTAAGGCCACAGACCAGTACCGGGCCACGGACCGGGGGTTGGTAACCCCTGCTCTATACCACATTGGATTTTCGCTATGAAATTAGCCACTGAACAATCAAGTCAATGTTTAGGATGGGATGTGCTGATTGTTTTTTAACACAGGTCTTTTAAACCAGCAGTCCCCAACCTTTTTGGGGCTGCAGACTGGTTGAGGGGAGCGGGCTCCATGTGCAGGGGGCGGAGGCACCGCGCAAACACGACATGCCCCCTGCATGAGTGCAACATACCCCCGTGAGAGCATGACGAGCCCACTGCCCGTGCGTGCGGAGAGCTGTATCTGCGGCCCAGTTCCGGCAAGCCCACGGACTGGCAGCAAGTCAAGGACCAGGGGTTGATGACCCCTGTTTTAAACAATACAACAGTCTGTATTGCTCCCCCTCTATTCCATACAAAATATTTTTCAATATAGAAAGAACACATAATATTTGATCCATTCTAATATCTGTGTACCTATCTATCTATTAAAATTACCAGACGCATTGTGAACTGCCCAGAAAGTGTTCCCACTGCTGGAATGGTATAGAAGGCAAAATAAATAAATAAATACATAATTTCATTGAAAAAAAATGACAGTACAAGTTTTATCAGCTGATATGAAGCTTATTGATTAGCAAAATGTTTTAGATTATGGTAAAGTGAACAAGTCAGTTTCTTGATGCGTTTATTCTTTTACATGTATAAAAAAACAAGGGAGGTTTTTTGTTTCTCAAGAACTGGATAATTCAAGTATGCAATTGAAAAAAAATCCCTGCTCAGCATCTCAATTGGATGATTTTGGGACAATCTCAGCCATGTCTACCGGAAATGGTTATTGTAGATATGGCTGAGATTGGAAAAGTATTAGAAAATACATCCTTCTTCACTTTAGACATGTTCCTCCCCCTTCAGAGACTGAAAAGATATGTCAGTAGTTAAACAAATAAGTCCCTAGAAGATAGTACTAAGGCAGGCTTCAGATAGTCAGTATTGTAGCACTATGAAAGTTTAGTGTAGTTAAATATCAAGATAAGGCTACCTACCAAAGATTGCTGCTGTATGTTGACTTTCAGCAAGGACACTATGGCAACATGATGTGAAGAAGCTTCAAACAACAAGATTCTAAAAGTGCCAGTTGGTAAAAGAGATTCAGAGAGACCAAGATAAGAGGTGTGGGGGAAAGATAATGAAGAGGAGGAAATAGAATTAGTCCCTTTCCCCATTTGCCCCATTTGCCACCATGTTGATTACCACCACTACCAAATACTGTACAAACTGTTGGCTGTGCTATACAAAACTGCAAAAATAATTGCTAAACCTTTGTTTGTTTAAAAAGGAATAAACTTCTCGGATTTCCCATGCTCGTTATCTCTTTATGAATGGTAGTGAGCACAAAAGGGTGAACCACGGGTCTCAAAATTTTTGAGCATGAGGGCTGTATCGTATATTTTAAACACTTTTTAGGTACGCACTCTTCTTCACCCGTCCGCCCACCCTCACCCACAGGCACCCCACCCGCATGTCCCCCCTGCATGCCCGCTGCAGCCCACGCACGCACACCACACACACACGCACACCACACACACACACGCTTCTTCACCCATGTGCACCTGTTGAAGGAAACGGGCCAGATAAAACGGCAAGGCAGGCCAGATGTAGTCTGTGGGCCGTAGTTTGGAGATTGGTGCTGTCAACATTTATGTTGTCCTTTGCTATGTAAAACTTGGCATCGTTTTTCCTGCTGGCAATGCAAGCACAATATAATGCAGCAAAATAGGCACATTTCCTGGTGTTTTGAATCACGAATAATTGAATAAACATATACACTATTCTCCTAAAATTAAGACTATCCCTTGGACTTTGCTAGCTGTTTTCTGGGTTAATACTTGTCACCTCTTCCTTCAGTTGTTCCCATGAGCTTTTACAATCTCATACTACCTGATGCATGATACATATCTTTATTTACCCCATAAACCAGAGATGAAGAACCTGCGCTTCTCCAGACTGTTGGACTCCCTCTCCCATCAGTCTCATCCAACAATTATTAGTGGATGGGGACAATGGGAGTAGCAATATAAAGTCACTGGAGGGCCTCAAGTTCCTCATCTGTGCTTTGTAATTTTCTTGGTTGAAAAGGGTCAATTTAGGGTTAACTTAACTATCAGGCTCCTGCCCACCTAGCAGTTCAAAAGCATCATCAGGCTCCTGCCAACCTAGCAGTTCGAAAGCATGTAAATGCGAGTAGATAAATAGGTACCACCACGCTGGGAAGGTACCAGCGTTCCATATCTAGTCGCACTGGCCATGTGACGACGGAAACTGTCTATGGACAAATGCTGGCTCTACGGCTTGGAGACGGGGATTTGCACCGCGCCCTAAAATCGGACACGACTGGACTACATGTCAAGGGGAACCTTTACCTTTACCTTAACCATCAGGACTGGAAACCAAACCCTATGAGGAAAGGCTGAAAGAACCGGGCATTTTTAGTCTTGAGAAAAGAAGACTGGATCAGACAGAATAGCATTTTTCCAATACTTGAAAGACTGTCATACAGAAGAGAGGCAGGATCTGTTCCCAGTCCTCCCAGAGGGCAGGACACGAAATAATGGGCTCAAGGTACAGGAAGCCAGATTTCCGTTGAATATCAGGAAAAACATCCTAACTATTAAAGCAGTACAATAGAACCAATTACTACCTGGAGAGGTGGTGACTGCTTCAACCCTGGAGACATTCAAGAGATATTTAGACAGATGTCCTTTAATTTGTATTCCTGCATTGAGCAGGGGGTTGGACTCGATGGTCTCAGCGCCTCAGACACAACTCAAGGCACCTGGGCGCCTGAGGCAAAAAACAAAACCCGAACAAGTCTTGCCGTCCGCATGGCTGCCTGTTCACCCTAAACCACAACAGCCCCACATTCATCGCGCAGGAAAGCGGCCCCGGTCACAGAAGCTCCTCAGCAACCCTTCTGCGGAAAAGCGGGCGTCGAGGCGCCCCAGAAGTTCCCTCAGAGCGTGCAGCCTTGCGGGTAGCCAGCAGAGGGCAGGGCCTGCCGCGGCCTCCTCGCCCGGCGCGCTGCGCTTTCCCCGCGTCGTCGGTAGCTCCGCTCGCTGTGGGGCGGCGCCGCTTCCACCAGCAACCTCCGTCGTGGCGGAGGGCCTTCCCGCCAGAGGCCGGGCGAGCAAACGGGCGAGCGCCAAGATGCCGCTGGGCCTGAAGCCGACCTGCAGCGTTTGCCGCACCACCTCCTCTTCCATGTGGAAGAAAGGAGGCCAGGGCGAGATCCTGTGCAACAACTGTACGGGCCGGCCCGGGCCCGCCGGCTCTGGCGGAGCTGGCTACGCCACCACTTCGGCCGCCGCACAGCACAGCAACGGCGGCGGCGGAGGGGGAGGCGGCGGCGGCGGTTCGGGTGGAGGGAAGGTGAGGCTCCCTCGTAAGTCGCCCGGGTTGGGCTGACGTTCGCCAGGAAGCGTGAAGAGTGTGTGTTTGTCAAGGGCCCGACTCCTGAGGAAACGGGCACGCGCAGGATTGAATTGGGGAGCCGGCTCCTCAGGAGTCGGTTCTGGCGGCGGCGGCGGCGTTGCGCGCTCTCTGGGGTGACGGGGCCGTCGCCGCCTCCCTCACCCTTCCCCTGAAGCTGTGGCATACTTTCATTTTTTTTTCCTGAGCGATTTTCAGCCCTGGCTTTTCTCCTCAGTGGGTCACAAAGGCCGCTTCCTTCCTTGTTAGCGAAAGCACGTACAGTACCGGTGCTTTAATCTCTGCTGTTACTGCGAGTCAGAAATGCTCCCGATAAACATGAATGTATGAAGAAATAATTTTCAGACCAGAAAGGATGACTAGAATGTTACAGCAGGAGCCCCATAGGAACTGATGCCATCAAGACATCCAAAGAGATGGATCTAGGAGGAGGGCCTTAGGTTGGTGATCCTGGGTAGACCTATCTTTCAATAAGCATCTCTGGCTATAATATGCCTGTCTGACTTCTGAATTTGCCTAGGGCTGCCTTGTAATCTGGAATTGTTTTTGAAAGTCTGCCATGCTCATCTTTTTTGGTAAATTACTGCAGTAAAGTTTTTGTTTTTTAAAGATGGGGCATAAATGCTAGAAAGAGCTTTCACTGAAATCAGTGAGATGGACATTTAAGTAAATATGTATAAAATAGGGCTTATGTATCCTTTCTGATTTGGTAATACTGTAGTTGATCCCACTTACTAGTCCGTAGGAACTTTGTGATGGGGCACTGCCCTGAAATTTGGGAGGGTGAGGCTAACTAGCCCAGCATCCATCCTCACTTTTAAAAGGATATTTTAAAAATGATGTAACTTGTGAATTAATGAGTGTTTCTTATTTTTGCATACCACAGAGTAAGCAAGAAATTCATAGAAGATCTGCTCGATTGAGGAACACAAAATACAAGTCTGCTCCTGCTGCTGAGAAGAAAGTTTCTACTAAAGGAAAGGGGAGAAGGCATATTTTTAAGTTAAAAAATGTAAGGTGTTTAAAGATGCCTGTTTGTGATAAAGTGGTTAAATGCCCACCATTAGGGAAAAGGGGAAGTTATCCAGTGTTCTCCTCAACATACAAATACAGTGGTGCCTCGCATAGCGAACGCTTCGCTATGCGATGAAACCGCACAACGATGGGTCCCGGGCCATCACTGGAGCGTTCGCTCAGCGATGGCCCCTATGGGCTTTTTTCGCTATGCGATGATCGCGCGGACGCGATCAAAGCATAGCGAACAGCTGATCGGCGGTTCCAAAATGGCCGCCGCTAAAACAAAATGGCGCTAGCATACAAATATATACACACATACCATAGTAGTCTAGCATGTATGATAAAAACAAAGGTACTGTGGCACTTAAGAGTCCTTATCCATGAAATTTCACATTGTAATAAATCTGTTAGCTGTAAAGGTGCCACAATACTTCAGTTTTTTTTGTGTGTTTCTGTTATACATGTTGAATGTAGCATCAGTTCCTATCATCCTTTATTTCTCATTCTGGCAAACCTGTTGTGCAGAGCTCTTATGAATTATGGTATTTTGGATAATGTTTCACTATTGTATGCTCTGTGATTGCCTTTCTGGATTAGAAAATGTTGACAGAGTGCAGTTAAAAATAAACATAATTTCTTATGGATGGATGATTCAGGACTGCTTCATACATTAAGAGTAGGTGGGTGCTTGTATCAGTTTTTCCAGAATAACAGGCACTTGCAGTTCACTCATGTCCTATGTTGGGTGCATGTTCTCGCATTGAAATGGCTGCACATAGCCTCTCCAGTGGTTTTGGCATATATTGTACTTGTAGATCTATAAAGTGTAAATGGTTTTCAGGAAATAGCGTTGAGATTTTAAAAAAATGTCAACACTAGTGTTGTCTTTGAATTGCCTCCCAGTTAAAACATTCAGTATACAAATTTGGATGCACTTTTATCATAGTTTCCTAGTACTGAAGGTATTAATAATATTGGTCTTGATGTTGTCATATAGTATATTGTGGTTCCAAGATTCTCCATTAATTCTTCTCACAAATTTATACGCTCAAAAGTTCCATTGTATTTTATGTTTACATTATGTTCTTTGTGTAGTTGAATCAATATAACTTTTTTGTTTTAGCCCATCAAAGCACCAGAGTCGGTAGCTACCATAGTTACAGCAGAGTCTATCTTCTTTAAGGTATGGCTTTTATATTTTTCTAAATCTCAAAAATGTAGCTGCGTAACTAAACCTGATTTCTCAAAAATTAGTGAAAATTCCAATGAAGCCATTTTGCTAGAATATGTTTCTACAAAGTCTTGAGAAAATTTATTAAGCAGTTTTTGGAGCCTAAGCACCACAGGTAGAGTTTTACTTGTGGGTCTTTTCCTGATGCAGTCCTTTGCATTGTTCATGAAAGGTGCGTCTGATGGTTGGAAGACTGTTCTGAATAATGTGGTATGCTGCAGCGTGGTTGTAGTTGCAGGGAAGAGGAGACCAGACGTCCTTTATGCATGAGCAGATGGGTCTCCCATTTCTCAAGGAGTCTGCAGCCAATTAAAGTTTTGTAATATTTGCTAAGATAGCAAATATTACAAAATTTTCATTGGTTGAAGTCTTGTAGCAGAAAATACAATGATCCAACAAGTATCTTTAGAATGAATTCAAGTATGAAATCTGCACCTTGGTTTAGATTGTTCTTATACTTCATTGCTGAAGTGCAGAACAGCTGTTTTCTACAGACAAATCTTGAATAAGGAAATAAACAAATGTATGGTTTAGCTGAGATTTGAATTGAGGACTTTCAGGTCTAGATAGTTCATGATCTTCAAGAGCAATAGCAGTTGATATTTTATTAAAGAATGAGGTAGAAACTTTTACTAATTTCTTTCAGGCCATGTGGTGCTACATAGTTACTTTCCAGTATTCATCTCATTTCCAAAGGACTGACACATCTGTTGTTTCCATTTATTTATTTTTATATGTTTAAGATTTTAAACTTTGTTAATACTGCTATTATATACTCATTTACCTGGCAGTTACAGTACACTGAGCTCTGTGGTGTTTCTCAGTAGTTTTGTAAAGAACTGCATGATAAATTTGTAAGATTGGCATAGAGTTCAGACAGAACTTGAGTAACTAGTTTCTAGTTAATGCTTTTGAAGAAAGGAACAAAAAAACCCTGTGCACTCCTGTGGTTGTCAGGGAGAAACAAATATGCCCATATGCCTCTCTGAAAAGGTATGGAAAAGGTGCTTTCTGTAGATGGGACTGGTGAGGAGAGTATGTTTTGTATACTTCAGTAGAATATATGAAAATATCAGTGTTGTTCTTTCTGTAAAAACAAAAGCCCTCTAATTATCTATGTCTTTTCTAGGGAGTTTACTATCAGATTGGAGATGTTGTTTCAGTGGTTGATGAGCAAGATGGTAAAACATACTATGCTCAAATTAGAGGGTTTATTCAAGACCAGTACTGTGAAAAAAGTGCAGCTTTAACATGGCTCATTCCTACTACAGCTAGCCCCAAAGATTGTTTTGACCCTGCAACTTATATAATAGGTACGTTTCAAGGCCTAAAATCTTAAATTCCACTTGTCCTGGTAAATCATTTCATAAAATGTGGTACAATGCCACATTTGATCTTTACTATTAGATAGTGGGGGGAATGCTGTGATGTTGGGACAGCAATTCTATGGGAGAGATAGCTGTATTAGAAAGAAATTCAAGTTTCCCAGTTGGCAGCAATGTGCCTTCTTATGCAGTGTGCTAATGCTGCCATAACTTGTTGGAAATACAATAATTCTACAAGATGATACGAACACTTAGCTGACTTCTTTTCCCCACTAGGGGAAAAAAATGGGATAAAAATCAAATAGAGGGCCATGATGTAACCATATGTGAACTTTATATGCTTCCTCTTTAGGTAGGTAGGATAGACAGGGTACTTACTACAACATGCATGGCTGCTTCACAGATAACATGCTGTGTCATCAAAAATAATTATGTGGATTATCATTACACAGCTTTGAGTCCTTTGTGCAGCTGGATGTCTAATTGTTGCATAAGCACTGAGCTCACACAAATTAAATGTAAATCTAGTAAAAGAAGCAAAATATTTGTTGTGCTTCTGCATTTCGTATCCTCTTACCACTTCACCTTTGACTTTGAGTAAAGCATACATGGAGGACCTCAAATTAGTCGAATTCTTCTGTGTTTGGGTTATACAGAGAATTCTGTAGGACCAAAAAACTGGCAGCTTGCGTAATTTTTTCCAGTGTAAGAGAAGGGAGGGCACCTGCCTTTCCTGTGGGACTTTAGTAGTATAGCAATGGCATCAATGTGTACTGTAAATTTGTTTGAAGAATAAAATGCTAACCCTTCTTTCATTTTCACTGAAGGACCCGAAGAAGATCTTCCAAGAAAAATAGAATACTTAGAATTTGTTTGTCATGCACCTTCAGAATATTTCAAATCTCGATCATCACCTTTCCCTACCATTCCTACTAGGCCAGAAAAAGGTTTTATCTGGACTCGTGTTGGGCCTACTCCAGCAATCTCAATCAAAGAAACAGTTGCCAGCAGCCTGTAGATTATCTTGTTTGAGACTCAAACTCATATGTATATTAAATTTGCTACAAATATTTGTTTCAGTTTATGTAGCCAGCCCTAGAAGTGGCTTTTATTTATTGTTTATATTTGAGTGCCTTGGATAAAATTAGTCTTTAAGTGAAACTCTTTCTCTTCTTTGCCCTAAGGCAGGGGTCAAGCCCCGGTCTGTGGGCTTGCTGGAACTGGGCCGCAGATATGATCTCCACCCCCACACACAGTGGGTGTGTCATGCTTGTGCAGTGGACATGTCCAACATGCACACAAGCGCAACACGCCCATCATGTGTGACGTGCCTCCACACATGGAGCTTGCTCCCCCGAGCCTGTCTGCGGCCCCAAAAAAGTTGGGCTGCCCTAAGGAACCTTTCTCACACATTTAAGCCTGTCTGCAGCCCCAAAAAAGTTGGGGACCGCTGCCCTAAGGAACCTTTCTCACACATTTGTTTAAACTACTGAGAAGCTGTATATTTTGTATTTGTCTCTTGCCTTATGTAGAAATATAGGCTAACTACCTTTGCTTTATTGAAGTGCTTATTTAATACTACTTCATAAATATCCTGCTGTTTATAGATTTGTGTTTATATGCAAGAAGCTGCTATCTTTAGTAACTGAAGCTTAATTTAATTACTAGGTTAGAAGGTAGGAATAGTAATCCAGCCAGAAAACAAAACTGAGGTGGAATATAAGGGGCCAGATATGTGGCAATGTAGTTTTGTGAGGTCTTTTGGTGCCAACCATTACTGTTGATGAAGGTTTCTCAAGTACGCTGACAGATTTGTCCTGAACTTGCAGTACCTCACACATTACCATATTTTAAATCTAGGATGACACGTCAACTACCATGCTTTTTTCAGCCGTGACCCTTTATTTCTTTGAAATTAATGAAGCAATGAAAGTATCTCTTATAATTTTTAATAATTATACTGTTATGCATGTAGCATCTGACAAACTACAAACCAGTTACAACCTACCTAGTAATAACAGTGACAAACATATACCTCCACATTAAATCTTACTTATACAAATTTTTAATGGATCCTGCTTTCTAAAAATAAGCCATATATGAAATATTGAAACGGAAGATGATTTTCCAAGAATATCAACACCAGATATACAAATATTCTATTTAAACAGAAATGTAGGACACTTTCTTAGAAAGTAAAATATGGTACCCACACTCAGCTTAAGCTTCAGGATTGTCTCAGTAATATTTACATCTAACATGTAAATATTACTCAGTGGATGAATCATTCTTCAGATTAATTCAGCAAGTTGTTGAAGACTGACCATCAGTCATCAAGTTCAAATACTTGAAAGTGATGATTGCATGTAAGACTGAAATTACTACAGGACAAAATAGAGAGCTGCCCATCTGCTCTTAAATATAATCACTGTTTTAAAGTGCAGTGAGGATAAATTGGAGATGTTGAATCTCTACCCTTCACTTTTTCCAGCTGTTTTTCCTCCAGTGAGATTCCTTTTGGTCATAGAACCTCACTGCAAGAACATTCAGGGAGATGGATGTCATATTATTTGTCCTGTAGTCTAAAGAAACTGATAAATGATCTGCCGAAGAAGTCAGGATAAAAAGCCTGCCAAGTTCCAAAAAACTAGTCCTTAGTTCTAGTACTTCCTGTAAACTCAAACTGCTGTAACCATAGGTTACAATGAAAGGTGAATGCATACCTCCTAGGCTATAAGACAAGTCATAGAGTAAATTGTAACATGCAATGCATTCATGTTCTTAGAAAACAACTATTTTCTTCAGATGTGAATATCCATCCGAGACATCATCCACTGAGGTATTCATGTAGTTAGCTGAAATGACATCGTCTAACTCAGGACACTCATCTTCTTGAGCAGACAAACTACTAGGAATGGTTTCATTCATTTCATCATGCAGCATCTGCCGAAGTCTTTGAATACCTATAGAAAGATGGGGAGGCAATTAGTCAGCTTTGTGGAAACTTAACAGAAACAAGTTTTGAAATATATTCCATCTTAAAAGAATATTTAAAGAATAGAATCTAAACTCGTGTAAGTCCTGTTGGTTTATTTTTGTGACATGTCCAAATCTCTGTTCAGAAAAATATGCAATTAATATACTCAGCTAACCAGTCTGGCTCTTAAGCTTACCAGTCTGGCTCTTAATCTACAAAATTTCCCAATGGAATAATTTTTACTGCTATAGTCAAATGCCACATATGTGCCAAAAGGACAGTGTTCTGTATGCCAATGGTTAAACACGTTAGAAAACAGAATTCTAATTTTATTTCATTCATCCTCTTGCATCCACACAAATTAGGTTATACAACTATATTCCTTAGTTACTTTGAAGTTTGTGGGTGTGCAGGGATGGAGAAGTGCAATGTGGGAAACATTAAACAGTTGTTTGCTGTATTGAAACTTACACAAGTAAATCTTATCTACGGAGTCTGAGAAGATCAGCCTGAACCATCCTGGTTCGTAACAGCTAAAGGCTTTGCCAGGACTAATGAGAAGTTTTCTGTCAAGAATTTTCCACCATAAATCCATTTCAGCTTCAAATGTCTGCGACTTTAAAAACTATAAGGGAAAAATATGCATTAAACACCACATAAAATCACATTTATTACGAGACAATAACATCCTCCTATCAGGATTATTGAAGCTTCTGATGAAGTTGCATGGCCTTAAGTTGTGGATCTTGCTTAATGCATTATATTGCACAGAACTAGTGTATTATTTAAGGCTGGATACTTATGATTCAAAAAAAAAAATTTCCAAGTTACCGTATTTTTTGCACCATAAGACGCACTTTTTTCTCTCCAAAGGGGGGGTAGAAAGTCCGTGCGTCTTATGGTGCGAAAGTGGTGACTTGGCCCTCACTGGCCCCGTGGGGGGGAGCATTGAAAGGGTCCAAGGGAGCCTTCCAGCACCCTTGCGATGCTCCCCCACCCCCCCACGGGGCCAGCACGGGCGAAATAGCGACCTTCCAGGACCTTTTGAGAAAAAAAAAAAAACACCCCTCATCTCTATAAAGAATTACAAAATCATTATTCTTGCCATAAAAGAGGGTGAGGTGTTTTCCTGGAACTCTCAACAAAAGAAAAATATACTGTAACAGATCCCTGAAAAGCAAGGAATGTTCCATTTGTAGGAGCCACAAGGCTGTTGAAACCCACTGCAATGACTACTGAGAGCTTTCCTCTCAAAAGGTCCTGGAAGGTCGCTATTTCGCCCGCGCTGGCCCTGTGGGGGGAGTGTGGCAAGAGTCTGGAAGGCTCCCTTGGAACCTTGCCATGCTTCCCCCCCACGGGTCCAGGGGTGCCATAATCGCCACCTTTTGGGGCTCTTTTGAAGCTTCCCAAGCCTTAAAAGAGCCCCAGAAGGTGGCGATTTTGCCCCCTCTGACCCCCGGGTGGGGGCAGGGTGAGTCTCTAAAGGGTCCTGGAACACACTCTAGGACCCTTTGGAGGCTCACCCTGCCCCCCCGGCTAGAGGGGGGCAAAATTGCCATTTTCTGGGGGCTCTTCTGAAACTTCCCAAGCTTCGAAAGAGCCCCAGAAAGTGGCAAATTTGGCCCCTCTGACCCCGGGGGGGGGCAGGGTAAGTCTCTAAAGGGCCCTGGAACACACTCTAGGACCCTTTGGAGGCTCACCCTGCCCCCCCACACCAGGCTAGAGGGGGCAAAATTGCCACCTTCTGGGGCTCTTCTGAAGCTTTCCAAGCCTCAAAAGAGCCCCAGAAGGTGGTGATTTTGCCCCCTATGGCCTTCGGGGGAGCTGGGGGAGCCTCCAAATGGTCCTAGGTTGTGTTCCATAAGACGGACCTCTCCATAAGGCTCACCAATTTTTAGGAGAAGAAAACAGATTTTTTTCCTGTTTTCTTCTCCTAAAAATTTGGTGCGTCTTATGGAGAGGTGCATCTTATGGAGCGAAAAATACGGCATTTATCACTTTAGTATCATAAATTTATGACCAACTAGGTATGTTGTTTGTCACATATTTTGCAATGGTGCATTTTGTTGGATGTAAAGGAGGCTTTAATGCTTCATCTTCCCAAATCCTAGTTAGAAACCATCTTTCCTCAATTAGCCTTTAGTTTGTTCCTGTCAGTAGACAAGTATCATTCTTCCAACATTTTAAGATAGAATGCATTGATCACTAGAGATGGACATCAGAATCTACCCGCAGTTTCAATTTTAGGCAATTCCTTGGTTAAGTCTTTTATTGTCACTTATACATAACAGGAACATACAACCTTGTTAGATTGATGTTCCTGTCACTGGAGTAGCTCCAAGAGGGGGGAGGAAAGCTGCAGAGATAATCAGAAATTGGGAGGGCGTGGGGATGAAACCAGAAATGGCAAGAAGTCTACTTCCAGATTTGAAAAATTGGTATTTTGGCTTGTTAAAGTGCAAAGTGAGCAGGAAGTCTCAAAACAGCCATAGGCTGTTTCTCTCAGTTTTAAATAACACATTTTTCTTTAGTTCACCTTCCCTGACCCATCCTTACGTACTTTCCTGAAGTCAGCCCACACATATAATCCTCCAGAGCTTTTTAAAACAGGTATTCCTATCTCTGCAAGACCATCCACAAGAATGTTCTGTGCTTCTTTAAGTCTTCTTCTGTTGATTGGGAAAAACACATTATCCAGCCATTCTGTCAAAACAAATACACAAGTGACAATTTTTATTTTTCACCATTCTATTATTCAGGCATATGTTATACAAGAGACAAGAAATGTAAAGGCCATCGCTTTTGTATACCTTCCCATTATTTAGCTAAAGCTATGGAACATATTCTAAAACAAAAAACCTTTAGATTAAATATTAAAGTATTTACACATTTATTTATTTGATTTACCTCGAAACTCATTAAAGAAGTAAAATTACAAAATATATATTAAAACACACATAAATTACAATATTAAAGCACTATTTAATTTAAAAAGCAGTTTAAGAGTGCATCAATTAAACAGCATCAATCCACTGAAAACACCAGAAAATTTTCAAAAGTTCATCTGATTACAAATGTCTTTGCCCACGAGTGGAAGAAAAACAATCAGAAAGCTTGCCTTGCCTTTCTCAGAAGGAAGTTTCATAACTGGCATCAACCATGAGGAAGGACTGTCTGCTCTAAAACTGGACAAGTAATCAACATACCCTCAAATTGGACTCCACCTCTCACACGCGCTACTACACACGTGCCCCCTGTGCAGAGAGTTTCATCATGACCTGAACCAAAGGAGCTGAAAACAATCACTGCATGGCGGAGGAATGCTGCAAGGAGGGAGGGGGAGTCACGCAGGTGCGTGCCTTAGAAGGAAGCTTGAAAGTTATAGAATAAGGCTCCCTTCCACCTTAGATTTTGCACATTGGTTCAGCAGATAAGGTGTGCAGTTTTACATATGCTTAGTGACATGCCGCAACACTTCGACATTTTCAGCCCCTCTTTTCACAGCTATGTGACATCTCTCTCTTCAGAAGGCTACCTTATAGTATTTGATCAGAAATACACAAACCTGCTTTACTGGGTCAGACTGTTAGGGCCATCTACTTCAACATCGGCTATGCTAAACGGCAGAGGCACACCTGATTCTCACTCTCAGGCATTTCACACAATCTATTTCACAGATATGGAGAACATTTTTCAGTTTTTACTAACCTCTATCACTAAGGAATTGTTTGAGAACATACTGCACAGGTCCAGGGCATCCATGAAAAACAGCTAGCTGATTAACTGCCTCCCTGATCTCATGGTTTCTGGTGTACAATATTCCAACTCTGATACCACACATTCCAAAATCCTTGAAAGGGAGAATAAAAGTTTGTAATTGAAATAATCTTAAAATGCTAAAAAGCAAAGCATCTTCCTAGAAAAAAATACCGTGTTTCCCCAAAAACAAGACAGGGGCTTATATTAATTTTTGCTCCAAAAATGCATTAGGGCTTACTTTCAGGGGATATTTTATTTTACAATCCCGTCATCTTCTGGTTGCTGCACAATGTTGCACAATGGTGGAGGGTGGGGTTTCACTTAACTAGGGCTTATTTTTGGGGTAGGGCTTATAATACAAGCATCCTGAAAAATTATACTAGGCCTTATTTTCAGGTTAGGTCTTATTTTCAGGAAAACAGGGTAGTATTATTTAGAATGAATAAAAATATCAATTTCTTAGGTTTCATTCATATTTTGAAGGAAAAGCATAATTTTTTAAAATTACAGTACCTTCCTTTAATATATTTTATCAAGTTAGTGGCCCTAAATTAGAAGCTTTAGCAGAGATCCGTATTTTGGCCCCTTTGGTTTAGTTTCAGACACCCCTCTGTTGTAAAGAAGGATAAGCATTTTATTGCTTTTGCATTTACATAGGGTTTGGCAGCTTACAGGAACTGAGGCAAAGCCTACATTCAGTACACTTTCTTGCCCTATTTCCATGTAGCAAAAGAGCTTACAGCTGGTTGGTCCAGTTTGCCATGTTGTGGCTAACCAAATTACATATGGCCAGTTGCAGCTTCCATATGGTAAAAGAATATGAAGAGCCACTTGATAGTAATTAGAAGCCACACTCCACTGCCTGCTACAGTTCCGTTGATTTTTCCTTGCAATTTTTCATGTATACTTCAGCTTTTGCAATCTAGCTATCTAGCTACCTCTGAAATTCAAACTTCTGAGTTGAAGAGCCTTTTACAAATCCTCAAATGATACCAAACATGGCAACTTGGTCTGCAAGTATGTTTAGAATTATCTGCTTTGAAATACAATTACATCCAAGAAATGATGTGTAAAAAAATAGTGTTCTTACTTATTTAGATATGTGCTTTGATCACAGATAAAGAACCACATGTGAATATATAGGGTATAAAGACTGGACCTCTTTAAAGAGACTGCATTTTTCCACTATACTGTGGCAGAAGCAACATTTTCAACCCAAGATTATGTTCTCATTTTTATGTTCTCATATAAAGATTTATACACAGAAAAGCTATAAATATGAGAAAAGGTGAATGTGGTCATTTCAAATATTCAAGTACATTTTGGGAACAGTACTCATAAGTTCTTAACATACCTTGCTAAATCCCCACATGAAGTGTGTCCGGTCTGGATCTGGTAAACTGAAATTTTTCCAAAAAATTAATGTCTTACATTTATTTATTTTTTAATTCAATCATAAGCTCAGTGATAACTACCTGAATCAAGCCTGCTACACTATAGGTATTCAGTGCACAAAGAGATGCGCAGAGAAGTGTACCTCTCACAGAAACTAAGAAAGCACAATATATGCACCACAGGCATTTAAGTAGTAATTGTTAGTGTTAATAAATCTCATTTAATTCCCAACAGCTATGTTACTGTATCTTGCAACCATATGGCTGCATAACCTACTTTCTGGGCAGCTTGTCTAGGAGACAAATATATGAAAAACTGGGCATGCATACTTCTCTGGATTGGGTACTGATTATTTTTTAACAAAGCACAATTTTGTTCATTGAATAAAATAATTTTAAATGAATTCTATACAAGCAGTCCATTGCTGCCGCCCTGTTTCGAGGTTTGGCTGTTGCACTAAATAGCCTGTCACAGCTCAGTGAAGTGCTAGGAGGCTTTAAAATAGCAAACAATATGGAATTCTGCATCAAGAGGGTACAACATAAGGCTGAATGTACTTTTAGTCCAAATTTGAGTACATCCACTGAAATGAATGGGGCTTATGGTAATGGTAACAGATCCTATTTGTTTCAGTGGCCCCATACTGACTAGAATCAAAACTAGATTTAGTTCATAGTATTTAGTTAGCAACAGTAAACTAGGTCAAAAGACCAAATGAATTTATCACAAGAATCTGACAAGCATACAGACAGACAAGAAGCAATAATAATAAGATAATAAATTAGGTAAGCAGTTTTTCATAATTATATATATGCTACCATACTGTCAAATACTGTCTTGAAAGTATTATTTACAGAGGCTCAATTATTTATGCATAAATAAAAAACAGATGGGTTATGGTATCCATCTGAAAATGCTGAATAACTACATTTGTTTTTATAGCAACAGAAGTTATACTTGCCTTTCTAAGCTAAGAATGCTTGTGAATGTGGTATCGTCATATACGGACAGCATGTAGATTTCATCCATGACTACATGCAATTTGTATCTACATATGGAAAAAGAAACTTTTAAATCTTCAGTTTTAAATACATGCACTTATTACTGCAATTGCTGCTAGTCCCTATATAAGCTTACATATTGGTACTTTTATATTCATACAAATTAATCAATTATTTAAATATTCACCGATTTCAAGTTGTACTTATTTTCTTTCCTTAGCACAATGCCATTTAAAGAAAATGTAGCTAGCCCTCCACTATTTGAACAGTTATAACATCAAGACATTTTAAAACTTTATATCTCAAATACTGTATAAGACAGAAAATGCTCACCATGCGCTCAATGTGCGTGTCTTATTACATTCCCATAGTGAAAGCCATAACAAACACACTGCAAATTGAATTCTTAGTCCCAGTATAAGCAGGCATTAAGAAGCATGCTATTGACAGAAAGATACCTCAAAACTATCTGTAAACCAGTTAAAGTTTATTTAAAGTGTTTCTTGAAAAAAGAAGGAACATCAGTTTCCACCTGAAATGCTATAAGCAGACTGCAACTCCAAGGTTGATAGTCATACAAAGGAGGAAGCCATTACTGTGATCCTTGAGGTTTAACAAAACTGCTTGCTGTTTCTATTATTTTAAAAAATCTCATTTTAAAAATCAATTTCATAAGAATTGGTATGCAGGAAATGAGAATTTGGTAGGATATGAACCTAAAGTAAATAGGATATTTTTCTGCAAAAAAGCTACTTGTGAAATCATTAATATTCTGATAATTTAGACTACAATGCTATGTGTGCTTACCTATCATAGTGGGACTTACTTAGAAGTGCATGTATATAGGACTGCATATTTAGTGTTAGAAAAATCCATCCAAAGATAAAAATGCACTCTTACAATGCAATGTTTATAGCAGTAAAATTGGTCAAAAGGAGAAAAATTAAAAGAAATAAACGGGAAAAGACACAGATTTTATGGATGTTATACAAATTTCTATTGGCTCTCTGGAGAAGTTTCAAATAGGTCTCGTTTCATAATATGCCCTGCATAAATTGTTATCAAATTACTTTTCAAATCAAGACATCTATTCATATTATACAATGTATAATATGTTTAATATACACTCTTGCTACTATTGATTTTGGTAATTACCAGCTTTCACAGTTATGACATATGCTATTCAATATTTAAGGTCTGGATAACAATCCTTACATGCACTAACTTTTCTCTACTAATTCATAAATTCATAAATCTACTAATTAATAAACGTCACCTTAGATTATACATTGAGAAGATGGGAGTTTAATTACTCTGATATTTTTTACTATCATTATTAAGTACTCAGAGAATCAATTCTAAAGCAAATTCACTTTGTAAACATTTTAGACATATGTCAATTGAAATAAGGAGATTACCAAAATCATTTTTATAACTAAGATACTGCATCATGGAAAATTAAAAGCCCAAACAAATAGCGCTAGGAATCAAACCTGTGCGCAAACTCTAGACATTCTTTCAGTAACTGTGCTGGGTAAATGTCCCCTAATGGATTGTGAGGGTTGATCAGGATTAATGCTCTGACTCGGATGCCCTGAAAAAAGAAAAACTGATAGTCGGAGACGCCAACAAGACGTCAAACAAAGGACTAGCGAGTCTGCAGGCTTGCCATCCATTAACAAAATCCAGTTGGTCTATTCTAGCTGGGATTAACAATTATACTAAGCCCCTTTATTCAAATGTCAAATATTGAAGATCCTTGACTACATACATTCATACATATTCTTGCAAGAATCAAATTTAATGTAATGCCGTTTCCATTACTTTTAACGCTAATGTTTAAAAGCATCTGCTATGTTTCCAACTACCATATTTGTCTAACTGCACAAAACTACATCACAAAGTTTTCAATACTTTCCCTCTTACAACATGGTATGTGATACAGAGAGAGCAGCAGCTAGCTAAAAAATAAATGAATAAATCAAAGCCTATGTTGGACTAATGCAAGCTTCTTGCATGAATTTAAGCAGAAACCCTTCAATTCATTTCATCCTGAAGTATATTTCTCCTTCTTAGCTCTGTATTAATATGACACACCAGGATAATCAACCTGCAATTTAGAATCCTGATTCCAATCTGGATTATGACAAATTAGAATACATTGCTTATTCAAGTGACAATCTCTTTTTGGCCACATCATGCATATGACATAAATATTTAGCAGATTTACCCTCTTGTACTTCCAGGAGGATGTATTTTACTGGAATCATGACAATGAGTTACACAGCTGTATTTACATCAGTTGGAGTTTACTTCAAAACACTCCTACCTGATCTTTGGCCCTCTGATATGCAGCTTCTAATTTTTCAACTGTTAATTGGAAAGGTCGGCTTTCTTCATCCATCATCTAAGTAAGAATTCAAGAGGTTTCAACATAGTTATTTAAGACAATTATGTAAAGCTGTCTGAAACCTATTTAATTACTTAGGATAATTTTCCTTAGGGTAAAAACTGGCAGAATCTTGAACCAATCAGCAGGCTGTGCACGCTGCACTGTACTAAGAGCAGCCCTCCTGGATTCTTGTAGAACTTAAATTGCTGTTAATTAAAGCCACCAAGTGACACACAAAGAGATCAGATTTAAGCAATGAAGAATTTAGGTTTAAGCTGTGGGGATTCTGTAATTAGAGGCAGTCTGCTGCTGCAACTTACTTTACCTCGACATAACTAATGCAGAAGAATTTTGGCTAACATTTCAGAATTTACACAAATGGTAATCTTTAGTAAAATGAAATATTACCTCACTGAACAAGGGCACATGTACAGGTTGCATTTCTCCATACACCCAGGTTTTAGAATTTATACCACCATAATATGGAGCAGGAATTAGATACCCATCTACAACAAAAATACAGTGATGTTTCATTATATTTCTAAAGGTATTTTAACAATTGTAAAAATTAGTGGTACTTTATTTTATCTCAGACATTTTACACTAAAATTTTGAAATCACTGTAGCTGAAAATGCTGCCATATTATCACAAAAAGCATTGTATAACCAATGCTCGTTCTTTTCCTAGTTGAATACTATTACTAGCACATAAAATACTGAAAATACTGGTATACAAGAGAACAATTAATAGGTTCTTATGTCATTTCCCTTTCATGAACTGGTGAGGCTCCACTATCATTCTACATGTACTGGGCTAGTGAGGCTTAATTTCTTTCATATAGTATAACTTTCCCATAATGTAACCTGAAAGTTAACATTCTAAGGAGTGGGCAACTTCCTGAAGTCTAGGGGCTGCTCACACCAACCTCTGGCTCTCTGTGAGATGTCTACGCCAACAACCATATCCACAAAGTTACCAAAAAACAAACAAACAACACCAGGAAAGGCCCCTATAGCCCTAGTGCACTTATACTGTTTGAGTTCAATGATTTCTGTTTTTGAAAAAAGCCTCCCTCTGCAGAGACCAGAATGGCAAAATGTTCCCTAAGGCCTCAAGAGAGCATAACCTATATATAATAAGCTGATGTGTATGTATCGATTGAAAGGTTGGGGATATGGGGTCAGAGGTGCATATTCATCATGATCCAAGAGGGGAGGGGGGAAGATGACTAAATGCAGTCCATGGACTGCACTTCACTCAAGCACCATCCTAATCCAAGGGCATTTTAAAACAAATGTTTTCAAGTCAGAAATATAAAGCAATTAAGTTAATTTCTACATGAACAACCCCATCACTAGGCATCAGAATAGTGAAAATATTTTGAACCTTCTGAAATACCCTCAGCACCAATTACCAGAATGAAATATAACTATCAAAATTATATTATTTATGTCATATAGTCAAGTTTTTTTTTACCTCCAGGATCACACAGTACAGTTGAAAGGGTTGCAAAAACTGAACAGCAGCCATTCATCACAATAATCTAGAAATTGAAAACAAGTATCAAGTTCCAGTTAACAAAGATTTTATATTTATATTTTAAATGAGGTCAAGAGTGAACAAGCATATCCAAGTATCAATGGTACAACCTAAATTTAAATATAGAGCACTGTAACATAAAACAGTTAACCTACCTAAACCAACTTATATTACCCCAAGTATATATGAATCCTATTTACTGGGATAAATTTATACGTGTCCAATTAGTGTACCAAAGATGCAGAAAACTCACTGGGCAATATGATCTTTTATATTATGTACAGTAATAGAACAGAATATGCAACATCCAGTAGACCAAATTTCCAATTAATTGACTAGATACATCTGTATTGAGATCAACACTGAAAAACACTGTACAAGAACAGTTAAAATGCTTGAATCTGTTTATGCTGCAACCATGACAAAAGTATATTGTTGTACAAAACAGAGAAAGGCTGGTTAGTTCATACGTTTCCCCCCCCCCTTGTTTTTTTACAAAAGTCCCATTTTGGCAACTAGTGAGATGAAGCGACAACTAATAAGCCTTCTTTCTGAGACAGGAAGTGCACTAGTGCTCAGGATAATGTTCCCCCTAGAATGTTATCTGCTGTACCTTAGAAGTCGAGACAAACTCAGACCTTCTTCAGTTGCATGATTTACTGCATCCATCAAACTCCACTATACTCAATAAACGTAGCATCACTCTCTCACACAAATAATGTTTCTTCTTGAATGATGCTCTTAAATCTGAGTGAACTAGGCCTCCATGTTAATATAGTGTGTACTACACTTTGTATGAGTCTTCCAACAAAATGATTTACTTAGGCTACTTATTGAACAAACTGCAAATCTGTCACTTTTAGAAAGCTTTATAAAGGAAATTGAGAAGTACGGATGTTATATCCAAACTTATTTGCCCAATCTGAACTGTATCAGTGATGAATATAGCATATTTTTCCGTGCATAAAACAACACTTTTCCCTAAATAAGAGGAAAACATTGAGGGTCGTTTTATACATGGTAGTAAAGGGGAATCAAAGCGCTTTGATCCCTGCTTTCCCCCTCCACTTTCTTTACAAGAAAATGGAGGGGGGAAGCATTTTTCTCACAAGAAAGTGGAGGGGGAAAGCAATACCATCTTTCCCCCTCCACTTTTGCAAAAAGCTGCTTTCCCCCTCCACTTTTTGCCAGAGGGAAAGCAGCTTTTTGCAAAGAAAGTGGAAGGGGAAAGCACTTTCCTTTCAAAAAAGCGGAAAGGGAAAGAAGGAATCAAAGCACTTTGATCCCTGCCTTCCCCCTCCCCACTTTCTTGCAAAGAAAGAAATTTTGGGTTAGAAAAGTGGGGGGCCTTATATACAGAAAAAACACGATATTTGGAAATCTCATGGAAGCTGATCTAAGTCTCATCTAATAAGGCAGGCTATAAGTGTAATAAATAACTTATTAGATAACCTAGAAGGTGGACATAAGAAGGATCCAGCCCCCTGGGGCCAGACTGTCCACTCATCCTTCCGCTGCTGCCACAGGCTCCTCGCTCCCTTCCAACTGTCCCAGAGCACCCGGTCGGCAAGCCACTCTTTGACCTGGCAGGGATGCTCGCTGTCCTGCATCTTGCCAGGAGTGGCTAGTTGACCGCGAGCTCCAGAGCAATAGGAAGGGAGCACAGAGCCCACAGCAGCAGCGGAAGGGTGAATAGTGGATATAAGTGGTGGATATAACCCTTGTGGATATAACCCTTGTTATATCCACCTGTGCGGCGGTATTGGTATTCATATATGAATACTCCCATCTCTAACCCTGATAGATTCTCAGTGCCATATATTTTTCAAATATATGAAAGGGGTCTTTAAGCTCTTTAATCTCTCTAGATTGAGAGCAAAGACCAAAGTCCATCTGAAATGCATGCGGGACTTCCTCTTCACTGATGATGCAGCTTTTGTTGCCCACTCTGCTGAAGATCTCCAACAACTCATGAATCATTTTAGCAAGGCCTGCCAAGACTTTGGACTAACAATCAGCCTGTTTTTCCTTGTTTTTATACAAAAGTCCCATTTTAGCAACTAGTGAGATGAAGCTACAACTAATAAGCCTTCTTTCTGAGACAGGAAGTGTACTAGTATTCAGGATAATGTTCCCCCTAGAATGATATCTGCTGTACCTTAGAAGTCGAGACAAACTCAGACCTTCTTCAGTTGCATGATTTACTGCATCCATCAAACTCCACTATACTCAATAAACGTAGCATCACTCTCTCACACAAATAATGTTTCTTCTTGAATGATGCTCTTAAATCTGAGTGAACTAGGCCTCCATGTTAATATAATGTGCAGCAACATCTACATTGGCTCAAGCATGTCATAAGAATGGCTGATGGTCAGATTCCAAAAGATCTCCTGTATGGAAAATTAGTGCAGGGAAAGCACCCCAGAGGGAGATCACAGCTGTGATACAAGGAGATCTGCAAGCGGGATCCGAAGGCCTTAGGAATGGCCCTCAACAGATGGGAATCCTTGACATTTGAGTGTTCAGCCTGGAGGCAGGCAGTGAATCATGGCCTCTACCATCTTGAAGAGACACTTGTCCAGCAGGCTGAGGCAAAGAGGCAGTCCCAAAAGCAGCAAAATCAGGGAGCTGGACAGGGGACAGATTGTATTTGTCTTCAGTGTGGAAGGGATTGTCACTCTCAAATTGGCCTTCTCAGCCACACTAGATGCTACTCTAGATCCTCCGTACAGAGCACATTACCATAGTCTCTCGAGACTGAAGGATGCCTAATCTAATATTTTTCAAACCACTTTAAGAATCTTGAACACAAGCAGCCTTTACAAACTTTTGAGATATTAGAAAAGATTTAGCAAACTTTCAAAATATTAAAAATAAATTATTGTGGCTTCTTACATTTTCTGGATCCACTGCTGTTGAAGCTTTTGCATATTCAGTAAGAAACTTGGCAATTTCTTCTCGGAAGCTGATGTTTTAAATTAACATACTATTAGTTCATCTGCAATAATACATGCATATATGGGCAAAATTTCATAATCTAAATAGTACCAATCCATTAAAGACTTCCACTTTTGAAGCAGCAAGCACATAATTTAGCTATACAAAATTTTAATTTCAGAAATGTTTTTAACTGACAGAAGGAATTATTTTGACAGCAAAAACTAGAGCAATTTAAGAACTACAATTCAATTGTAAAGCCAGTCTTCTTTCAGAATTATACCTTTTAAGGCCTTGTGTATCCAAGTACTGCAGCAAATGAGGCTCCAAATAATTCATATCAGGTTTTGAAAACTGCCATTTAAAAAAAAAGACAAATTACATTTTTCTTATGCAAGAGAAATGTTTCTCAACTGAGTCATGCCGTGCTTTTAACGTAAAAGAAAAACTGCATGTTGTCTTAATTCATCTTAGAAGAAAATATATGGACATCCTCAAACTACAGAGATCTTGTCAAGTTTAGAACTGCAGAGTACAGTGAAGCCATATCCACACAGAAAATTATAATAACCATGGGAATCAGTCATAAAATGGATGGTCAAGTTTATGGCAAACACAATAAATAACTGGCAACCACCCTTGCTACTTTTGGACCATTACTCCAGGGTGCCAGCTGTAAGGACAATTGTACAGCTATTTTTTTCCTCTCGTCTTGCCACTCCCCTTGTTGCACTTGGTTGCACAACTAGCCATGTGCCCAATTTTGCAGCCTGTGCAAGACTGGGAATATGAATATGTGACTGTGGGGAAGATGCTAGCACAACTGCATAAGCAAACAGGATTTTAGTCAGCAACAAATCATGGCAACTAATTAATTCAAATGACAGATTCAATTAAAAATTCTGTAACATACAGAATTTGTACAGGAAGCTAAACTTACCCTTTCTTGTATTAAATCAAAGCAAAGTTTGTTCTCACTTGTTCCAAAATTCAAAATTCCCTGAAAATAAGAACAACACATGAAATAGCTAACCATACTTACCTAAGCTTATATTTGTCAATACTTCAAGTTTTCAGTTTCTGCATCAACTGTCAGGAAACTGTATGCAGTAGCCAAAGAATAATCCAACAAAGAAAAATGAACTGTCAAAATGACAAATTTTCTCAGTATGCAAGACAAGAAGCAACTTAAGTCTTTTTTTGTTGTTCCTCAGCTACCTTAGACTTTTTGATACAGTTTAAGACAGCTGGAATTTTTTACTCTGTATCTAGCTTGCTCTACATTTTAAAATTTGTGCATCATACTTCATTCTCCCTGACACAGATATTCCCCACAAATGAGGCATGCCCTGCTAAGGAGGCATATTAGGATTTAAGAGTTGCATGTAGCTTGGAAAACAGTATCATAATTTCGGAAAGAATTATACCTATTACCTTCTCAATGCACAGCCAATGGCATCCCTATATCATTTCTAATTAATGTTTAGAAAATTAAAGTTTCATTCTTTCCTCACCCCCTAAATTTATTAATGCCTTCAGTTGCTTCTGGTGCAATATTTCAAATACAGGTACTGGGAGAAGCAGACTTTGGGGGGGGGATGAGATCTCTGTTTATCAAAATAGGAGACAGGTTTAAAAAGGCCATAGAAACACTGCCCTACATTCAGACAAAGCTCTCTTATGTAAGAACACATTAACTATGCTCATGGTCAGCTGTTCTCATCAGACTACAACAGCGAGAAGATGTCCTAGCAATAATTTCTTGGAAGGGAACTGGAGGCCAAGAGAGGACGTCACTCCCTAGCTGGTCCAAACCAGATGTAATTATTTCTGTCTGCACCAGGGCTGGCATCCTAGTGCTGGAGGGGCACAGGTCCGCCTGTCCCTCCCCATCCTTCTACCCCAGCTTATATGGCGCTTCTACAATTTGTTACAAAGCTCTGCTCTGCAGATTTGGAGTTGGTTATCTGCGCTCCTTTGTAAAAAGTCTGAACGCTCACCTTCTTGCATGGAGGATTGTGTTTCCCCCCACTGTTTCCACCACGGAGATCGTGTTGCTTTCTTTACCCCACCTTTCTGCCGGCATCCTCTCCCTTTCCTTTCCTTCCACATGGGCGGCCATTTTCCAGCCCTTTCCTTCCTCTTCTTCTTCCCGATAACCTCTTCCTATTTTTATGAGAAAGGGCTTAGCCGTCTCTTCCATGAACACCTCCAGCCTCACATTCCTCTCAAAGGGTCGTGGCACCTGTTTCCCCACAGTCTACTATTCCTCCAATATACCAGCGCCCACTTGTCCCCACACACCACCCCTGCCTAGGGTACTCTTTCTCGAGTACGACAGCTGCCTTTCACACCACGATTTCCACTACAACGCCCATCCCTTTGCACCCATTACACAAATGCCCGTGGCATTTCCTTTTCCAAACCGAATTCACTTCCCTTTCTCCACAACTCGAGAAGACGAACAGCCACGCCCCACAAGTCCCCCCCCCCTCTCATACACACCGCTCCTCACCTGAGGGTTGCTCTCGGCGTCAAAGGGGTCCCCCATGTACAGGTCGAAGCCCTTGTCCAGCAACCCAGAGGGGCTGCTGGCGATACGGGCTCCCCGAGCCGACAGCACCCCAACAGCCGCTCCCCCTTCGCTTTCGGACATCATGCCTGGGGTATGAAGCGGGGAAACAAACAAACAACAGCAACAACCGCTGCTACCGGCCGCCTTCCGCCTCGCTGCAGCCGCAGCAGCCCAGGAACTGCAAGGGGGTTGGCACGGAAAGGAGAAGGACCCGCCGCCACCTCAGGAAGAACGACGCCCTCTTCGCCGGCCGGCGCGGAAGCCTTTTTTTAAACCCGCCCCTCCGGCTTCTTCCCGCCCAAACGGGCCTGAGTGACCGGGTGTCACCGCCTCCTGCTTCGGCCTCTCCTTTTTGGGGTTTCCGCGAACGCAGCGCTTTTTCCCAGGAAAAGGCAGCCCGAAGCTGCGCAAGCAGGATTCGTACTTTGCAGACTGGGCGGGTTGTTGCAGTCTACTTCGTGTTATTTTTTTCTTTTTTACTTGCTCTCTGTTTTCAGAATTTTATAATGAAATATGAGTTATGCATTTGATTTCTGAAGAAAATAGAGTACAGGGAGCCAAAGCAATTCAAACCCCTAGATGGAAGCTTGCAGGAGCATAGATGAATAGCCCCTTATCCTTCTTAGCATCCTTTTATATATCAGGCATATATACTTAGCAACACATAATAAAATATTTTAAAGATCTTGCGGTTACGCCTTTCCATGAGGTTTCCAAATCATGGGTTACAGTTAATTCTGAGCCTGCTCTCTCTCTATTTTGCTTATTTAGAGCAAAAGGGGGGGGAATCTGATAGTAAGCCATCACAGAAAGAGGACACCCTGACCTCATCAGTCCCAGCCAGAAAGAGGCAGACAACTTGCACCTCATCAGTCAGGAAACTACAGATAACATTCTGGACCTTAACATTGGTACTTCCTTAACAGTAGTTTATTAACACCAGACACAGAAATGTAGTAATGAAATGCTGATCATTTGCTGCTCCACACAGATGCTTTTTTCTATTCTGTGTTAAAGCAAACGGGAATGAACAATACAATTGGGCTAGAAACAGCTGGCAATGTTCAAGCTCTTCTGAAGTCTCTGCTCTGAATTCCATTTCATACCCAAATTTTTTTACCCTGCCAAAAGAGACCAAGAAAAAACATCACCAATTTTCCGTAAATCTCTTTCAACATACAGGCCAGAACCCTCATGGATCTGTACAGTGTAAACACGCAATTTGTAAGTAGGCACTGTCCTCTTGTGCTTCGTGGCTTTCTTGAGTCAAGGACGCAGACACACACCACTTATCCACATACTGGGTGGCAAGGCAAAAGGGAGTTGGCTTTCTTGAGTCAAGGACACACACACACACACACACCACTTAGCCACATACTGGGTGGCAAGGCAAAAGGGAGAACCACTGTGCAAATGTCCTTATGCAAAGTCCTATTTCCCGATACAGTAGGACTTTGGCTAACATCTCATTTGTGCAGCTTTCTATATTAAAACCATAAAACAAATCCTATTTCCCAATAGGACTTTGGCTAACATCTCATGTGCGCAGCTTTCTATATTAAAACCATAAAACAATTCCAATTCTGTTATATTTGGATTTCCTGAATATACATTAAATTCTAGAACAAGTACTGTACATGCAAAAGGTAAAGAGAATGCATTATAAACAAACCTAAACCAACAAGATAATCTTTGTTATATATCAGCTTCATTGCACATCAGAAACAAAATGAAAATAAATTTAAGTTTTTTAAAGCATCATTTGGAAGCAAGTTATCAACTATGCTCCCTCAATGTGACTGTGACCACCGTGGGGACTTTCTGAGTCAGGAAATTTTAATCCCTTCCAGCTGCGACAAGCTGCTAACTTGTTTGGGGAGGTCAGCCAAGGACAATATTTCTATGTATAAACAAGCATCTGTCCTGCAGACAGTTACCTAATAGCAAGCAACTACTGTAGCCATAGTTGCATAATAACTTAAACAACATAACAGAAAAAGTCATAGGAATTAGAAAGGCAGTTGCGGTATAAAAAAAATAAAAACAGGCCTACATCCAGTTGTTAGCTCAAGCTAAATTAGTCCCACTGAGTCAATGGAATTTATATCATTTTTGACTTAGCAAGTTCCCATTAGTTCAACAGATCTACCCTAATCAGGACAAACAATTGGATTGAGGTCAGAATATCTACTACAGTATCAGTTAATACTTTCTAATTCCATCATCTGAAAATATGTGTTAACTGGCATCCAAACCAATTAAAGTAATACTGAAAAGGAACTTCCTGGACATGTTTGTTTATAGCACAATCTGAATTACAGACTACTGCTGCTATAGTATGACCAAAGCAAAGATAGCTTCCTTTTATTTATCCACTTTGTGCTAATAAATAGTACAAAAAAGGTTTTATTAATATGTTATTGGTCTAATAATCAAAGACTTACTAACCTTTGGTATAATGGTTCAAGACCACATGCATATATTTTATTGGTCTAATAATCAAAGAATTACTAACCTTTGGTATAATGGTTCAAGACTGAATATATTTGTTAATAAGTAATGTATCTCCAGAAAGATATACTTCTGATAGCATTTATGGATTCATTTGGTACTGACACTTGTTCCAAAATAAATTTATATTATTAAAACTTAGGAATTGGGTAAAATTATGTAGCCACTTCACCTGCATGCTGGGAAATAAGGCAACTTCAGGCTTACCACAGCAGGCCAATAAAATGGCCATCAGTATAAACCTGGATACATAAATAGCCATTCTATTACCAAAACTGCTGTAGGACTTGAACAACAATTCAAGACCCTAGTGGCAAACCAGGAGCTCATCTCTGCTTACCCCTAGTATGAATCTAGTCCAGTGCCTCAAGCACCGTAGGAATTTGCATCATCTAGGTCCCTACAGAAGCTGGAACCAAACAAATCAACTTAAATATATCTTGATCAGATGTCATTGCAAAATAGGCACTCCAACTAAAACTAACAAACTGGTAGATTAATTGGATAAATTTCAAACCATTCCATAGTATGTAGGTACTGGTAGTTGTTTGTTTCCTTTTTAGAAAGTTATACAGCATTACATAACACAGACAGCTGCTGTTACTTATAGTTACAAATTTAGTGCCAACAAATTACAAGGAAGTACTGTAGTGATATTAAGACTGAGAATGTTAATAAAAAGATAATTCAATATACTAATCTACAGTGAATATTTCTGCATGTCTGTATGCTTGTTAACTTTTTCCCATTTTTTTCTTTTGGTGAGAAATTAGCAAATAACCCATAGAAAGGTTATTCAAGGTCTGTTGGCTGGGTCAGCTGAGAAAAGCACTCTCTGAAAAGTCAAATGCCATTAAACCAGTTAAAGGCAGATCTCTCACGTTGTCAGCATCTGACATATGAAATAAATACTGAGAAAACATTGTCCAGAATGTAGTATATCTGTCACATGAACAGAGTGATAGGGAAAGTTAGTAATCGAATGCTGATCTTTTGCTGTTCCAGATACAAATATACACAAGTGCAGTTGTGCAAAAATAATTAGGTATTTGATATAAGATGCTCTCTCAGTTTACATCTTGTGGAGCTGTAACAATTCCAGACGTGTCTGATACCACCAAAAGCTAAATATAACCTGTTTGTGCTTTGGAGGGATTTTTATGAAATTAAGACCATGGCATCACATAGCCCAGAATGTATTAAATTTGCACTGTAATATAATTTATCTAATAAATCTTTTAATAACTTTATAATAACTTAGTTACTTATTACAGGGAAGCTTAAAATTCTTTGTAACTTTTGGAAACAGATGATTGTGTCCAAAGAAAGAGACAGGGAACAGCTCTACTTATTTTTAAAATACACCTAGAAGAGTTATTAAATCGTGTATTTAAAAAATGGTTACACAACTGTAAAGCATGCTTTCACTAGTCTTACTTCTGAAATACTATGCATCATTGCTTCTTTGTGTAGTTTAATGGAAATCACTTTTAAATATGTACATTGATTGAATAAAAGGTAACATTGCATGTCACCCCCAAAATGTACAAGAAATACTATTTTATAAAACTATTAGAGATAGAAAAGGTTGACTAAAATCCATAGAACTTTGCATTTAGCTGTACCTTGAGAACTAACCCTGTACTTCAGGCCTTCAGGGCAGGAGTGGGCTACTTTCAGAGATCAAAGGGACAAACATACCCACCTTGTATGTAGAGCGCTGCTCCTGCTCATCCCCCAAAATACTCCTTTAGAAAGGATTTCTTAAAAATCTGAAAAGGGCCTTAACAACTACACTAGGTAAGTAAATAGAATTGCAGCAGTAAAGCCTAGAGCCAGTATTTTATTTACCGAGGATGGAGTGTTACGTTCTAACTATGAAGATTATGCAATCCCTCCCTTTCTGCCACAGTGCCTAGGCTGCCAGACCCATCAGTCTGTTGGAATGCTTAATTCCAAGGAGTCCTGGAATGACATAGGCAGTTTCCTTGCATAACCTTCCCATCATATTTTATATGACTCCTTGGAGCAAAGGATTCCCAGAGACAGAAGCAGGACACATACAGCTGTCTGTTCATGTCCATCTTCTGGCAGTCACTATGCTATTACTACAGCCACCCCCTCTCTTCCAGGGGAGGAATTAGAGGTCTAGCCAATTTTTCCACCTCCCACTGCAAAAAATGGGAGACTGGCTGCATGTACATGTACTCACTCAATTGATGTGGGATAGCAGTGGCAACCAGGAGAGCTAAAGCTAGTTGTCAGGATTGTCCTTGTCTCTTTTCAGTGGGGCTCATGTGGCACAGGAATGTACGAGATACCTTTCTGTGCAAGTTCTGAAAACGCCTCAGGCCATGGCACAAACAGAACAGAGGAACTGGATTCCAGCCTCATGATTTTTAAATTTCAGTAGTCTTTCAGGCCAAGGTGCTTCACAGGAGAATTAAGCTATTGTAAGACTGGGATTCCAAGTGTGGTGTAGTGGACAGAATGATGGAGTAGGACTCTGGAGAACAGGGTTCGAATCCTCACTTGGCCACGGAAACTCACTGGGGGAGCAAATCTGGTAAAACAACTCCTTAAACTATCTCACTTATGTTGAAAGTCCTGTTAGGGTTGTTATAAGTAAGTTTCGACTTCATGGCACAGAACACAGAAGACTGAATAGTTCCTCAAGCAGGTTTTTGATCACTGTTTCAAAGGAAAGTAGACTATTTATATGAAAAAAAGAGGCAGTTCTTAGACCACATGATTTTTCCACTGAAAAGAGAAGAAGAGGTCTAAATCTAAAGCTGCACATTTCTGTTTTTCATCCACTGTGGGTGGGAATGTAAATTAAAACGCAAGATAGGCATTAGTATTTCAAACATTTTAATATTGGTTTTCAGGAAGACATAATTTAAAAACGAAAACAATATAAAATAATTTTTATGTGTTAATTTCAAAGTAATCTATTATGTTATCTTAGCATTAACATATGAAAAGGTATATATTTTCATATGAATTAGCAATGTAAACAATCTGCTGTGAAAATTACTTAGTGACATAATCACTGCAACATCACCATCAGTTAAGCTAATGTCACTTTTTGTCCTGGTTTGAAAGCTGTTCCGTTGGGCCCTCTCCTCTTTGGATTTTTAAAATTATCATAGCTGAAAGAAGGAAGGATAGCAGAACATTACCATCAGAAATATGCTTTGTAGGAAGAACATTCAAGGATGTATAAGCAAACAAAACTATCAATGAAATCAGAAATGTTATGTGACTTATACATTAATGGGCTTGTTTGGCATACACATCTGAAAGTATCAGTATTTGTTTCTTAAACTTTAAATACTTCAATGGCCTGTTCCATTCAAAAAAAAATTTACTGTTTTAAATAAAATAGGAATTTTGGAAATCACACTGACACCTTGAAGGGAGGAGCTGAACAGCTAGCTACCACCATGAGTGTACCTACAAATTTTGCTTGGAAGGGAACACAAAAGGTTTTAGAGATTATGTCTGAAAATACGTTCAATAGATATCTCCTATACTGTAGTATTTACCCTGATTTTACCATGCACTAGTTGTGATAACTTGTCATGATCAAAACAGATTTTCTAAAACTTACTACAATAACACATATTCCACTGAATTCAGTATTGTCTTGATTTTAACACTTGTAAGTAGAGAGAAAAGGGCAGTGAAGGTGTGCGGTTGACCAGGACCCTGTCCCTTAGGCTGGTACAAACTGCTAGTGGTTCATCCGCTTCAAGAACCCTAGCAAAAGCAATTTCCACCTGCAGCTCCCCAATAAATTTGGGAGCCGGCCAAGGCACCAGTGGAGTGATAGGGGATGCCAAGGAGGAGGCCATGGGTTGCAGGAGGACTATTTAAGGAGGAGCTGGGCACTGAGGAAGAGGACAACCTCTGGGCAGATGTAGTGGATTGAGAGGTCTGCCAAGCAGAGACTGAGCGAGACCAGGGGGCAACAACAAAGAGAGATGGAAGATGGTTCAGAGGCATGATCCATGAACCTCCTTGTACCATCGCGGAAGTGGCACAAGTTCACCGGGACCAAATGAGGCACCGTGAGCCTGTTGAGGCCAGCATCAGCATAGATGCAGTGAAGGAGGGTGTGTGACAAACTCCACTGGCCTGGATTCTGCATGAGTTGCCAGAGCCAGACTCACTGGAACATGCAGTCCTCCCACCAGCCTCCTGCCTTCAGCCCCAGATCCCCCACTAGCCAGGTCCACCTCAACCTGGAAGGGTGTGTGACAAACTCCACTGGCCTAGATTCTGCATGAGTTGCCAGGGCCAGACTCACTGGAACATGGGAGTCCTCCCACCAGCCTCCCGCCTTTAGCCCCAGATCGCCCACTAGCCAGGTCCACCTCAACCTGGAAAGGGTTGACAGTACAACCATGGTCGCCTTTGGACACACCCCTCTTTGGGCACACTTTTACGACCCTTGCTGGTGAGAAAGCAGAGACTCCCCGCATGCAGGGACCGGTGTCAGTGTCCATTCAGCTTCCTGCTGTGGAACACCAGGCCTTGCTCACTTCTGAGATGTGCTAGAGTTGGGAGAGGAGAGAAGAGATTTCTACCCTCTTACCCCAACTAACCCCTGAGGCAGCCAAAAAACAAAGACTCTTAATTAATAGTGTTCTGTCAGCGTATAGATTAGCTGGGTCTGTTGACTACAGGATCATAGAATAATTGAGTTGAAAGGGGCTTATAAGGCTATCGCGTTCAACCCCCTGCTATGACTGTAGATGTTTGGATTAAGTGCAATAAATAGTGTTCTGTCAGCATATAGATTAGCTGGGTCTGTTGACTACAGAATCATAGAATAATTGAGTCGAAAGGGGCTTATAAGGCTATCACGTTCAACCCTCTGCTATGACTGTAGATGTTTGGATTAAGTGCGTTCAACCCCCTGCTATGACTGTAGATGTTTGGATTAAGTGCAATAAATGGTTGTGTTGAGCAAAAAACATTGTGTTGTGATAGAGGGGACTATGGGGGCCACTCACAGAAAGGCATCATTATAGTCAATCTGTAAGGCAACAACGCTATGGGGGCCACTCACAGAAAGGCATAGTGGTTGTATCATTATAGTCAATCTGTAAGGCAACAACACTAGACAGCAGTCTGATTGCAACTACAGAGCATAACTGTACATGCAAGGTAGCAGTGACAGAAAAGCAGAGCATTAGACAATACAGTGGTGCCTCGCTTGACGATTCCCTCGTTAGACGCGGAAATCGCTTGATGATGTGATTTTGGGCTTTTTTCGTTTCACGACGATCGGTTCCCTGCTTTGGGAGCCGATTTTTTGCTTAACGCCAATCAAAAACAGCTGATAGTTGGGTTTTAAAATGGCCGCCCGCTGTGCAAAATGGCTCCCTGCTGTGCTTTAGGATGGATTCCTCACAATACAGGAACCAGAAAATGATCGCCCTATGGAGGATCTTCGCTGGACGCTGAGGTATTTCACCCATTGGAACGCATTGGACCGGTTTTCAATGCATTTCAATGGGCTTTTTCGTTTCGCTTGACGAGGATTTCATTTAACAGCGATTTGAATGGAACGAATTATCCTCGTCAAGCAAGGCACCATTGTACAATCAGTGAACATGAATTAATAGTTTGTGACATCTATTGTATAATGGTGCGCACAGAACCTTAAGCTGGATATGGGCTCACACAGCTCCCCTAATGTTGGAAATGCCTGCATGATAGCTCATTACATTCACAAATTCTGCCAACGGAATACTGGCTGTTTTAGGCTTTGGTTGTGCAGCCTGGAGGTGTGAACAAAGATGGACTACTTCCTCATACACTTCCGTTGTATTTAAGGAGTTTAAACATCGGCCAAAATCTTGTTTGTGCAGGTGTAACAAAGTTACACTTATGTAATTTTGCCAGGCATATGCCCCTGGAAATTACACAATTAAATTGTGCAGTTAGTCAAACACTTCATGCTGTGACCACTGCACAATGCACCTGCAGAAGTACTTTGTGGACAACACTTCTGTCTTGGTGCTGTTGCAACTGCTATTGATGTAAAGTTGAGTTATGCCCATGTAACTGCACAACAAGATACTGGTCATTACAATAGGAGTTTAGAATATCTACATTACCAATAAAAATCCCTACTGTTCCAGAAGGTTCATGGCCGAATTTAAAAGCAAAATAAACACGCTGGGCTGTATTCAGGGCTGGATACCTGCTGGTAGAATAATGGAATCCAACATGTTGAGGGGGAATGTAATACCACATTCCCCTGCAGTTTTAGGAACCACTCAAAATCATGCTGTGGAAGACCAGAAAATCCTCAGGAGCCAGTTTTTGGGCTGCTTCTACAACTACAGAGGGAGGAGACTGGAGGGAAGTTATATGACATATATCAGCATGAATTTGATCTTGGATTTAGCACCTTGCTTAGTTTCTTTTACAAAATATACTTACAGTTCAGCATAATTATTCCAGTCATCCGGACTAATAGATGGTTTTGTTTTTCTAAAAGCAGTCATAAGATGAGTCTGAGTAATGTTTAAAGTTCTCTTAGTTAGCGCTGAAGAGCTAGGACTGAGATCTTCCTGAAAAACAATCAGATGAAGCAAAAGCACTGTAAAGTAATTAATTTTAAGCATATTTAAACAAATTGTACTACAAAAGACAAGTTTCTTCCCCAATGTTGCTTGAGGATCAGTTCAGAAGTCATGCAAAATCACAGTCTTCTTCAGAAATGTGACTATGATGTGTTCCAGATGCACAAGGAAACCATGATTTGTAATGCAATTCTTGCTACCAGGCTCTCCTAAAAATTTCTGGGATACTACCCCACAAGGTAGAGCTCTGTGTTGATAAAGTAACACAATATCTACTGCCTTAGATGAAAACTCCAAGAGAGCAATGCAGACATGCAATCTTTGGCGCACTGACAGCAGCCCAATTAAATTTTGTTGCACTTTGATTTGTTTACATTTTGATATTTGTACATTCCCCTCAAGTGTGTTCATCAGGTAGGCAATATATAAAAATTTTAAAATTATGGCATTCCCTCCCTCCTGGTTCAATATTCTGCTTTCACCATCATCTATTACGTGAAATTGATGTAAGATGCCTCTTTATACTCATTGTTCTTAGCTTTAAATATTATCCTTTAATTATGTTAACCACCGTCATCTACTCATTGTTTTAAACTTTAAGTACATTCTTTCAATGTTGTAAGCTGCCTTGGGTCCTTTTCGGGGAGAAAGGTGGGGCAAAAACATTTTAAATAAATAAATAATAAATTGTGAAAATAAGTATACAGCATCTTCTAATTTACAAGAATAGCTGGGCCATTTTTTTCATTATCCCATACCATCCATGTAAAAGAAGAAAGTAAATTAGCCTACCAGTGTCACAAGAAAAAACAAGAGAGAAAGAGAGAGAGAGAGAGAGAGAAGACAGAGAGAAAGAAGAGAGAGAGAGAGACTGTGCACATTTAAGCAAAGATGGAGGTGAAACTAACTACACTATGTTTTGTGGGCTGGAGATGGTGACAAGTCACAGCTAGACCTGAACACAACTACTACTGGCTATTTGTTAGAACAGTGGTCCCCCACCTTTTTGGGGCCATGCACTGGCTGGGGGAGCGAGCTCCATGCGCGGGGGGGATGTCACGCTCGTGCAATGGGTGTGTCGTGAGCATAATATACCCCCCACAGGTGCAACACCTCCCATGGGCAAGGCACGCCCACCACACGTGCATGGGGGGGGGGAGATCCATATCTGCGGCCCAGTTCCGCCAAGCCCATGGACCAACACCGGACCGTGGACCAGGGGGTTGACAACCCCTGTGTTAGAATACTGTCCTTGACAAATTTCTCTCTCACAAGCGTGATTCATGAACTAAAGGGAACTAACAGCAAGTGATTTCATATCCTTCAGTTACTATACTTTCTTCGTGGCCTCTGTGAATACACACATATGGGTTTAGTCTGTGCCTGCGCTGACATTCTCGGAGCATTCTAGAGCTAAAAGTAACAATTTTATGGGATGATCCCCCATGAGGCACAAGCTTCTCCCACCCAAGATTCCCCCTCAATTCCTACTGGCTATCTGTTAGAACAGCAGTCCCCAATCTTTTTGTGGCTGTGGACCGGCTGGGGGAGCGAGCTCCATGCGCGGGAGGCAGGGGCATGTCATGCTCGTGCAATGGGTGTGTTGTGAGCATAATACACCTCCCATGGGTGCAACACCCCCCACGAGCACGGCACGCCCACCACACGTGCATGCGGGGGGTGGAGATCCATATCTGCAGCCCAGTTCCACCAAGCCCACAGACCGACACTGTCCTTGACAAATTTCTCTCACAAGCGTGATTCATGAACTGAAGGGAACTAACAGCAAGTGATTTCATATCCTTCAGTTACTATACTGGAAAGCAACTTAGCAGGTGGGATGGCCAGGGAAGCAAATGGTAGAGCAAGGTAACAAAACTAAAGCTGTAGATGGACTATAGCCTAGAGGCAAGCATTTTTATCATGGTTTGTCAATATGACCAAAAGACAATACCAAGCCACAACTCAAAGAAGCCACAAACTACTAGTATGGATTTCACAGAAGACCATAGTTAAGCTTTCTAAACTAGGATTTGATGTGATACTTGAATTAACTCAGATATTGCCTGAGTTTTCAAGACAGCCTCTGTTCTATATTGGGGGGGGGGATAAAAAGGCTGTGCTTTTTACTACCTTACTGCAGTAGTCACTGTCGTTCCTAATGCTCCAGAAAACGTCCAAGGAGCAACTGTATAAAAGGGAAATTAACATAAACAAACTTCTTCCATACCCCATTTTTGCTCCTGTAGTTGGCCTTGATAGCATTTATTTCTGCCCTGAGTTGCTCTATCTGTTCTTGGTTAAGTTCATGGTAGCCTTCTTGTAAGGTTGTTCTTAACACTGGGGGTTGAGTAGATACTAAATCTTTGAGAGAGATGCTGGTTAAATCATGACTTATGGAGTTTGGGCCTGAGAAACATTGAGAACTCTGTAGAGACAAAAGGAGAAAACATGTAACAGTAAGATTCAAAATAGTAGTTTTATAATTACAGATAAGGTAAAGCTAAAGGTTCCCGTTGACATTTAGTCCAGTCGTGTCTGACTCTAGGGGGGGGGGTGCTCATCCCCATTTCCAAGCCGTAGAGCCAGCATTTGTCCGAAGACAGTTTCCATGGTCACATGGCTAGTGCGGCTTAGACACAGAATGATGTTACCTTCCCACTGTGGTGATACCTATTTATCTACTTGCATTTGCATGCTTTCGAACTGCTAGGTTGGCAGGAGCTGGGACAGGCGACGGGAACTCACTCCGTTGTGTGGATTCAATCTTATGACTGCTGGTCTTCCGACCTTGCAGCACAGAGGCTTCTGCGGTTTAACCTGCAGCGCCACCATGACCCGCATAATTACAGATATTAACACTCTAATAACAGACTTAATGGTTGTGAGCATACATATTTTGAAACCTGATTTGTTGAACAAGATGGACTTTTTGAATTCTGTCAGTCAGGAAAGCCATTTGTAAAACTGAGATGTTTAATGATAAAATTGCTTCTTTCCATTCCCCTCCTCCAATAATTTGCATTTACAGGGGCTTCTGCCTTGATCTGTTCTGGAGGATGGGACAGGAAGGGAGCAAGAAAAAAAGAGAGAAAAAGAAAAACCAGCATTTACTCAACTGGTCACTGCTTTCCTGACACCTACAATGCCCTGCTGCTGCTTTGTGTCAAAGAAGATGGAGTATGGCACATAGTCTCACACTGACCAGTTTAACGATATGGTGTTTGATCCACTTGAACAAAATGAAGGTTCATCTCATCATAGTCTCTTACAGGTAACTTCTGTATCTTATTGTTTCTCTCTTCTTTGTCAGCCACTTACCAATACCATCTTCTTTCTAGACACAAAAACTACCTAAAAGAAAAAATGATATCCCCAAATCCCAAGTGAATCTTGTGTACAGAGTGGTTTTATTCTAGCCAGTAGTGTTAGGCTTTTCCTGAACAAAATCCTGAAGAGCTTTCTTTCTGAAAACTGAAAGCATTTAGGGCAAAAAATTATTTAAAGGTCTATTTTTCCCATTATAGTGCTTTTGTTTCTCTCCCCCTGGAAACTATGGGGCTAAAAACTTCCTCCTCCCCCCACAAATCAAAACTGACCTAAGGAAGCAGTTTTAAGTGCCCTTCTTTTAATGCCACACACAAGGATTTGTTTCAGGAGATTTAAGTACATGTGATACATTACTTTGCTCAGGACAGAACATTAACTCAGAATTAATGGATGTGGGTACAGTGGACCCTTGACTAACAGACGGCTTGACTTACAGACTTTTTGACTTGAGAACCGCCTTCCAATACGGATTAAGTTCTCAAGTCAAGACCCCACTGTATATACATTTCTTTTATTTGTTGGGAGAATGTCTATTATGAAAAAAGCAGCCAGTTACCATTTCTGAAACCGTTCCATTGCCAAGCTCGGATTCATAGGAGCTGCCAAAGTAAAGACGATAGATGTTGGACCTTGGATCTTCAGCAAGTGGCTCGCACATCTCAAGAGAAATTAAAGATGGCTCCCCTTCTCCTTCACCTGCAGAATCATCTGACCCACTGCTTTGGTTTAAGAAAACCATTGAGGACAGACTGAGATCGCTATCTGAGCTGGAACCTATATCCTGGGGAGAAATTAATAAAATTAGAATTTCCAAAATTATAAATCCTTTCTCCCCAAGGAAGCCCAGTTTCATGATGCCAATAGGGAAGATGTTTGTGTCTGACCAAGTATTTGAACTGTCTTCACTGTGAGAAAGCATGACTTATATTTATTTGGTATGATGATACCTGTAACTGGGTAGGTGGGGCTTGTCAGCCATGGAAGGCAGCCCATCTAGGAGAAGGAAAACTCTAATTTCAAACCTCCACTGTCTTGTGGCTATAACCACTCATGGAAAAGGCTTCAGGAGTTAATGTTGAGGCAAAATCTGGAGCCAGAGTCCCGGAGGCAGTTTGTGTCATTCTGCCAACTCCTGCGACGTTGCTGGAACCAGCTGTATTGGCTCTTGCCTTTCCACTGGACTATTTTAGTGATGTGGAGAGGGGGGATTTGCTGCTTGGGTAACAGCCTATCCTCCATATTATTCTACCCAGGCTTCGTGCTCTGGAGAGGATACTCATACAGAGTGCGTTATCATGGTCTTTCGAGACTGAAGGGTGCCTAAGAAGATACCTGTATTTGTGTACTTCTCTCATATGATTAACTGACAGAGAAATCCTATGCTAACATCATGTTAGGACCAGAACTTTAATGCTACACGAGTTGAACAACCACCATATCCAGTGTGTGCCGAACCCAGGAAGGAAGAGAAAAACCTCACAGACCAGAATACATACAAACAATAGATGCACCCAGAGGACCACCTGCATGTTAACCCCACACAGGGTCAGCAAGTGGTTTCACAATGATGGGCAAATGCTTCAGGCACTTACTCTACATCTCACACACACAACATGCAAGACATTACCGTGGCAATTCTGTCAGTCTCAGGGCACAGCCGGTAACAACTAAACTACCTGCCTCCAGTAAAGCACACATAAAGGGAAGGAAGAAGGCAATGCCAAGAAAAACACTCATGTAATTCACTGGGTGGGAAACTAGCAGAGAACAAATAGTTATCCTGAGATGAGGGTTAAAACCTCACAAGGGGAAGGAAAGACTATTTTGCCAAGCAAATAAGTGGCTCATTGCATAGACAAGCTGGGAAACAGCTGGTGTGGATTTGGTTTCACCAGAGATGAGAGGAGAGGCCAGTTTGCATACTGGCAAAACCACCACCCCCCTATACCATGACAGAGGCAAAAGAGAAGGAGCTCCTGAACCCTCAAATCCATGGTGGAAACACTGCAGAGCTCTTCCTGAATCACTTGATTACTACAACAGTCAGCACATTTTCTTACAGTGTCCAGTCAGCACTGTTTGTGATGTATCTTTTGTTCTGCCAGCAGGCCAGACTGCCCTTCAGCCAGGGTACTCTTACTGTAAGATTACACCATAACTGGCAGAAAAATATTTGACTGAGAAACAGAGGCAGTAAGGATTTGAAACTGAAGTGTCGTTGTCAATGTCACATGGGATATGCTGATCAGAGAAAAATCACAAGTTCTTGGGCATGCTGGAAAATAGTCACAAGTCCTTGGGTCCTATCCTGCAACTATATGAAGTGACAGAGAAATCCAGGCAATGTTGCTTATTATTAAATTCAGAAATAGAAAAATGTTCCAGGTTCTCCCAAAATTAATAGGAGCACAGAGTCCTTCAGAGATATTTTTGTTATTAGACAGAGGATTTATGATCACTGATAAACTCTAAAGAAATTCTTGAAATGCTACTGTACTTACCTGTGGCAGGGATGATCCCAAGTTAGCATGTACTGCCTCTAACTGGGCATTGTACAATAAAGCTTTAAGGTCTGCTCCTGTGAAATGTTCAGTTTTTTCTGCCACAGGCTGAAAATCCACATCATGTGCCAGAGGAAGAGAATGACTTAGTGCTTTTAAAATTTCAAGTCGGGAGGCCTAAAAAAATAAAAATAAAAGTCACTCTATTACTAAAACAATTTAAAATTTCAAGTCTGGAGGCCTAAAAAAATAAAAGTCACTCTATTACTAAAACACTGGTTTCTTGCCTGCATAGAGTACCTAACATTTTGTTCTCAGTCTGTCCTGTGATCCAAGGACATGACTGAACCTAAAATAGCATATGTAAGGTCACACTGAAGTAAACAGTCTGTTTTCAGCAGGAAGAACACTGTCTTCAATTTTCCACTTTCAAGCATTTTCCATCAGCCACAAGGGCTTCCAAATTCACTCTTTAACCACATTTGGCAAGATTCTGAGGAAACCGAATCCTGAATTCACTACTACATGCTGCACGTCCCCCCTACTTTCTTATACTTGCAGAATACACACTGAACCCCTGCAGGCAACAGCATCAGAGTGCAGTTGAGGGTGGCTAGAGAGCAGTGCAAAAAGGAACCTTAATCTCAGCCCAAGCTATCTGGCTCCCCTAACTGTCAAACTAACTAAGCTGCCTCTCATTTTTCAGATATATCCTTCCCACCAGAGAAGACTGAAACTTACTACAAAAGTTATTTCTCTTTTTGTGAGAAAGATAGATCTAAACTACCTCCTGCAAGTTCAGGCTGAGGCCCAGAGTATACTGGCATACCAGGCCCTTACACAGGGGATCCAATGCCTCCATGCTTTCCAGCTGGTGGTGTGAGTCTGTCTGCATTTCCTGACATTTCACTTTCTGACATCCACCCCAGCTACAAGAAGTTCATGCTATCCTCACCTGGCCACTCAGTCTCCCTCCCCCGCCCACATCATTAGCCTGCATCACGGACAGCAAAGAGGAAGGGAGTCAAGAAGGACAACACGAGGAGAAAAGCATGATTGTGTGAGCTGTGGCTTCCCAGTTGGAAGGTGGGTCCAAACCCACAGATTCAAATGCCTTTCTCCTACAACACAAAAGACTCCAAACTCTATTTTATGCTCACGGAACCTCCATCAATGATAGCATAGAAGTGAACAGAATTCGTACAGAAGAAAGAGTGATCCTATTTGTCTATGAACCTTTTCTTCCATTTTAAAATGGGTACAATGTTTGGTTTCTTTACCTGATCAGGAGGTGGGCAGTACAGACATTTATCCAACCGACCAGGCCTCAACAGAGCAGGATCAATCAAATCAGGACGACTAGTGGCTGCTAGTACGTAAACTCCTGAGGAAAGGGGGAAATATCTGTTAATTTTAAAACTCATTGAAGCCAAAGTCCTGTTGGAACAGCATAAACCAGCACACACAGCCAGCATATGACAAACAGGGTTGCATATTTACACAATTGCCCTTTTGTGTACAGTACGTATTTGAAAAAAAAAGGGTGGAAATAACATGAAAATCATTACCTTGTAAACCTTCTACTCCATCTAGCTGGGCCAGCAGTTGATTTACAACCCGGTCAGTCACACCGGTGTTATCGTGACCTCTCCGAGGAGCAAGAGAATCAAATTCATCAAAGAAAAGTATGCAAGGCTTGGCTGCCTGTGCTCTGCAATACAACACAATTAAGAATAAAGGAATGAATCATCCCTGTCAAGAGGGAACATGTGATATCACCATCTTTGCTATTTCACATCTCTCTGGCATATACCCACTCGAACTGCTTCTTCGTATTACTCTCTAGCAAATCCAGTAACTATTTTTAGTAGTGGGCTTGAAAACGGAATCTATCAATCAGCAATACCACAAATCCGGATCCAACCTGTTAAATACATCACGGACTGCTTGTTCACTTGCTCCAATGTATTTGCTGAGCAGTTCTGGCCCCTATAAAACACAACAATAAGCTCATTCTTAACAAAGCAAGCAACTTTATATTATCTGAATGTACAGTATAAATATAACTACAATACTTGAAAGCAAGGTGAACTAAAATGCAAAGGATGGCAAACAAACCATTCTTTCTTTTTGTTATTCTAATGTGAAATACGACCAATTATATGTTTTCCAAGTAACAAGGATTCTGTGTATCCTGAACATAAGACTGATCCAGGAATTTAAGTGTATAATCTGTTAGGGTCATGTTAATGCACCCTATTAATGAGTGCAAAAAGCAAGCATATAGGCGAAGCATAATGCCTATTATGCTGTGTTTTAATAAATATCTGATAAAATTGATACTATTTTGTCCAAGAGATTAATTTGCTCACAATAAGTAGAAAGTTTCAAAACTCTGCACAGACTAAACATGTACCCCAACACATTTCTCCATTAGCAAAACAACTTTTTTATCCATAAAAAAATTTCACTAAGTGGAAAATGAGCAATTTCTAAAAATCCCCCCTTTTCCCTTATTACCCTCCCACATTGTCCTAAAGTGCCCCAAAACTATGGAACAGGTTTTGAAAGAAGGGAAAAATCAGCAAAAACTGACTCTCTCCCTGCTTTCCTCTCATGGAAGAGTTCAATTAATCAAACAGCTTCCTGGATACAGTCCTGGGAACCGAAGCAAAGACATATCAAAACTTGTCTATGGCTGCCTTAAGACCTTTGTGTTGGCACTAGAGAAGGGCACAAACAGACAGTTTGTTGCCCAACAGGTGTTCTGCAGTTGAGTCCTGCCCCCATCAGCAGGTGCCTGCTCAAAGCCAAAGTCCCAGCTTCCCTGACCGTCTCCTCTGGGCACTGCCTCCGAGTGGGTGCCTGGTGGAGAGGGAGGGGATCAGAACCACAGAACATCTGCCAGACTTACCACTGAACCAGCACAAACCACCAAACTGGCAGTTCATGCCCATCTCTAATTGGTACTATATAATTTTGCCTATGAGCTACTATCACATTCAGAGATGTTTCTATGTCAGATTTATACATAAGCCACACAACCCCACCCAAAATTCAAGAAGCAGTTAAGTGCCTGGCACAACAGCTTCTGAAAGAGAAACTATAGTCAATATATTTTAATGTATTACTGGATGTTGGCCTATGCTACACATTTTAATAGTTTTAGGTACTTAAACTAGTTCAGACAAATGTGTTACCTTGATGCTGATAAAATTCATTCCACTCTCTCGAGCAACTATGCCTGCTAATAATGTTTTTCCTGTTCCTGGAGCTCCATATAGTAAGATCCCTGTTCTTTGCCGTATGGGCAGGTTTGCAAATAATTCTGGATACTGAAAATAGAAAAGGTAATCAGAAATTGTATCTGCTTGCAAAAGAAAATGATTTCATGCAACTCAATGGAGCAGTATTATGCTGTGGTCTAGATATTTATAAAATGCTCCCCCTAATGTTATAATACCATAATTATTATAATATGCTTCACAAATCAATAATGGCAAAATTTACATCTGTAACATAACCCATCTCTTGATCTCTTTCTCCCTTAAAAGTAAGAACCTGTAAAATCTCTATGGCTGTGCTTTTTCAAGAATGCAGTTGATGTATCTGCAATGCTTAAGTATATTAATATTTTCAAAAAGTTTGCATTTTACTGAATATTTTCTGCATTTGTAGGCTCTAGTCTAGTCAGCTTGGGAAGTTGCAAATTCATTATGGCGAAAGTGCTGCTGCATTAAGAAATAAGATCGATATGCACAATATTTGCCCTGTCAAAGTGAAGACTATATACTATATGAAGATGGTGCACAAACAGACATTTCTTTTTCTTTCATTACAGCTGTTACATGGCAGCCTGATCTCTCTTTCACAATAAGCATGGACTCTTAATTATTTGTAAATAATATATCCAGACTGGATAATTCTACTTTAATGAATAATTGAAATGAATGAAAAATTACAACAGATATGCATCCTTATAATTATCCACATATGACAAACACCATATGAAGAAATTATTTGTCCCCTCCCCCCAATTCAATATTCATTCTGCGGTCACAGACCTGACATCATTTGTTTTTAATTAAAACACAAAAAGTACCTTTGCAGGTAACTGGATAGTATCTATAAGTACTTGTTGTATCTCCTTAAGGCCCCCAATTCTATCCCAGCCAATGTCCTGAGGTTTATGGAGGTTAATGTTTCTCAAAGATGTTGGGGTAAAACCTTGTAAAGCTTTCCGAAAGTCTACTGTTGTTAGAACCAGATCTGTTAAAATGGATAAAAACAGTCACATTATATTTTACAGAATGGTACGGTACATTATAAGGGACATGGTGACGCTGCGAGTTAAACCACAGAAGCCTCTGTGCTGCAGGGTCAATAAACCAGCAGTCGTAAGATCAAATCCACACAACGGAGTGAGCTCCCGTCGCTTGTCCCAGCTCCTGCCAACCTAGCAGTTCGAAAACATGTAAATGCGAGTAGATAAATAGGTACCACCACAATGGGAAAGTAACAGTGTTCCAACTGTCTACGGACAAATGCTGGTTCTACAGCTTGGAGACGGGGATGAGCACCGTGCCCTAGAGTCGGACACAACTGGACTAAATGTCAACGGGAACCTTTACCTTTATGGTTCATTCTATTATACATTAAGACCAAACTCATGTTTGCACCAATGAGCATGGAAGGGAGCTTATGCTAGCAGACTGCCTCTTGCTTGCTTGGGCATGGCTTTCAACGAGTTATGGATCAACAATATTCCAGCCTAAATGTTTGGAAACATCTCAAAATAAATTCCTCACCCAGTAAAGCCCAAATCAACAGCCACATATCATAACCCACGGGCAAGGGGAAAAAGCTGGCATAATTGTAAATGCTTCTACAACAGAAGATAATCAATAATGTTCTATTTCTGAAAGAACCTAACGTCTGCATTAGTCTGACATGAGGGAATCATCTGGATCTGACATCAACAGCTAGAAAACAGAAAACAAAAAAGACCGCAATCCCAGATTTTATTTGAGATGGGACTTGCAATCATAAAACATTGATAATTAAACTAGGGCCCCTACCAAGTGCCACAGAAAAAGCTCTGTTAGCTGTTCCATGTACATAGCTGAACAGATGGGAATATGACATGATGAGCAGCTGGCAGATATATATGCTTCAAAGCAGTTCCCTGTGTAAACCCAGATGCTGAATGGGACTGCAGGAAATTTCACACAGAACATTTATACAACAACCCATTACCCTTTGGGCCTAGGAAATCAGGTACGGTAATACAGGAGGGCCAATACAGTGATATAAGCAAAGTCAAAGGTCTTAAACCCTGCTGCATGCCCAAGCCTGGGCAACTGATAGCTGAGAGAGCCACATAATTACTGCTTTCTGTGACCAGAAAACAAAGTCTTCAGCCAGTCTGACTTGAACTTGTCTCTTCACAGTCTGCCTCTGGCTTTCCTATCTCCAAACTACTCATATGGAAAAGATTTTAAAAAACCCCAACAACTATGAAACTTTAGAAACATAAGAATGATCCAAGGAAAATTACAGAATACTATGAAGCAATTCTTGTACATACCTTCTTTTTTACATGTCCCTTGGCGAGACACACATGCATGTATAGCACGATCAACTAGCATTGTCAAATCTCTAGCTACAAATCCTTCTGTTTCCTTTGCAATTAGAAGGAGATCACACTCACAGACTACACTGCTGTCAAGTTTATTTTTTATTATGGACTGAAGTATTTCACATTTTTGTTCCTGAAAAGAAAAGCATGCCACAACTTTATTTCGAGCTACAAAAAAACTGAGGAGAAACTGCAGAGACGCTAGAGCACATTTCAAAATAATTTTCACTAAGTTTCAGTTCATTGCCATTACCTGATTTGGAGCATGGATACGTTGGAAACATTGGAATACGTGAAATCCTTGAGCCGAAACAAGAGAAGAATGTAGTGACTGTTCAGATAGGCTTGTGGTGATGAGTGCGATCAAGCTGCGCATAGAAATAATTTCTTTGATCATATCTTTCAAGACTAGAACAACAAAAAACACAAAGTAGCCTTTTACACATTGATGCTCACGTAAAAGAGCAACTACATCTATTTTTATTTTGCAGAAACCAAATCTTCTATTTCAATGAATAATTTGTTCCAGTAAAAGGTAGCTGGTGTAGAACTTGTAGATTTTGTTTGCATCAGCTCTATGGAATCCAGGAAAGAACATTATCCTAGTATATTTAGAAGTATTTATATTCAATAAACTTGGAAGATGCTGTTTATAACCTGCAAACAGCCCATAAAACATGGGATCCTATTGTAGAATTATGCAAATGGCATAAAATTTAGTAGCACATTGCTATAAATTAAGAAATCTCCATAAACATGCTTGTTGCACACTGAGTCACATGACAGAGCATGCAACAATGTCTATGAACACTTCTTCACTTAAAGAGATATACTAGTAAATTAACTATTTTCCTTTTGCGCAACTGCACAACAGGATTTCAGTCAATATATGTGCAACACGAATGCTATTAAGATGCTGAATTCTGGTGTTTCCATTGGCAATTGTCACGCTGAGTTCCAGGAGAAAGGCAAAAGATAGGTAAATATAGATAACATGTTATGTATGTAGAGATCAGGCTTAAATCTATATTGAAAAAGTAGTAAAAGAAACATCTGTACAACTACCGATTTTGCAAAGATAAATTGCAGCTCCACAACATAATGATAACTGTTGTCTTGAGGGAATAAGGATGTTTAATTATTTACTGCTTTTTTGAGGATTTCATTCATTTATACAAGAAATTCATTAACATCGACGTAACCTTCTGAAAAAGTGTGGACTAGAAATTACTGCCAGCAGACATGCTCCTTGTATCTTCTTGCCTGCTTTTCTGCAATGAAGAACTCTTTCTGATCTATCCAAAACAGACACAAGGTATCAGACAGAAAAGGTTTCAAACTAAAGAACATTCTTGTTCAGAAACTTTAAAAAACAACTCAGCAGTAGGTAAGTAGCAGGCTATTACCATGAGCAAGGCGAGTGCTTTGGACTGCTTCAGGGCTGTTCTCATGCTCTGGTGCACTGGGAACTCCAACGATATGGTCAAGATCATCTAACAGAACAACCGATGGCTGTCTCCATCCTGCCTCTAGAAAGGCTTCTGAAAGTTTTTTCCGTATGTTTTCTAATCTTTTTCCTGAAACACAAATACACGATGGGCAGCAAGACCCAAATCGATAAAAGGAGCAGGTGTCAATGTATTGTACTGCAAGATTATGGATAAAATGTAGCTCTTATACCAGCAACATTTTGATTAGGAATTAGCCTATTATGTGGCCTCCTCGAAAAAATTTTAACATATATGAGGAAGGGATGAGATTGGATGAGAAGCATGGATTAGATAGGAGAGCTAGGTTCCAACCTTGCTGTAAGGATTTAAAAAAAAATCCTAAATGAGGAAATAATGAGAATACACAACTAAACCAATACCTCTTAAAGCCTTACAGTCCACTACTTCTACATGGGCATCCAGTTTATCAAATGCTTCTTTACAGATAGCCTTAGCTAATGTTGACTTGCCGCTCCCCTGAAAAATAAATTAAATTGGGATCAAAATCTTATGAAAAAGGAGAACTGTTGTCTGAGTTTGCACTAAAGGTTTTCTCTAAAGAAATCTATGTAGAAGAAAAGCTATAGGAAATGTATTCCATGTGCACTTCAATTAACTGAATCAAAACTATGTAAGAATCCAGAATCCCTGGAACTTCTATGGCTGCACCTTTAGCAAAGATTAGCTAGTCTGCACAGAAGCAGGTTCTACATAGCTCTCCTGTTTTTATGTGCTGTCAAGTCAAAACTGACTTACAGTGACTTTAATAGGGCTTTCAAAATAAGTGATGCATTTAAGGAGTTGTTTTGCCAATTCTATACCCTAAGTTTCACTGTTAGAGCGGGGAATCAAACCCAGATCGCACGAGTCCTAATTGTTACTCTGTCCAGTACACCACACTGAGTACATAGCTCTCAACCCATACAATTTCGTGAAACCAGACAAAGGTCTGAGAATTCTAATCATGTCCCACCTTGCTTGGGAGTTACTTGCCACAGGCCATTATACAGATGGAATGTAGGGAACATGATATATTTCTTTAGTATATATAGACATTTAAGACAGCTTAGCATAGCACCTACACAATTATTGTAACCAGAATCCAATTTCTGATTTATGTCTGTGTAAGTAAAACAGCAGTAAACTGGGGTGGTAAATTATTGTGTGTTAATGAAGCGGTGGTTACATTCCTGGGAATGTGCATAAGCAAAATTAGCAATTGGATTCTGGCCCATATTACAGAAATCTTTTGCAGTTACTGGAAGTGAAAAAGATCAAGCAATACCACAATTTTATTTACACTGCATATTTTTCATTGTATCAAATAGAAACAAATCCATGACAACCTGCTGTATAAAACAGACTGCTAACAGAAACCAACATGTTCTGTGTACAAAAGAAATATATAACATTTACCTTTGCTCCAGTGATCAGGACACCTCCACTGCGCAGTCCTGCAGAAAGAAGGGCTAACTTCTGAGACAGTGGTCGTCCCAAAAGGCTGTGTGATATGAATTTGAAAGTGGATATTCCTACCCTATCTACTCCTCTGCAAAGGAAATGTTCACAAAATTGACAGATGACTTATCAAATGACAAAATAATGTAAGCTTCTTTTCTCCCACATTAAATATTATAAAATGTTAGCTATATAAGGCCACTTTGGGATAGCTAGTTAGATACCTTTTATCCAGAAACAATCTAAAGTGAGTTATTTCTAGAACTCTTATGAGCATTTCTGTGCATTGTTACTGCACTTTCACACCTGTAGTAACTGCACAAGTAGAAAGCCTTGGTAACAATGTTTAAAAAAATGATGTTTCAATTTGGTGTGCTCTTTGCTGCAGCTCATCACATTTGGGATGTGCTCAGTTAAATTAACCACTCCAGTACAACTACTGTAGTTAAATTAACCAATCCGCTACAGCCAGTTCAGCAGACTCTGGTGTGAATCTAAAGTTTGTGTATGTTACTAGGTAAGAATTTGATTCACTTGTAACACAGCGCTGCTTGCTGCCTGCATCAGTAAAATTAAATATATATTTAAATCCCAATCAGATAGGATTCCAGTTTCATAAATTTTGCTATTCAATTTAATTAAAAATTTATATATAGTTCATAGGGTCAGCATTTTATATTGTGCAATAAACATATTTAACTCCCCCTGCTCAAATTATCAACTTTTTCTTTTAATCTGCAAAGTGTCTCACCCTAAAGAGTTCAAATTCAGCCAAAGAGGCAACTCATCAAAAGAAGACTGTTCACTGTTGTCACTGTTTACGGAAGTCACAGGATGTACCAGAACCTGCATAAAAGAAAATCATTATACTATTTCAAAGTGGAGAAAGCAATAAACAAGAAGCTTTTTAGGATGCAATCCTGTATCTACTTACCTAGTACTAAAACTTACTAAATGTACTGGAACACATATAGCATTAGGCTGTTAGAATATCAAAGTGGGAGGACAAATACTGATAGCAAAGTCCAGGGAATATTAGCCTATTACATATTAAATTTCATATTAAATTTAATATCAGACTAGATTTAAACACTTTAGAATCACATGGAAGTAATGAGCCTCTCAAAAAGCATAAGAATGTATGAAAAATAACTCAGACCACAATACCATATAAATAACATTGTAGGGCTTTCACATTGCATTGTATTATAACTCTCCAGATGTTATTTGTTATAACTTGTTATTTTTATAATGAAGGTTACAAGTCTCACTGAAAATATAAGCACACTACAAAAAAATAAATGGGACTACTGCAAGCTCATTTTGACATGTGTGTGTGAGGAGGGGCAATCACAATCCTTGACATGGAAAAATGATGATGGAATTCAAATAGAACCAATCACCTTCCCACTAAATTTCATGCTATAAATATCTGCTCAAGAAAATAAAAACGATCTATACTGTAATAAACAAAATTACACTGTTTATGAAATTTAAGCTATTGGATACCTGAAATAAGTGATATTTACTTGTATATTTGCTTTCTGCAGCAAGCTAGGATTCAAGATGAAAGTATTATTTGTTTTCTTTTCTTCAGTGTCAGAAGTAACTACACTGAGTACAAAGTCTTCCATACCTTTCAAAACACAATAGACACATCAATTTGTATATAATACCAAAGCAAACTTGCCATATTTTAAGACTTGGCAAATTCTGTATAATGTAACATCTAGCTGATGCAAAAGGAAATGTCTTCCAATGGTTGAAATCCTATTGCTTTCCATAGTAAATAACACTAGAGTAGGCCCACTGAATCAGTAGGGATTGTGAGTAAATTCCTTCCTAAGTTTCATTGACTCAAATGGGCCTACTCTAGTTGCAACTCACTTTAGCACAGTAAATCACAACTAGAATAGGGCTATTTCACTCAATGGAATTTACAGGAGTCACCAAAGCCCCATTGATTCAATAAGCTAATCTAGAACAGTTTCCTACAATAAGGAACAAGATTCCAGACAGTGTGTATAGACATGTTTAGGACTGAAAGATTTAATCACACTGGAAATGACTAACTGGCAAAGACCAACTTCAAGATTTGGGCAGAGCTGATTTAATTTGTTACTTTTAAACGTATTAAAATTTGTCCCTCCCCACTAATGTTATCTTCCCCCTATCACTAGCTTACATTATTTTCACAGGGTGCAATCCTCTGTCTGGGTGTGATATAACATTACACCTGCATAAATTTGCTAGGGGTTCTGCCTAGGCAACAAAGATTGCATAATTAGACTGCACAGTTTGTAGTGTGGTTCCTGTTACAACCAATTGTGCAATGTACCTCTGGAAACAGTTACTGAATAGCACTTCCATCTTGGCATGATGACCACTACCAGTTGCATAATGCTGTTACACAAGTGCAGTTACCCAGCAGATTTTAGCCACTGTACATTGCCTCTAGCTTTAAGAGACAGCTTATTTTTGTTTAACAGGCACATCTATTCAAATTGATGGATTACGAATTATTTAATTAACACATCGGCTACTGATAATTCAAATTATTTAATAAGGGGACGACAGAGGATGAGATGGCTGGACAGTGTCATCGAAGCTACCAACATGACTTTGACCAAACTTTGGGAGGCAGTGGAAGACAGGAGGACCTGGTGTGTTCTGGTCCATGGGGTCATGAAGAGTCAGACACGACTAAACAACAACAAAAATTCTTGAAAAATCATTATGAATAGTATAGTCACAATCACAACTGACAAGCTGTTTTGCTTACCGTCTTTAAGAGACAGCTGTATATAGCTTGTGTCACCTATTATCAAAGGAAAATTGAGGTAATCTTCAATCCACAAATAAAAGGCATTTCTGATGTCATCTTCACAGATATCTTTATTCTAAGAAATAAAGGATGAAGTGGATCGTTATTTCAGCAGGTTTTCATTTTAAAAAGTGTTCATTCAAGTACCTAAAGGACAGAGATGCTAAAAAATGGTGCAAATTAGATGAAATCTTGTTGCTTAAAGTAGTAAGTCACAACTAGAGTAGGTCCAATTAATCAGTGGGGACCTTATGAGTAAATTTCTTGTAAATTCCACTAGTTGTTACTTACTTTACTAAGCAACAGGATGGTGTTACAGATGATCCCATCCCCATTCAAACAAGAATTTCCTTTTCATTGTTCCCTGAATAGAAAATAATAATAATAATAATTTAAATTTTGATGGCACTCAAATCCTTAGACACATAATTAGTTTTTAGCCCTCCAATAACATTATTGCTCCTCTACAAAGCTTGGGAAAAATTGTTGTTTTATAAAATCAAATTCACAGTCGCCGTGGTGGCTGAGCATGATCCTGGGGCTGCAGTAAAAAAAAATGAAAAATTATCCCAGTTGTAGTCCTCTGAGTATTTCCATTTAGTTGTGAACTATTCAGACTCCCAGCATATTAGCATTCAGATTCCTAGCATACTAGTCTCTCTCTGAAATTTTAGAGAGTGACAACCCTGTTTGCAAAGTCCCTGAGCTGCTCTTATCCATGTATTAATATTTTGGTTCCCCTTCACGGACTGCTGCCTTGTCGTGGGAACGGGCAAGCCACTCCAGTATCTTTGCCAAGAAAATTCCTTGGACAGAAACAAAAGGGTAAAAGATATGACGCTGGAAGATGAGCCCCTCAGGTTAGAAGGCATCTAACATGCTACTGAGGAAAAGCGGAGGACAAGTACAAGTAGCTCCAGAGCTAATGAAGTGGTTGGGCCAAAGCCGAAAGGACGCTTAGCTGCAGACGCGCCTGGAAGTGAAAGGAAAGTCTGATGCTGTAAAGAAAAATACTGCATAGGAACCTGGAATGTAAGATCCATGAACCTTGGTAAGATGGATGTGGTCTAACAGGAGATGGCAAAAATAAACATTGACAACCTGGGCATCAGTGAACTAAAATGGACAGGAATGGGTGGATTCAATTCAGACGATTATCGTATCTAGTATTGTGGGCAAGAATCTCGTAGAAGAAATGGAATAGCCCTCATAGTCAACAAAAGAGTGGGAAAAGTTGTACTGGGATACAATCTCAAAATCAAGAGAATTATTTCAATACTAATCCATGGCAGACCTTTCAACATCACAGCAATCCAAGTTTAGGCACCAACCACCGATGCTGAAGAGGCTGAAATTGACCAATTCTATGAAGACTTATAACACCTTCTAGAACTGACACTAAAGAAAGATGTTCTTCATTACAGGGGACTGGAATGCTAAAGTAAGGAGTCAAGAGATAAAAGAAACAACAGGTTAGTTTGGCCTTGGAGTTCAAAACGAAGCAAGCCAAAGGCTAATAGAGTTTTATCAAGAGAACAAGCTGGTCATCACAAATACTCTTTTCCAACAGCACAAGAGGCAACTCTACACATGGACATCACCAGACGGGCAATACTGAAATCAGATTGATTCTGTTCTCTGCAGCCAAAGATGGAGAAGCTCTATACAG